AAAAAATGTTAAGCACAAAGAATAAAAGGATTATTATTTGTAGCTTATAAAAAATGTTCGATATTATAAAAACAAGAAAAGACTTATTTGAATAAGATCAGACACAAAAACTAAAGATTTATTGATAAAGACAAGAGTTATTCTATTTATACTAAGTTCTGAATGCCAAAGTAGCAATTTATCTTGTACAACGCTTATCACATCTGGTGAACCTCAGTATTTAGATAGCTGAGATGCACTTCACTTATCATAGCTTGTCCATGTTGTTGCACAACACAGACATATCTACCCATCAAGAATACCTTAATCTTTATAGACAGTTGTAGCCCTTCTGGCACAACAGTATGAATCTTATAGTACTAGCGTATCTGAAGTCCATATCTTCTTATAGTATAAATCGATATCGTACATCTAATCCAGTGTACATACAGTTTATATCTAAATCTGGTAACTGGATGAACAGTCGGAATGCAGATCATAGTGGATGTATTCCACAGTTTTATTATCAAACTGACAGGTGTAAAGTAAACTGAAGTCTCTCTACTGGCCAGGTAGATAATCCTTCTTATATATATACTATAACAATGGATAAAAGTTCTATTAATTAGATTGACAAATAAGTCAACTCAGATCAACTAATGTCTAATCATGCTTGTTAAGCACAAAGAATAAAAGGATTATTATTTGTAGCTTATAAAAAATGTTCGATATTATAAAAACAAGAAAAGACTTATTTGAATAAGATCAGACACAAAAACTAAAGATTTATTGATGAAGACAAGAGTTACTCTATTTATACTAAGTTCTGAATGCCAAAGTAGCAATTTATCTTGTACAACGCTTATCACATCTGGTGAATCTTAGTATTTAGATAGCTGAGATGCACCTCAGTTATCATAGCTTGTCCATGTTGTTGCACAACACAGACATATCTACCCATCAAGAATACCTTAATCTTTATAGACAGTTGTAGCCCTTCTGGCACAACAATCAATTTAAACAATACTGCTGCCCTATAGGACCAGTACAACCTCCCCCCATAATAAATTTGAAAGAAATTCCTCATATTAGACTGTTGTGCAATGGGTGCTAGATTAAACGCTTGCACCTTATTAGCATACTGTAAAATAAAGAAGGCTTTAAATTGTATTTATTTTGCTACCCTTTTATTACAAATGTAAACTCATTATAGATGACAGTTCAATAGGAGATCAAATAGCTGGAAATCTTCGGCTCCTGAACCTCTGAGCCAATCAAATTGCTTGAAAACTCCGCTGACCTAAAAAAAAATTTGCGAGGGTTTCCCCCTGTTTTGATATGAGGCAAAATTTTAAGCGCCGCTATAATAGCAATATAGCCGCTGCTATCATCAAACTTCCCTCAGGTGCTAGAGCATGTCTTACTTACACCACCTAGCTTTAAATTCAGGCATTGAGGCCCTTAATCATCACTAAAGTAAGCAGCGATAACCAAGTGGAGGCGGCCTATCTGCCTCCTAGCCTCGGATAGAGTCTTGTTGAGTTTCAGGGATAGGCACATCCACACAACGTAAAAAAAGGTATGCTTCAAAAAAGAAACATAATAAAAAAAATAAAAATAAAAAGGAAAGGAAGGAAGCAACATCATGCTACAGTACTATGGGAGTATAGTAGTATATGTAAGTAAAGAAAAAAAGGATACTCATGCGCAATGAGTCAAAGAAAAGCATAACAAATACAAAATCAAAAATGTTCACAACAGCTCATTGTTGTTGCAACAGAAATACATACATGAGCAACGTGTATGATAATAATCTGATGTAAAGCAACACAAACATGCACAATTGCAGGAGCAACAGCAGTAGTATGAGTGTGTAATACAACATAACAACTAATATTGTTTTATATGAAGCAACAGAGGCAACACAAACAACAACCCACGGCCATATAACAAAGTATTACAGCGGTAATACAAGAATATAACAGTGTATGATGCTTGTTGTTCATATATACGAAGCAACAACATTGCAGTTATTCGTCGAGCTGATCATGTCACAGCCAACAAAAGAAAGAAAAAGAAAACGCAACAACGCAAACATTATGAATGCATTATTACGAGAAGGGAAGTAATAATACAATCGTCCAAAGAAGTTTTATATTATTGCGACTAGATGAAAAAAGATACTTACCACTTACTACCACAACCCCAAGATAAGAGACCAGAAAGCCAGCATACAACAAAGACATCAGACCAAAAAATACGCAAGCACCAGGGAAAGACCGCAGAAGCGACAATAGACCATCAAAGCGAGCACCACCAAATACGCAGCAAAAGACTAGAAATGGGTCCCAAAATAGAACAATTCACAGTATAGCTACAGTAAAAAACACGTTAACGTCGTATCCTACGCCTATTGAGCAGTTGTCAATCATACCTGCTTTAGTTCCATCAACAAAGCTAGCTTTGTTTCATTAGTAAAAGGTTTGCAAAATATTTTTAAAAAAAAGGGGGAGAAGACGCTAATAATATAAAAAAGGGAAGAATGCTAATAAAAGACTGAGGTTGAAAACCGTCGCTAGTCTCTATATAACATGGAGTAAGCACTAGAGACTTGACAGCTTGCTTACAGGACAGCAAAGCAAGATTGGGGTTAGCGGTTTCTACTGCAAGGTTTGCCAACACCTTGTTTATCGATCGGTCAATTGTAATTAAGAGGTTGTATTTAACAAAGGTAGCAAATTTTGCGTTCCAATTTAGCCACACACTGCAAAAACGGTATTTCAAAATATCCATAGACCAGCCTTCATATTGCTCAAAATAAGGATCCATAGATGTCTAAAAGCTTTCAACTTCAATACCATGCAATTATGATGATAACACTGCTTCCAGCTAAACCAAACTTAGGGTAGAATTCAGAGGAGAATCGAATGATACCACTTTAAGTGGATTAACCTAAGTTATTAGCCTGATTTTCGATAGGATAGTTTTTGCAGTTTTCTGATGGTTTTTAATAAGTTGCCACATTTTTGTCATCAAAAACTTACTTTTAATACTTATCATGGTGTAGAGCAAACGAAATTCTTTCGAATGAGCCCTGTCTCGAAGCTCTAGCATGACGCTATCAGGAGATACTCACAGATTTATACATCCAAAAAAATTACCAACCAAATTTTTGCCTTGCTATTACAGGCAAATTCTGGCCAAAAGTCGATGATTTTGCACGAGGAAACTTTTGATCATATCTCGGGAAAGACACATCGTATTTACGAAAAACAAAAACCATTCGATAGCTCTTCTACTCTGGATCTATTGTGCCGTGAAGGCTTTAAGTCTTAAATGTACGTTCGCTTCATGGTGTTTAGGATATAGATCATCTCTGAGAGGCAAATGTATTAGGCGTTGTATATTACATGAGAATCTGAGAATGAGCAGAGATGCATAGTAGAAGTGAGAGGCCTTTATTCAAGCAGCACGAAGGAACATGAGTAATGCCATCAAATGGCTAATTTATATCCTCATGGTTCCTAGAGAGTGGTAGTCTATGACCTTTCGTTCCTGGAAGTGAGTTTCATCTCCGACAAATGTTCTTCTGTCAAAGCTATTAGGAAGAACATTCTATCCTGGATTATCTTTGTTGTTTATCCTTGACTGGTGGTTCATGAGTTCTTATGCAGCACATTCTCGTTAACTGGTTCAAGGCTTGTACAATTATCCAGCATTCAAGATCAAGGTCCTATCGCTGCGGCACTGTCAAATAACTATAAATACCTTTGATATCTACACTAGTTTTGATCCCCATTCAATCTTGGAATAACTTAATAAATATATTCAGTTCTAATTGTATTTACTCTGTCTATATTTCGTTATTCTAAACACATGGTTTTGCTCAAAATCGTGTATTTTATGAATTTTAACCAGAGAAGATGTCCAAAAATTTATGGTAGAGTCATATTAGTCACATAACTTGGTGCAGGAAAAATAAAGTACTTCAGATCCTACTAGTTTTGATAGTGTATTTATGATTTGTATTCAAAAAAAGCATAGATTATTGAGGCTTTCCAAGAGAAGTGATAGCTAAATCTGTACCATTTCACCTATAACATTTTCCATTGGGTAGGCCTGCAAAGCAACTATCGCTTGAAGTCTCAGTTAAAGCTGTTGTATAGGTCAGCCCCAGAAAAACTGTCCATTTTTACTCTTTTTCGTCATTACTCATCGACATCGTTCTCAGCAAGCCCAAATACAACATTCCCTAATCAACCAAAGTACCCTTTACAACTTTTACTAGACATACAACAAATATTCATATGGTAATTCATTGACTTTTATTAGTAGCACCTGCTCAAAATTTGCAAATTTCAAAAATCTCTGTTTTCTCAACACCAACGCACTCTATCTAAAATCCAATTACTTCATCGTTTAAAGGGCAAAAAACTAGTATAGAAACATGCTACTTTCAATGCGAATTTCAAAGAGAATTCAAAAGAGATGAAAAAGATTGCGACGGATGGTTTCAAGGTATACCCATCTCTGCCAAGTACGAAAAGATTAAGACTACTAAAGCGTTTGTAAACCTTTTACTACTACCGTGTACGAGTATTACTTGCATCATTTTCAAAATGGCATTATTCGAAAACGAGGTATACAGCTGCTGCTTTCACCTGTTTTGATTTAGCAGGCATTATTGTTGAACAGTGATATTCACTTGATGGACCACTGTGTTTAGTTCGACATCTGCAAATTCACATTCAAATTGAACAGTGTCTACATTGGTTACAGAGAAGCATTTATGTTTGAATGTAGGAGCAATATGATAAGTAGGCATCTTTTCGATGCAGCATCACGTTGACCATGTAATCACATTGGATCATGATCAAAGTTGAGCATTTATGGACTGAGTAGGTGGTGGGTTAAACCCCGTGATGTTAACGGAAAGTACACCCCCTCTAATAAAATTCAAAAATCACTCGTTGTTCTTTCTATTCATCTTTCTTTTTCACTGCTCCCAAAATTGCAAGCAAATGAGTCTCGAAGACCAAGATACGTTTCATGTAGTTATTCGTTTACCTTTCAAAAGACCACAAGGGTTTGTTGAACCTCCTGCAGTAAATTGCTCTATTCTATCACTATTTGTGCTTTTAGTTGACGCTCAAAATTTCGTTAGATTGTATGGACGGAGGAAATGGAACACAAGTTATGGCAATACATGAGCCAGAAAAATACAGACTGTAACTAATCGTTAACTGGATTACACCTGGCTTACCATCTGATTAATCGTCTGTCTACAGGGAACGTTATTGCAGAGCAGCTGGGTGTGTCTACGCCATATGTTGTTCGTCATGCAGCTTTCATTTACGAAACTCAACTGCGCGGTATTCATCAGCAACTACGATTAAATACAAACAACTCGAGCATAAACAGAAATAACACAATGAGCCCAACACCAACAAAACCTCGATCAAGTAAGTGTGCAACTGTGGTTATCAAAAAGGCGTACTAACAATATAGTTACTGTAAAGCATCGATTCGATATTCAAACACATTACAGTATCAGCAACAGTTACAGCAGCAACAGCAGCAAGAATCACAGAGAATAGAGAGTAGCGATTCCATACAACGATCAAATACATCATCACGACTGGCTGATAGATCAAAAGACAATGTATCTATCAAATCATCTTTGAGTAGCAGCAGTGCCTTTAAAAGTACATCGACTGCAACATACCCTATTACTGCATACACAATCAATGATAATGGCCTCGATAATAGCAGCAGCAGCAGCAGCGAAGACAGTTTAAACTGTACGCAAACAGAAAAGAGCCACACAGATGACGATGGCAATGACGATCAAGGAGAAAAGACAGATGACGAGGAGTTTAGCAGCCATTTTGAACGCATGAAATTGCAAGTTGAAGAACCTGCGTTCCTGCCTCGACAATCGAAAAAAAGTCCTGCCAATGCTAGTTCCAGTGGTCTGCATCACAGTCGTCAGGCCTTAAGCATGTCTATTCAAAATCTCAAAAAGCTGCATGTTGATAAATTGCAAAATGACGAGTTATCACTGGACTCATCGTCCGCCACATCATCACAGCATTCTACGAAAACATCGAGCACTCAACCTCAATCTCCTAGCCATTCACCAGCAACAAACAACTTTCAAATATCAACTGCAGCAGGATCCAGCAATGAAAGCGCAATGAACTCAATTGGATCGTCCTTCAGTGACATATCAGACTCCTCTGTTACTCAATCAGCATTAGAAGAAGCATTCTTATCAAAGTTTAATCAAGGATCGAAGATGTAAGGATTGGGATTTGCTCGGATAACGATGAGATTACTCACTGCTGTCATGCTAGGTCCATGCTAAGCTTCTCTCGCAAACAATAACAGCTATATAAGAGCATGGAGGCCGATACGTGATGAATTAAGCATAGCAAATACAAGGTGAAAGGTCAACGATATACTTTTTTTTTTTTATATTTATAAATGAAAAAATGTAACTACTTATAATAATTTATAACATCTTTACAAAAGGAATTTACTTCTTCTCCTTCTTCTCCTTCTTGGGGGCTTCATAAGTGGTAGCGAGAAGCTTGACAATTTCCTCATCCTTAACAGACTTGTCGGATTGAGCATCAACAGCATCGTAGCGAGGGTGAGTGAGCAAAGTGTTACCCTTCTTGGTGACCATAACAGTGGCCAAGTATTGAGCAACAACAGCTTCATCACGTTCATACATGACATCATAAGGCAAGACAGTTTGATGCTTGGCAGCCTCAACAATACCCATACGAGCCTTACGTTCATCCTCCAAATCACGGAGAGAGAAGGGGAAAGCACCAGCCTTGGTTTGGATTTCAGACAAAACAGCACGAGAGGCAGCCATCTTCAATTGGTAACGGATGCCAGTCTTCTTGTAGATGGTGGTACGAGTCTTCAAGGGACGAACCTTACCTTCGCCAGTAGAGATAAGAATATCAACAGCATAAACTTCGTTTTCGGCAAATTCGATACGCTTGAAATCACGCAAGTGGTTGTCAGAGGGGTTCAAAATGATTTGCTTCTCGCCATCAGTCTTATCCTTGAGTTGGTTGTGAGAGAGCATGCCTTCAACGGCCTTGACACCATAAGCTTCAGCAATCTTATCAACAGTCTTGGTAACATCCATGTTCTAATTTATCCCCACATATAGAAAATCAGTTACCATAGCAACACACTTGATGGCTGTGAAATCATTACCTTGTTACCGGGACGGATCATACGGAGAGTGGCTTCCAAGGCAGTTTCAGCAGCCTTGATAACATCAGCCTTAGAACCAGTGACGGGACCCTTAGCACCAACAACAATAGTGGTGGCAACGGTGGAACAATAGCCATCGAATTGAACACCCAATTGACTAATTGAAGACAAATCGTGTTCAATATCATGCGAGGCTTGATCTATACGGCTATAACTTACATCTTGGCGACATCGCCTTCCTTCAAGGTAGTGGCGGCCTCAGGATCAGAGGGAATAGGGGTGAAGTGAGCAACACAGTTGTTGACAGAGACAGTGGTGGGGAAACCAATACCTTTTTGAAATTTTCCAAAATTTTAGTATACAACAACAAAAGCCAAAGCCACATAAATTTCTATTTACCCTTGGTGATCTTGTTCTTTCCCTTCTTGTTGTAGACAGCATTGGTAGCTTCGGTGATAGCCTTGTCACCTGCAATACAGATATCGATAATCTTGGCATCAACAACACAAAGCTTGATGACCCTGTCGAGGACATCTACGCGGCATTGTATTAGAAAATGTGTCAAAATGTCCAAGCGCGTTGACAGGTGTGCCTACCATCAGCAATCTTGCCGGCGTCCTTATACTTGGTTTGAACGTTGCTGTCAGAGACATCGAGGACAACGGGCTCGGTGACCTTCTTGGTCTCGGTAGGGTTAGTAGCCTTGGCGTCAGACATTATAACAAAAAGTTTTCAAATGTGAAAAAGGGAGGGAAAATTTTGATTTTGTGTTTAACGCCTTGTTTTAACAGGGAAAGCGAGTCACCGTAGTAGAGGTGCCTTGGACATGTAGACATTCAGTTACTACCATGTAAGCAGTATTCCTTAATATACAAAATGTATATCAAATAATCAGTTTATTTGATATGAAATAACAAAGGGGATCTAATAGAGGAGCAAAGGCAGTATTTCGTAATTCGATATTTTGAGTTGTATTATTGTAAATGACTAGAGATGGTGGTAATGGCAAACAATCTACTTTTTCACTTTGCTGTCCAGAAATTCCTTTGCCTCGTTGATCTTTAATGCCAAAAAGGGCGAGCCTCCACGGTCAGGATGGTTAAGTAGCATGATACGTCTGTGTGCTTCCTTGATCTTTTGCTTTGTTACTGCTGACTCTCTACAAAATCATACACAAATTGCATAAATACATTGAACCCTATACTCGATCAAATGTTCACATCCTTACCTAACACCGAGAATCAAAGCTGCTTCTCTCTTGTTCATCTTGGCATCAAATCCTCCCTTGTAAAACTTGGACATTCTAGGTGTCTTTGGTAACTTTTGATATTCTTGAAAAGCCTTAATACCGAGACGACCAGCAGTAGCTGCGCCGGCAACAACAAAACCCATAATGACAGCAGTCGACTAAGTCATAGATGTTGGCATTGATGTCGCTGTCTGCAATGATTCACTAAACTTACCATTCTCTAATTAAATCTGATGTGTGCTTCTTGGAATAAAGAAGTTTTGAAAGAAAAGAAGAGAAAGAGTAGATGAAAAATGTTCCCTGAGTTTCATGGCCCCAGGATTTGACAATGTAGGTCTTTGATTGGTTATTTTATGACATTAGAAATTGATGGAAACCCAATAGGTCTTGATTGAACGGATAATATTCGAGACGTATTCCCTACGAGAACTACTTGCCATTATATTACAAAAGGCTATTCAAGAGCACCATTCGGTGATTGATTCAAGCACTATTATACTTGCTGCCAAACCTTTATGTCTTGGAAAGGCAGACAATGAAGGCAGAACAGACAGAAAATGTCTACTGAAATCACAGACATTACTATACTCTGTTTGCTGCATGAATGCAGATTGGAAACTAGTACCACGGCAATGGGTAAAGAATGTGTGTACTGACTAAAGCTGCCAAAACACGGCAACATGGAATGGATGAATGAATGCTCAAGATTTATGAATGTATGGATTTGCTTTCTGGCTTACAACCGGGTATATCGAGATAGCCTTGTTGCTATTCCTCTTCCTCCTCCTCCTCCTCCTCCTCCTCTATAATAATTCTATTTTCTAATCTATTGCGCAGGCTATTCTGGCGTTCGTCTATATTGTATCTAGATCTTGGTATGAGTATATCAGCTCTGCTAGGCTAAGAGAGGGAACGTTAGTATACAAATCTATGCAGACTCCACCTGCTCAACGTACCATGGGTGAGACACGATGAAATGCATTCATGTTGCAATTTGCGTTTGGTCCGGAAATGCCGGCTTTGGATGTAGTCTTGACTTGAACACCCTCTACATCCTCATCTTCATCTATAGAAGTGGCAGGCGAAGAAGTGACAGACATTCGATCGTCATCATCATAGTCATCATCAGCAGCTGAGCTACAAGTCGAAGATGTATTTATGATCAATTCGTCATCCTCCCTTGTTGGCGTAGTGGGATGAATAGGAATGAGAGGCAATACTGTAGGCTTCAAGGCAGGGTGCTTTTGCTCACGTGTTGTGCAGTTATTGGTGCTACTAAGGTCCTGATGAATGATGGGCATAGTAGTTGTAATAATGGCAGGAGCAACCATGGTCTTCATCATGAATTTATGCTGCTGCACTGCGCCTGGGAGTCGCTTCTTATCCAATATCAGTATGGTTGCTGGCTGTGTTGGCTTGAATCTGCCGATGTCGCTGTGCGCCGGTTTGGATATAAACCAAGATTTGAACGAATCAATCCAGCCATCTTCCTCTTGCCCTGTTTGTGTGGTACAAGCAGCTTTAGGTAACAATGGCTTCTTGGAAGTAATATGTATGGGATGATTCGATGTTGATAGCAACATGGTCCACAGGGTGCCCAGCATACCAAAACGATTCAAGCGCATTTCCTTTACAACAGATGTATCGAAACCTGCATTCAGTAGAGCATCGGCTGTGTCTTGTTCGTGTAATTTCTGCTGTTGGCTCGAGAGAGTGGAGGGTGGTTGAATATGGCTGTTGGCAGTGGCGGGGTTCTGTAGCCATGGATGGTGTCTGATCTGTGCAATCGTGTAGCGCTCATGTGGATTCAGTTTCAAGATCTTTTGGATTAGATCTGCAACATCTGATGAAGAGATACATATGAGCCATGTAACAAACACAAACAACAGATGACTTGATCTCTTACCAAGTGAAAAGAAAGATGGCATGAAATAGTCCATCTTGACCACTTTTCTCTGCAACTCTGATTCTGAATCGTCATCAAAGGGAAGCTCGCCTGCTAGCAATGTGTACAATATCACGCCTAAAGACCAGATATCGGTTGCTATTGTTACACAATTTAAGGGTGTAGGAAATAAAAACGGCATTAATTCAGCTGCTACACGATAAATCAAGGTGCGAGGACACTCTACCAGGGCCTGAATAATTTTGACGCTGAATCACTTCTACAAGACGAAAAAATTCATGCAGATTAGTTTAAAACAATAAGCCTGCCTTGGAGATGTTGATTTTTACCAGGTGCAGAATAGGCTAAACTTCCGCAGAACGTCTTTAGAAGCTGGTTCTTATCTGTTTGACGTGCGAATCCAAAATCACAAATCTTGACATTGTCCTTTTCATCTATAAGGATGTTTTCTAATTTGAGATCTCTGTGTATGATGCCATGCGAATGGCAGTACTGAATAGCATCAGTCAGCTGTAAAAACCACTTTCTCGCATGTGGCTCAGAGAATCTTCCCTTTTTCGCTAGTGCGTCGAATAAGTCACCATGTGGGCAGTGTTCGGAAACAATAAATATGCTTGTTTCAGTAGAAAGAATCTCGTACAAGGATACAATGTTTGGATGGTGAAGCTGTCTATGATGATGAATTTCGCGAGCCATTAGTGGTGCATGCTTTTTGCTGATCTTTTTGATAGCAACAAGTCGACAGGTTAGCTGATGCACACCTAACTTCACTTTGCCGTAACTTCCCTATAGTTGAATACTTTTAGTTTGATACGAGTACATGTGCCTGTATGCTCCTACTCTGCCAATGGTCTCTCCAAGTGTGTAGCATCCTATCGATTTCAGTTTTGGAGAGGACAGTTCCTTCAGCAGGTCATTATAATCTGCAGCCAGCTACCAGAGGTTGATTTAGTGATGAGACATAGCAAATTTACAATGCGGATGCTACCTTGGCCTTTTGATTACGAATGACAGAATTTGACATTTAATGCGATCCAGGATAGCAAGACAGTGAAGAAGAAAAAGCTGGAGTAGGAAGAGAGAGAAAAGAAGAGAGAGGAAGAGGGGTAGAATTAAACAGCTCACTTTGACCGAATACACTTTAGAGTCACATTTTGGACATTTGGTTAAATCATCATGAAAATAGCTTTCATTGTACATGCAAACAATCATCATCATGTAATTGTAGCATCAGTCCATGGTATGACAAGAAAAGGTTAATTTCCATGTCCTACTCTTGTCTAGCAATGGCTATACGATTCATTGTACGGCTACTACATTGCGTCTAAGGATACAAGAGGAGATCAAAGGGGAAAACATCATCATGTGGTATTCACACAAAATTTAAAGCTACAAGCAATTAAACATTTATCAGATACAGTGCGATATACACACATGTACCGTCATCCTACACTCTAAAATAGGAAAAGGCGGACTCTCTCTCTCTCTCTCTCTCTCTCTCTCTCTCTCTCTCTCTTCTCTTTATTACATTCAGGAAATAAGAGACCTTTTCTTTCCTCTTTTCTTTCTTTCTCTCTCTCTCTCTCACACACACACACACACACACACACACACACACACACACACACATATATATATATATATACTCTCTCTCTCTATTATACATCTACTTGCTTTACCCCTATTTTCCGACAAGCAGCTATACAGCAATCATATATAAACGATGGTAAAGTAACGACATGTTCTTATAGCTAAAAGATATTCATTATTGCCATCCACAGTCATTTCCCGAACCTATGCCATCCATATCAACTCCACTTCAGTCGACATCCGATTTGAGAACCGAGATAAATCACAGACCTCGAAGACACACCATTACCAGACCAGACTCAGCGATGGCATTGTTATCAGACATGGAAGACGATGGTGATGATGAGGAGCAACAGCAGACATTTGATAGAATCTCCAATATTCTCAACAGCTTAATACAAGAAGCAAACGATGCTGTGCACGGTATTGAACATGAGCGCGTCCAGCTTTTGTCTGCTAATGCGAATAAAAAGGCATCAAAGACTTCAAGAGTATTCACATCATCCACGATCATCACTCAACCCCATCACCATCATAGCCCGCTAGAATCCAAGATACCACGACCTAAAAAGTCTCGCTCGTCTATCCACCAGCGCAACTCGAGTGCTTCTTCCTCAGCTTCCTCCTCATCCAATTCCATCTTCTCTCCAGTCTCAGCAGCAAGCACCAGCGCAACTCTATCACGATCCCCTTCACCAACTCTGGCCAACTTTAAAAAGCAATTATTCAGACATACGGCACTCCGACCTAGATCCTGCCCTGTTATACAACCTCCTCGTCGTTCAATGACTCCAAGATCAAAGCGAAACAGCCTTGTCACTGTGTCTGACCCCATCATGGAGTCATTCAAAAGACTTGATACTTCCATGGCACTGGTGGACTCTCTCTCTCGTGACCTGGCTACACAAAAAGTAAAGGATAACAACAAGATCATTCTCCTGTTGCTGGTGCCATTGTTGCATATACCGCATTCGCTTATCACGATGATTTTCGACTTTTGTTCCTCCAACAGCAGTAACATAAATAGCAGTAAACCCACCTCCTCGTTCATATCCTCGCTGATCCTATGGGCGTGTGTATTTGCTGCTACCAATTTAATGGTGGATCAGGTTTCTGTGACACCCACAAAGCAATCCTTGATCGAAAAAGTAAGGCGCATGTCCATACCCGGTTCTTTTAATCAAAACAATACAAAAAAGCCAACAGTGGAAAAGAAGCCTGTAGTCGCATCAGTAAAGCGTACTTGGATACCAGCAACTGTGCAACAACAACAGCAACCTTTGCCTGAACTCCGGAGAAGAAAGTCCATCTAGTCCTACCAACACATTTGATATCCATTTTTTCTACATTTACATAAACACATGATGTAAGACTATTCAAGCAGCTATGCAATGCTTAATTTGACGTTTTTTCCCGTACAATGAGCAAGTGTTTGTAGTTGCATATTCATCGTACACGCTGATAAGCATGGTGTAATGATCACACACACTCCAGTGATGATCCTGAATTGGCTTGACCCTATAAAGACAAGGGCACAAAATTTAGACTGAAGCTATTACTGCCAATTAGGTCATGTCGATCACTCAGGGCATCATTATTCACAGTCAAATCATGCCTGCCTCGACTCTTTGCTAATCACATGTTGAAAATGTATAGGAGCCTGGACCTGGTATGCAGTAATTGCGATATCATAACTGCTATCTTTTTTGATCGACAGGCCATGACGATGCAAATTAATTTGTATTTGCCTGCTTGTATCAATGCAATTTTTACATGAATACAATGCCTTCATAATCAGTCTTTCTAGGTTCAAGCTAAATTTTCAGTAAAGAAGCACGTTTTCAAGACATTGCCCTGGCCGAATGACAGATTGCACACTTTATAGAGCCATAAATTATTATAATTGTAAAGATTCACCATCCAATACTGTGGCGCTAAAAAAGCAGAGAATAAATTTCAGGTCAAGGCTAAAAGGAGAAGCAACTTGCGCTGCTTCGGTAACTAACAACTGCAGAGAGCCTGGCCAATGTTCAGAATTGTCTCCTTGAGATTACTCGCTCTGTTCAAAGATTTCCAAACTGCACGAATAGGTATTAGAGAGGACACAGCATGTATTCAGAGATGAAGCATCACGACGAAACCCGGTGCATTGCTACCAAGAGCATCATCACTAGCAATGGTATATAGACCATCAAACGCATGTCAAACAAAAGTAGATCTGTACATGTAATCATTCAACTAAAGGCATAGTCACCAAGAGTCCATTGTATTGGGTGGTTCTCATCTTGAATAGGCTTGATCTATAACTAGATTCAACAAATGAGTATTGCTGTTTGCTGTAATGTTTGCCTCAACTACAGTTAAAAGACTAGGCAAGGATATATAGATAACGGAAGGACTAGCAAAGCGAAACCAGTGAGATTGCTTCTGAATTCAGGATGCAATGCTATATACTGTAGAGCAAGTGATCCAGCACAAGCAGCAACGGTAGTCTGCTTTCGTGACGGTACTAAACATTGTCCATGATTTGAATGGACTATTTTTTCCCTTTCTCTTTCATTTTCGAGAGCAATTTCAGTACCTTGAGCCATGGCCGACGAGTTAAACATTAACGAGAATAACAAGCGTCCTCTCGACAACGACAGCCCTGCTGTTGAAGAAGATTCTGGTAAAGCACAGATGCAATGCTGAATTGACACATGGACTAAGCTCTTTTTCGTTAGATGATGATATTGGACCCGTTTTTCCTCCTTCTTCCACTGAAGACGTACCCAAGAAGAAAAAGAGAAGTAAGTGATGAAGAAGTGGCTGATATTATGAGCTGTTGAATTGACGTGTCATGTATTTTAGCACTTGCTTATGAAAAACTCTACTTGGAACACTTGCCCAATGCTGACATGTATGAAAAAAGTTATATGCATCGCGACGTACTCAACCAAGTGGCTGTGACAAAGTAAGTCAAGTGAAAGCGACCTTATCAAAAAGCTCATCATCAAGCGATTTAGAAACGATTTCATTGTGACAACCTCTGTCGATGGCCATTTGAAATTCTGGAAAAAGACAGCATCAGGCATCGAATTTGTAAAGCACTATAAATCACACTTGTCGAGCATTGTCGATATCAGTTTATCTGCAGATAACGAACTGCTAGCCACCATTTCCGATGATATGTCGCTCAAGGTGTACGATATCACTAACTTTGGTAGGGATGGCGTACACTCTTTTTAGCTGAAATTCATGTATTGATGGGCATTCCTGTTTGATAGATATGATCAATATGATCAAGTTGAAATACAAGCCCAAGGCTGTCTGCTGGATTCATCAAAAGGGGCAGGCACAGGCATTAGTTGCAGTGTAAGTAGTGCTTGTACATATCTAACACTTGTACTAAATGAATGCAAATATTAGATCTGAGGCTGGCAATTCAAATATTCACATTTACGACGGACGATCAGATGGAATACCACTTCACACATTATCCAAAATGCACTCAAAGCCAGTGCACTTGATAGAGTTCAATTCGAGATTTGATACAGTGGTTTCTGTGGACGCGTTGGGCATGGTGGAGTACTGGTCACCAGAAGAACCATTTGGATTGCCAGACAACTTGGATTTCGAGATGAAATCACAGACGGATCTCTACGAATTCAGAAAGGTACCGTCTTCATCGCACTTACCCAGACTGTCCATTGTCTAATTACGTAATGCCGTAGAAAAAATCAGTGCCTACTTGCTTGAATTTCTCTGCTGATGGGTTGAGTTTTGTCACTATGAGCTTCCCTGATCGTCAAGTGAGATTGTTCAAATTTTTAACAGGCAAAATGTACAGAGAGTATGACGAGAGTCTGCATGTGATTAGTGAAATGCAACAGGCGGGAACCTCAATTTTCAAGTTGGATGATATGGAATTTGGTAGACGTTTAGCTGTGGAGAAGGAATTGGAAAAGTCGAACCAAGCAAGATTTGTCAATGCAGTGTTTGATGAAACTGGAAACTTTATTATTTATGGTGCATTGCTCGGTATTAAAGGTAGGTCTGATGAAAAAAGTGTGTGTGTGTGTGTGTGTGTTTGTGTGTGTGTGTGTGTGTGTGTGTGTGTGTGTGTGTGTTGAGTTTGATGACTGATTTGTATTGCAGTTGTCAATGTAAAGACCAACAAGGTGGCTCGAGTAATTGGTAAATCAGAATCAAACCGCTTTGTCAATGTTGGATTATATCAAGGAGCACCCAAAAAGAAGGGCGTATATACTTTGGTACGATAGCCAGAGATTTGCTGAATCATCCGAACTAACATTTTGGTGGACAGGCTATGGCTGCTTCTGACAACGCTGCCCTTAAAGAGAGCCAGGAACTGGATCCTACGCTCTTCTGTACGGCATTCAACAAAAACAGATTCTACATGATGACCCGCAGAGAGCCATTTGAGTAAGTGTGCATTTGTCGACAGCTTTAGGCTCACAGACTAACCTTGGCTAACATAGTAATGCTCAAAAGGGAGAGCGTGATGTGTTCAATGAAAAGCCCTCTCGCGAAGAGCAAACAGTGGCAGCTACTCAAGAGCGCAAACAAGTGCTTGGTACCTCTGCCATCCTACGTACTACTTCAGGTGATATCCATATGCGTCTGTTCCCTGATGCAGCACCTAAAGCTGTTGAAAACTTCGTGACGCACGCAAAGAATGGGTACTATGATAACCTCATCTTTCATCGTATCATCAAGGGCTTTATGATTCAAACGGGTTGTCCGTTTGGTGATGGTACAGGTGGTGAATCCATCTGGGGAGATGATTTCGAGGACGAATTCTCTAGAGAGTTCAAGCATGATCGTCCTTATACAGTGAGTATGGCTAATGCTGGCCCAAACACCAATGGAAGTCAATTCTTCATCACTGTTGCTCCTGCTGTAAGTTTTTATTTCGGTTTGATTATGCTGTTCATTTACCAACTCGTTCATTGTAGACATGGTTGGATAATAAGCACTCTGTATTTGGTAGAGTTACCGCTGGTATGGATGTGGTGCACGGTATAGAAAACGCAAAGGTGGACAAGACGAACAAGCCTTACGACGATATCAAGATTATCAATATTGAAATTCGATAGACAATGTGTTTTAAATTAAAAAGCTTATTTTAAGAGACATACTACAGAATATATTGGTGTATACGCTTATTTGTATATAGCATCCACTGATTAACGCTGTCTAAACAAAGTCTTCTAAGGCAAATTATATGTCGAAAATTTTATTACTGTACAAATAGAAGGATGTGTTGCGAGTTGTTGTTATTGTGCTATAGTATATGAATCTATTCATTGGTAACACCGTGTTGCTTGATAATATTGGCTTCATAGGGATGTTCGCTTCCTTCAAAAATCTTTAAACGATCCATACGCACTTGACGAAGCTTATTTTTTGGTAACATGCCAGAAACTGCTTTACGGAGAGGCTATCAAGTATGGCCACTGTCAATATCAATCGCATCAACCCAATGTCCACTCATTTACCTCTGTTGCGTCCTTTGCTTGTAAGTTTTCAAATGTGATTTCCTTCAATCCACCAGGGTGCATAGTATGGTGACGATATAACTTTTGTTCGGCCTTTTTTCCAGAAACTAAAATGTCCTTTGCGTTCAAAACGACAACGTAGTCTCCACAATCAGCTACAGTCATCCACCATGTTAATGTGCATTCTGGAGATAGAAAGTCAATTTACAATAGTCTTACCAGCAGGGTCATAGATAGGCTTGTGCTTTCCCATCAAAGTAGTTGCAATGTTGGTTGCTAAACGACCCATCACTCTTTGTTTAGCATCAACAACATGCCATACACGGGCATAGGCAAGAGCGGTCTAAAACAAGAGAAGCAGGATTAATCTACTGGGTCATTATGTGTCTTGTCGTTGTATCATTTTTTACATTTCCAATAGCTTGAGACATGATTTATCAAACAGTGTTGGTTGGAGACAGGGACAAAAAGAGGAATCTAACAAGGGTTTCTTTATTGGATACTCCACCCCCATCTGCAAATGTCAAAAGTTTCAACGCTCGTCGTGACCATTATGTGACTACATTCCACTTGGATCAATGGTCCATTGAATACTGAATCTATGCCTTTCACTCACATTTGCTACACCAAGTGTCAAACATATCACATTAGTGCCTATTTCTATTCAAAATAGACTTTAGCTTAATAAAGAAGCAACATTTCATCAGCCAAATTTATATAATTTGCGAAAAATATTAACTATATACTTAGATCAACATTGGGAGATGTTGAAATATGAGCAAACCGCTCTATGTAAGCTTCTACATGTTGAAACGACATATGCAAGGGACAAATCAAGTGCTATCATACATTTCATGGAGCTGCTTGCTATGATTTGGTTGAATAATGGCCGACTATTCGAGATGTTAGATTCAAAACATCCCATTTCGTGTACAGACAAGGTTCAAACGTATGCACTTTTTACAGCTTGGACGAAACAACATGTGGCAGCAATATCAAAACAATACCCATATTGACCATTTAGTCTAACTGAAGAGTAATGATCAAAGCAGTGTTCATCGCATATTCGTTTTGCTATCTTCATGTAGAAATTGCCTGGTTTCTAGAAAATGAAAGCTAGCAAACACTTCTCTATCATGATTTGATTTCGAACTTGCACTCAATGTAGCATATTTCAAGATGCCATCCTATTCTACGCATATATCACTCGATAAACTCTTAAATTTTTACAGCTTTTCCTGGAAATGTGCAACCTTTATAGAGACCAGGTGAAGCACACAGAGCGTGAAAGAGAGGGAAGATGTTTCTACGTTGTGTGATGCCAGGAACCCAATTAACCATGAACCTGACATTTAAAAAACACTCAATATAGACACCAGGAGAGGGTATATTTTTTATACTAGCAATTTTTATTTTTTAGATTTTACTTTCAGTAGCCTTCTTCAAACGATCCTTTGCAATCAACATCATGTCAGTGATACCAACATAGAGCTCCTTCTCACGGTCATTTGCTGCCATGCGTTCCTTGATGATAGGAATGATTTGATTACGGGGACGACCGTTGACAAAGACAACAAACTTGAATCCATACTGATCTTCATATTGTTGATTGAGCTTGGCCAATTCAGCATTAACAGCTTCGTCTTCAGCTGATACTTGACCAGCATGTGAACTATAGCCTTGCTCTTTGAGAGAATTGGCAGAGAGGCCAGCCTTAGAAGCGCCAATGCGAGGATGAGCATTCATGACCTCCAACTTCTCTTCTTGTGTAAGATCATCACCTAAGCACACCTTCTCGGCATAATCAATGAGTTGGATGTAAGAAGAGAAAGGACGAGCATCGAGCAAACGCTTAGCGAGAGGAGGTGCAGTCTCGAAAAGAGTGTTGACGGCCTGTACAAAGTTCTCAGGTGTTTCCTTGTTCAATTGCTCGATAGAGGGAATGGAAGCCATTTTGTGTTTTTTTTTGTGTATATGATAAAAAGAAAGAAATTCTATAAAAAAGGGTAAGAACATCTTTCATTTTTATAGATAGTGAGGTTCCTTTCGTGTGACGAAAAGTAATGTTCCGTGATTGGGATTCCCATTTGAGAGATATTGCGGGGCATTCAATGTGTAATTTAAGTGGAGACATTTGACACTTCAAAACTAATGGAGCCTTCACGCAAGATTATTAATTTCAAAACTGTATGTGTTTATTATATATAACGAATGTTTATGCTTCGGAAGACTCTCTGTCTTTGCTTCGCTTCGGCGAGAACCAACTTGCACAGCGGCAAATCGCGCTACCGATTGCCCCTGCGTATCTTGTCATAATACTACTACTTTCATGCTGACCCTCCACTTGCACATGAAAATCTTTCATATTATCTGTAGATCTGATTCTTGTGTAATGCTCTACATCCATATACACGTAGCTACTTCATATACAGGCAAGCAGCATACTGGTATTTCCCTTTTTTATTCCTTAGTGTCCCTGATACAGCAAAATCTGAGCGCATTTGAACTGCGTTTTCTTTCATTCAAGGCCGTTTTCAATCGTCAGAGTAGCACCAAACATTTGCTCTCATCTGGTAGTTACTTTCTGACACCCTTGCTCAACTTTTTGGGGATCAAAAAAACATGGCCAAAAATCGACCAAAAAGCATGAGGTACCCCCTCATGGTTTTCATCAAAAATCAAATGATCGAGTTTTTCACCTTGATAACGAAGACTTTTACTATGGTACATATTGAATCAAAATGTTTCTATCGATCTAACGTAACCTCTGAAATCATTTTTATGGGACTTTGATATGTAAAATTTCGACTTTTTGGCCAGAAACCTCTTTTCATATTTTCGTAAATTATTCAATAAGTTTATTCAAAACATCTATCTTACTTGGTACCATTGGGTGCGCCTTGAAAAGCACTCCAAGAAAGCTTAAAGAAGGATGGGTTGATCAGTATATTTTACTTAGTCGAATCTGATAAAATAGTTAAATCGAGTCAAAAATCATCAAGATTTGGCCAATCTAGAGCAGACTATGATTCTGGATTTGAATTAATTTTGGTTGGTGGGGCTAGTTAATCATATATGAGCCAGGCTTGACAGATGCTTTGAGACTCAGTTTCCATATTATTAGGGTTGGAAAAGTGTCTAGGGACTGAATATTTATTATAATATGATATGCAACTCTTTCTTTACTAATTCATCTCTTCATCTTCTGGTTTTACATTGGGCGATGTCTTGTTCGGATGAGCTCCAGCTTCTGTCATCTCTTCGTCTTCATTGCCATTCGTATTACGGTTAGCTACAAATGAAGGTTTGGGTGATCTGGGCTCTTCCTTTGGAGCTGAATTGATGAGCATTGGATTCATGTGAGCGTTGGCAGAGGGTGGCGACAGCGATGGCCTACGTCCATTGATGTCAGGGATGTGCAATTGCTTTGATACTTCGTTTGCTCTGGCTTCAGCTTTAGATAAGCCTGGCAACTCTCCTCCACGGTCTGCAATGTCGCGATGATCTGTCTGCTTTTGTTGAACTTGTCTCGGTCCCTATGACAAATTGCATTAGCAACGCGAGTGCAATTTCAATTCAATTGGCAAAATTACCTGCCCATAAGGAAGCATGCTTCCGCTTCCTGCTGCATGTTGAACATACTGACTGGGATCAGTGACATCTTGAGGCACTGGTGCAGCACTTCCGCTCACAGGCTTTTTCAGTAGATCAATACGCTGTTGAATATGCGCATTATTAGGATCCAATTCAAGGGCGCGCTGATAGGCGTCTAAAGCATCCTGCACTTGATTGTTGCACGACTCGTACAATGTTCCCAAATCATACCACACCTCGCTGATGTAAGGATTTAGACGGATAGCTCTGCTATAAGCGTCTAAAGCATCTCTATATTGGTTGATCTGATAATACAGCACGCCAATTGAGCACCAGAATATTGGGTTGCGAGCATCTCTGTACACTGCTTGCTGATATGATTCGTATGCCTTGGTGTAATTCTGCTCTGCCATATAACAACGACCCAACAGATACCATGATTGAGCATCTGCGCTATCAGCACTAATTGATTTCGTCAAGAGTTCGGTTGCCAATTTCTGGTTTGTGAAGGAAGTGTCGGGTTGATGATAAAGCCATCCAAGCTGCTGTAAGACTTTTGCGTGATCCGGGCTCTCGGATAACACATGTTCGTATGCCTCTTTTGCAGCATCATACTGTTACGAGTTAGTATCCCATCGAATGTGAAACTGCAGCATTTCTTACTTCTTTCTTTTGTTCATGAACATGGCCGATCTGGAACCAAATGTCTGATTCGATCAAGGGACTTGGTGGGTGTTGCAAAACGTATTGAAAGTACTATAAAGGCATGAGAACTCAATCATAAGCGCCGACACATACAATACTTACTTGTAATGATGGATCAAACTTACGCTGTTGCTTGTATATGATGCCCAATCTGAAGTAAACCTCGCTTGCCTTTTCAAACTGAGGATCCATCTTCATCACAGCCGAAAATGCCTCTTCAGCATGCTCCAGTGAACCATAGCGGTCGTATAAGATTCCAATGCCATACCATAGCTTAGCATCTTTGGGGTTCTGCAAGTGGTATAATGCTTGTTGGTAGGCTTGGTAGGCTTCCTGTAAATTGTCTGACATCAGGTAACAATGACCTAATGCTGCCCAGGTATCACCATGGCTGTCTTGAATTGCCAGTACTCTCTTGAAATAGTCCACTGCCTTTGATTGCAGCCATATAGATTAGCACAATAAAAATCTGTAATTACATGACTATACTTTACTCTTTCAAGCTGCTCTCTGGCACGATAGATTGATGCGATTTGAGACAAGGCAACGATGGAGTAAGGGTTATGTCTTAAAGCTGACTCATAGCTATTTATGGCTTTATCATGATCGCCCATCATTTCGGCCAAATTACCTACAAAAAGATGCTATTATTGGCATTGTATGTACTCATCTAAATTCAGCTTGCATGTCTGTACCAACTGTTATCCATGTCTGCTCATTCACAGTGGCTAATTTTTGTACGGTATTACTAGGCTGGGAGTGCATGCCGCTGTTACTGAGTGCTGTATTCATTATTGCGCTGAAGGTAATTGGCAGTAATGTGATTATTTAGGTTTCAAGCGAGAGATATATAATACAATAGAAAACTAAAAGGGAGAAAAAAAAAGAGCTCTGCAGAGGAAAAAAAAAGAAGAGAAACAATCCTGGAAGTATTACATATTTGCAAGTTTGATTAAAACTCCCAAAACTGTAAAAAGCGGCGATCAGAAACAATTAAGGTTTGGGCTCAAGGGAAAACTACAAATAGTATTGGATCACCATTTATCTTTAAATATCTTGTAAGAATCTTCAGGGCTGCTGCAATTACGCAATGCAGATCACCAGTCATTTGTGAATTGATAGTGCAAAAGTGTGTATTCATCATCACCATGAGTAATCTTTGCAATAGAATCCACTGCATTCATCAAATTGAATCATCATTGTCTTAAAGACGTCATTTGAATCGACAGATTCATTACGCATATAATTAGTAAGATTTAAACGTAATCTTGACATTGTTGTAAATCATGTAATTGGTTCGGCAACCTTCTTTTAAACATTTGATTGCATTGTAAAAGGGCTATTGCGATGTTGTTTTTCTTGGGTTGGAGACAATGTTGCTTGCACGTTATTGAGCCTTGATCGCATTTGGGGCCTTTCCATTTGACTCGAATACGCTTTTTATATGTGCTTTGGTATGAAACCGAGGAGCGAGAGGTAGCCTTGGTGTGCCCTTTTATAAATGCCACCCAAGAGTAAACCGACAATGCCTGGCATACAAAACAACAAGAGGAAAGTAGTTTTGTGGCTCAAAACTATGTAAACATCAAGCATTCAGTATACGTGGTTGCATAATTCTGGCACAATTACCAGACTAATTTATAGGGTTAAATAGTGCATATGATACCCATTGTCATAGCAGTATATCTTGCATCAGCTAATTGAGTCTAGCGGTGATAAAGGGTCATATCAACTGCCAATCTTACTGACAGATGCTATGTACCACTGAATTATCGCATAAAAATCTCTTATAAACGATTTATATCTGAGGATCTAACTCGTTTGCGATGCTCTATGTCTTTATTCATACAAGCAACTCAAATAAAGGCAAGCAATGCACTTTCATTAACTCTTATTACTCAAAAATATGCAAAATACAGCGAGATTTAAGTGCATTTGAGCAGTAATTTCTTGTGTTTGAAGCCGTTTTAGACTGCCAGAATAGCACCAAACGATCATTCTCGACTAGCACTTACATTCTGATACCATTGCTCAACTTTTTTGGGATCGCCAAAAAATCGACCAAAAACTACATCAAAACCATGAGGGATACCTCATGATTTTTGGCGAAAATTAAACGATCGCGTTTTTGACCTCCAAAATGAAGACTTCTACTATGGCATACGAGCCTTTCAGCACTTCGGGTGGTTTCCTGACCTACGCTTCGCTTCGGTGGAAACCAACCTACGTCCAAACGGCTCGCGCTGCCGCGGGCCTTTGGCTAATATCCCAATATTAATATAGCTAAAATGTTAGAAGAAGAACCCTGATTGTTGATTGATATATAATCACTAATCATATGGGTGTTTATGCTTCGGATGGTTCTCTACTTTCGCTACGCTTCGGTGAGAACCAACCTGCACAGCGACAGCTCGAGCTACCGGTTACCCTTGCGTATCTTATCATAATACTACTACGTTCAAGCTGACCCTCTACTTACACATAGTAACCCTTCATATTATCTGTGGATCTGATTCTTATGTGATGTTCTACATCCATATACACGTAGCTACTTCATATACGGGCAAGTAGCATACTGGTATTTCCACTTTTTAGTCCTTAGTGTCCATAATACAGCAAAATTTGAATGTATTTGAGCTGCGTTTTCTCGCGTCCAAGGCGGTTTTAGATTGTCATAATAGGACCAAACACTTGCTCTCATCTGGCAGTTACTTTCTGACACCTTTGCTCAACTTTTTGGGGATAAAAAAAACATGGCTAAAAATCGACCAAAAAGCATGAGGTACCCCTCATGGTTTTCATCGAAAATCAAACGATCGCATTTTTTATCACAAAAACGAAGACTTTTATTATGGCATGCATTGAACCAAAATGTCTCTTTCGATCCAACACAACCCCTGAAGCTTTGTTTGTGAGACCTTGATATATAAAATCTCGACATTTTCGCCAAAAACGTCATTTCATAATTTCGTAAATTGCTCGACAAGTTCAATCAAAACAGCTATAATAAATAGCACCATTGGATGCGCCTCGAAAAGTTCTTCTAGATAGCTTAAGGCTGTAAAGGATGATCACTACAACTTTCATAGTCAAATTTGGTAAAATGAGTCGATCAAGTCGCAAAAGGATCAAAAATCAACGAATTGTGATAGAATGTCGATCGAGATTTTAATTCCTTCTGGCTGGCAAAAAAAAAGACACCCCTTGATTGCTCAAAGCCCTATAATATAACGGCAATGATACTCACAGGAAAGATTACGAGAAAGTGAGACTCCTTCCCAAATGGACAGCGTACCCAACGTGAGACCCAAAAAGAACAAGCTGGTGACATAGGAGGAGCGTGACATGATCCAAAGCAACAGAATAGCACACAGACAAAAATGATATTGCAGGTGAAGTTTAATTCAGAAACCTCTTTCTTTTGGAAATCCCACGGCCTTGTTTGATGAATTTCGCGATGTGTACTTTACTTAGAATTCTGAAAATAGTACCATTGGATTCCTCAAGCGATTTGCTTTCTAATGATGTACATACTTTCTAATAAAATATCCTCTCTTTGACCACAAATTGGCCATTTACTTGCTTATCTCTCTTCAATTCATGTCCTTTTGTTTACTTTACATGTGATTTTTTTAAAGCTTAATTTTGCCTAGCAAATGAATTGTTTTGATTTTGCATGATCCGAATACCTTCTAAAAGAGGACAATCCCTAAAAAGAATGACATGAAATGTGTTGACTCTTTATGGGATGAATACTCTTGGCGTAAGAACTACAAACAGGTTGCAGGAATGATACACGAGAATGACCAACTCACTATGTAAATGTGGGCATATTGATGATATCTAGTAGCACAAACACTTGATTGACATCATTGACAGCAACCATGATAGCTGGAAACAAGATGACTTGCACTGGTTCGAAAACAATCCAATATGTTCCATTCCATGGAGATTGCCGCAGTAATATTCATATGGCACTCTTGTTTTCCAAGGTGTACGCTTGTCTCTTGGTCCAGAATCAGTTATGCTGGCTCCGATGTGATGTAAACGACAAGTAAGCCAACCTTAACACTCGTATTGTCCGATTAGATGGACAGTTTATGACTGATGTAAACAAAAAGAGAGATGGATCGAGAACTGTAATTTTAGAGAGAGAAATTAAGGGGAGGTAGAGAAAGATTACTTAATCAAGCAACCAGCTGCATTTGTTTCAGTGTCAAATGACATTTTTTGTTTACTTTTTGATGAGGTTGAACCAGTGAAAAGTTGTCTGTTAATTACATCTAGGAAGAGATGGGGGAACTCGTTTCATGTGAAGGTGGAAAAAGGGCTTTTTGAAGTAGCAAAATGGACATAACTCGAGACAGAAAACAGTTGAAAGCCTCGGACGAAGCGGATCAAATAGAGCAAGTGTCAAACGTCAAAATGGTACTACTCTTGCGTTCCTAAATAAGCACATTGTGGAAAAAAGCAAAAGGAACGACTTTGAGTGTGGCAAGGGCACTAGACTCACATAAAAGTCGATGAGAAGGATATAAATAGAGGTTTGTTTCAACAGCTTTTCCCTCTTCTTCTTCATCTCATCTCTCTCCAACAAGCAAAATACTCTATACATACAAACTCTCTACAAGACATTTGGGCTATCTCTCTCTCTACATATGGTCAAGTAAATCAAATACTCTACTGTCTATTGGCCTCTACTACTGCTACATACAATGCCTTACAAATCCATGGTCCTCTCTACGTCTCTTGGTCCATGCTAGAAAAAGGCCACACTATCTTTGATACATGCAGACCTTGGTGAACTGTGCGAGTAAGTTATTATCTTGTTGGACGTATGAGCCATGTTGACTAACCTATTGATTACATAGTGCCGAAAAACTACTTTGTAGGGACTGAGTAGGATCACCGCTTCATAATCATGGGTAGACTGCAGGACAAATCCATTGGTCATGCTACGGGATGATCACAAGCTTTATTGCCGACGAGAGTAGGGTTTAACCCTATGATCCGGAGATGGAGGCGGCTTGAGCGTGTCGATGATCTTGTGATGGATGAAGCAAGTTTACACCTTGGTACCTGTTTATATAGTGTTGGTTCCTTTTATTGATGATCAATTTTCTTTGCCCAAATGGTTTGTTACGCACTCATGCCACAGTACTTGTGTACTCATCTCATCTTTATCTAGTTACCTCTGCCATCTCATGTTCTATCTCATCTGAAGCAAGCTGTCCTCTACAAATGCTATCAAGCCAAGTTCTCTGTGCCTCCTACAAGCTCCTAAAATGACAAGACTGTTCAAATATACCATCTCTACATCTATACAAGGTCAAGCCCTACTCTCATCTGTGCTTCCTACAAGCTCCTAAAATGACAAGACTGTTCAAATATACCATCTCTACATCTATACAAGGTCAAGCCCTACTCTCATCTGTGCTTCCTCTTACTCAATCAATCATCAAGACAATTAATGCCTGACATCTATACAAGGCCGAGTCGTTCTTATATCTCTGCTACCTCTATCTATACAAGTCAAAATAGCCTCAAAAATCTGAAATATTTTAATCCATCAAGTATGGAGATCTCATAAACTCAAATACACATTAATAAAAAAACAACCACGTCTTGTCATTAGCTTCAATATTATGCTCTATTAAGATTACATCTTCTTTCAATGCTTGTACTGTCTATCAATTGCTGTGACCAATGTATTTTAAAGCTTGTACATAAGTTAATCATATACATATAATTTAACGTCAAGAGATTTTGCCTGTATGTAATATCATAACATGATAAATTTATGGTCCCTAAACACTTTCAAAGCCTCAAAAAGGAAAGAAATTGATCTAACAAGTATTTTGATAGACTGGCGTTATCAAATATAGATTCAAAAAGAACAGCATAGCTAACGATAATGCTATATGATTTGCCACCTACTTTCCATACGCTTCAAAAGTATCTATTATTGTACTGCCTTCATGATGGAAAGGGCATTGAGTCTGCCAGCCGGCCGCACTAGCCGTCAAAATTGATTCAAATCCAGAACATTTTTTCTGTTCAAGATTGGACAGAAAGTGTCTTTCTTCGACTTGATTCAACTCTTTTGTAAGATTCGACTATACTAGTTGTGATGATCACCCTTTGCTTCCTAATACTGTCCCTGGTGGTAGGGCGAAGTGGTAAAACTCCCGTATGCCAACGGGAGGATCCCGGTTCAAATCCTGGTGAACGCAAGTTGTTTGATTTTTTTGACGTAGTACTGATGTCCTCGTTTGGTGTTTTGTGCTCTTATCCATGATCTTTATTTTGACGATTTTCCGCAAGACTGTACTGGCTCTAGGAGTCGCACCTTATTAGTAGTAGATTTCTTTCCCAACTTAGTTCAAAAAATATCTTATTCCCCTTCTTTGCAGACATTGGGTCCACCAACAGTCTTTTCTATCACTCAGTATGACATTTAAAGGACTTTAAATAAAACCTGGAGCTCGACTCCCCTACAAAAAAAAAAAAAAAAAAAAAAAAAAAAAAAAATTGCTTCCTAATACGATCTCAAAGTACTTTTCAAGACGCATCCAATGGTACCAAGTAAGGTAAATGTTTCAAATAAATTTACTGAGCAAATTATGAAAATATGAAATGAGGTTTCTGGCCAAAAAGTCGAAATTTTACATATCAAAGCCCCACAAAGAAAATTTCAGATGTTACGTTTGATCAATAGAAACATTTTTGTTCAATATATACCATAGTAAAAGTCTTTATTATCAAGGTCAAAGACGCAATCGTTTGTTTTTGATGAAAACCATGAGGTACCTCTCATGCTTTTTGGTCCCCAAAAAGATGAGCAAAGGTATCAGGAAGTAACTGCCAGACGAGAGCAATTGTTTGGTGCTATTCTGACGATCTAAAACAGCTTCTATCGCGAGAAATCACGGCACAAATGCACTCATATATTGCTGTATCAAGGAATACTAAGGGCTAAAAAGAAGAAACACCAGTATGCTGCTTGCCCGTATATGAAGTAGCTACGTGTATATGGATGTAGAACATCACACAAGAATCAGATCCACAGATAATATAAAGGGTTTCCATATGTACATTGAAAATTAAATGATCGCGTTTTTGATTTTGATAACGAAGACTCTTACTACGATATACAAACCTTTCAGCACTTCGGGTGGTTTCCTGACCTACGCTTCGCTTCGGTAGAAACCAACCTACGTACAAACGACTCGCGCTGCCGCGGGCCTTTGGCCTAATATCCCAATATTAATATAGCTAAAATGTTAGAAGAAGAACCCTGATTGTTGATTGATATATAATCACTAATCATATGGGTGTTTATGCTTCGGATGGTTCTCTACTTTCGCTACGCTTCGGTGAGAACCAACCTGCACAGCGACAGCTCGAGCTACCGGTTACCCTTGCGTATCTTATCATAATACTACTACGTTCAAGCTGACCCTCTACTTACACATAGTAACCCTTCATATTATCTGTGGATCTGATTCTTATGTGATGTTCTACATCCATATACACGTAGCTACTTCATATACGGGCAAGCAGCATACTGGTGTTTCTTCTTTTTAGCCCTTAGTATTCCTTGATACAGCAATATATGAGTGCATTTGTGCCGTGATTTCTCGCGATAGAAGCGGTTTTAGATCGTCAGAATAGCACCAAACACTTGCTCTCATCTGGCAGTTACTTTCTGACACCTTTGCTCAATTTTTTGGGGATCAAAAAAACATGAACAAAATTCGACCAAAAAGCATGAGGTACCCCTCATGGTTTTCATCGAAAATCAAACGATCGCGTTTTTCACCTTGAAAATGGAGACTTTTGCTATGGTATATCTTGAATCAAAATGTTTCTATCGATCCAAAGCCACCTCTGAAACTACTTTTATGAGGTGTTCATATGCAAAATTTCGACATTTTGGCCAAAAACCTTGTCCCAGATTTTTTTTGGGATTGCTTATTAAGTTCAGTTAAAACATGTATTTTACTTGGCATTATTGGAAGCGCCTTGAAAAGTACTCCAAGAGTGTATTAGGAAGCGTTTTTTTTGTAGGGGAGTTGTACTCCATTTTTTATTTAAAATCCTCTAAATGTCATGATGAGGGAAGAAGAAGACTGGATATATTTTTAAAGGCAAGAAAATGAAGAAGGGAAGCAAGGAAGTGGAATACGACCATAAAATACGTTAGGGTACATACTTACAAATCAAACTGTAATTCTGATTCCAAGCGAGACAGAGAACGGGCAATAGATGTGTTAACGTTGAGAGTGACAAAAGGGACATGGTCGAAGATGGAGCGCCAGTGGGCTTGCCATATACAGAGTAGACTGGTAGCGAAAACTTGGTAAACGGTAAGCTCTGGAAAAGGTAAGGAGGCAGAGCGAGTGGGTTCAGCTATGGATAGAGTTTGAATACCGTGGAGGAATGGGAGAAGGACGTCGTCGGTCATCGGCGTGTGGGATAGGTATGTAGTGGCAAGGAACCGCCATACAGCGAGTTTGAGAGGACAAGTAAAGAAGAAATGTTGGATATCCTCCGGGCTCTGGGTCAAACAGAGAGGACACGAAGGTGAAGGGTGAGTTGTGGGGATGAAGTGGTGGAGGATCGATTTGGAGGGAATTTTTCGATGGATAAGTCTATACCATACAGTTCGGGATTGAAGGAGAATAGGTAGTTTTGAAAAGAGGCGCCATTGGGAGGGGGAAAGAGGTGAAGTGTTGATGGTGGGCATGTCAGTGGAAACCAAGTGTTTGTAGTATTGAATACTGTTGAGTGGCACTGTTGAAGGTATTGGTGTTATAGGTTTGATTAGACGGCGAATGAGTGGGCGGATGTTGTGGGGGTTGGCACCAAAGGAGGCACTGGTAAATGAATGGCGAGGGGCCTGACGGCAGAGAGCGAGAAAGAATGGTTGGAGGTAGATTTGGCCTTCCTCAATCCAACGGGCAACTCGATGAGATATTCTTGGATAATGGCAAAACTCAAGGAAGGTCCAGTTTCTAAGACGGATCACTTGTAAGTCGAAGTCAAAGGTAAACACATCTATTGCGAGCAGTTTCTGGACGGCGTGATGTCGGTCAAACAGTTGATCTGGAGCTGTGAAAGATGAGAAATGGAGTTGAGTAGAAGGGAGGGTATGTAAGATAATTTCAAGGAAAGGTAATGATAAACCTGTATAAAAATCTATGTGACAGGTTGTGAAAGAGCGAGGTATTCGATCCATGGTGGTAATGACATTGGTGAGTATGTTAAGGAAGACTTGGTGTGGACTGGGTCGATGTTGGAACCAGATGGTTTGTCGAGCAGCAGGAAAGAGTAAGTATTAAAAGTACTCAGAGAAAGCGGTAGAGTGGAAATACCATTGCAGGGTGTACTGGAGGAGTGGAATGCTTGGGGTGGTGTATGTCGGTAATAGTGGTGAATGACAGGCGGCCAAAATGAGGGGGCAAATCCAGCGCCATTGGAGAGCTTGTTGTTGGACAATGGGATCTAAAACTTGGAGGCCGCCATGATGGCGAGGCTGTTGAAGGGTTCTAAAGGATAGTTTGGGGAAGATGCGAAAGTTAATGAAGGAGGACCCAAGTCTGCGTAAGGAGAGTAATTGAGCTCTGGTGAAAATAAAGTTGCGCATGACATGCCAGAGTTTCGAGAAAATAAGTGTGTTGAGAACGGTAGCTCTTCCACCAATGGAGAGGTTCCGTTGGGAGTGAATATGGATGCATTGTTGGATATTGTTGTAGGATTGCTGGAAAGCGAGGTTGCGTTGGGATAAACTGGAGCATATGGGATAGCCAAGATATGTTACTGGATCAGGAGAGATGCGGTCATGCATTTGGTGGATTTGGTGTGTAGCAAGAAACTCGCGCCAATCTGGTTGTGGTTGTCCAGAGAGCGAAATGGCTATAGTTTTCCTGTAATTTAGTAGTGCATTCGATGCTTTCTTGTATGTATTGATAGAGTCCTTCAGAAGAAGAAAATCCGAAAAGTTCTTCAAATAGACTAATGTGTCATCTGCATAGGCTAGAATTTTGTACTTAATTGGATTGCGATGGGTGGGAGAGACTGAAGGAGTGTTGCAAGGGGAGGCTGGCGGAGAGGATGCGTTGGTGAGGCTTTCGGTTAGATCGTCTATGTCAACAGTAGGTGATGGATGTGGTGGGGCTTCTTGTTGTACATGGAAACCCTCAAAAGTAGGGTTCTGTTGAATGGAGCGGAGGAAAGGGTCAAAAGCAATGTTGAAAAGGAGGGGACTGAGTGGATCACCTTGGCAAAGGCCTCTTTCTTGAGAAAGAGGTGCCGTGGTGATGTGGCCGTTAATGTTGATCTGAATGTTAGTGGAGAAGAAAGGTGAGATGATACAGTGTGTTAATGATTGTGGAATACCAAATTGGAGCATAATGTGTTGAAGATATTTGGGATGAATACGATCATATGCTTTTTCTTGATCCAAAAGAAGAGCAATGGTGGATGAGTGGTTGGTAGTAGCTAGGAGTTTGGTGGTCTGTAATGTGAAGCCGTGCTCGCCAATGAAGCGGTTCGGCATGAATCCAAGTTGTTGGGGGCTGATTAATTGTTGCATATGTGGTATCAGACGCTGGTTGAGCAGGCGTGTGAAGATTTTGGCATCGCAGTTGATTAACGAGATGGGACGAAAATTCCTCAGGTCTGTGAGATCGCCCTTTTTTGGGAGCAGGCACATGCAAGTAGTGAGCCAGCTGTCGGGAAAGATACCGAGGGTAAGAGCCTCCTTGAAGACGGCATGGGCAAGTTGGGCTGTTTGTTGGTGGGATAATAGCACCGCTAGGATTTCATAGGGTTGGCCATCCGTACCTGGGCTGCTATGGTTGGGCGACCGCTGTGCACCAGTCATAATCTCGTCGATGGTAAATGGCGTCTCCAAGGTGGGTTGGCTGTTTACTGGGATCTGTGCTGAGGCAGGGATGGTGTTGCAGAGTTCAGAGATGCTGGTATAATCTATGGGGTCAGTGGTATATAGTTTACGATAAAAACATACTGCAGCATCCTGCATAGTCTCTGCCGTATCGCAGATGGAGTGGGTGTCTGGATGTTGGAGAGCTAACATGGTGCGTTGAATTTGTCTAGTGGCGATTGTGCGTTTGAGGTATCCGGCAGACGTTTCACCCTGTTCACGCCACATTTTACCCGCACGAATGGTTTGTTGGATGGAGATCTCCTGTTGCAGATCGCTGATGAGTTTCTCGATAACGGGTAATCGTTCTCGGAGAATGGTTGGTTGATTCTGATATCGTTTGAACAACTGGTTGCGTTTCCCTTGAAACCGTATGAGTTGTCGGTTGCGCCAAGAGCTGTGGCGGCGACCAATGCGACGGGCAATGGTTTTCACTACGGCCTTGAGTGCATCCCATTGTGCTTGAGGGGAAGTACCTGGTTCCTGGAAGAACTGATCTAACGCCTGGTGAATTTCGGTGACGAAGTACTCGTTCTTTGCTAGCTGGGGATTAGCTCGCCAAAGCCCAGTACCCTGTTGAGAGGAGGAGAATTGAAAGGCGGTATTGAGGATGGCATGATCAGTCCACTGGGAGCACATGAAATCAATGGAGGACGAGTGTAGTTGTTGAAATAGCGTTGGTGAGCAGTAGACATAATCGATGGTCGACCGTGAGATCCCGCGACGGAATGTTGGTAAAAGTGGCCCGTCATGCTTAGAGTGGGTACATTCGATGAGGTGATTGCTGAGTAAGTCATGCCAGCGGTGTTGAGCCAGCATGGCAGAGTGGTGGTGGGGTTGATCTGACTGTATAGGGGGAGAGAAAGAATCAGTAGTATAGTTGGTATTGTCAATGGCATAAGAGGTAGCATGATAATTAAAGTCACCTAGTATAATCAGAGATTCACGATCCACTGTAATCGTGGAAGGTTCCTCGGTAGATATTGGAGGTGGTTGGATGTCAATGGTGATGGGAAAGGTGTCCAGAGCCCAGGTATCGGGGTGAAAGAGTGGAATGGTAAGCAGTTGTGAATAAAAGTGGGCTCTGGACGACGCCGTGGCAGGAGCATAAATATTAACGAGTGTGATGGGTGAAAAGAGTGCATTACAGTGTGTTACCTGACACACGATAATCCGGTCATCAAGGATAAAGTTGAGCGGTTGGATGATGATTTTTGGGTTGAGAGAGACAATACCGCAGTGGGATGTCCAGATGCTGGTGTTGGTTTGAAAATGCATATTCAGTCGTTCACGGACTGATTCGGTAGCATGGGTTTCTTGGAAGCATAGAATGCCATATTTCAGTTCAGGATTGCGAAGGGATCGTACAAATTCGGAACTGGTGGTTGGGTTGGAGAGCTTACTGAGACTTCGACAATTGAGTGAGCCTATCTTAATAGTTGATCTATAATCTGTCATAGGTGGGTTAGTAGCATAGTGTGTCATAGAGGGAGCATAAGGGTGGGAGATTCATATAGTTACTAATTAGGCCACGGGGGCTGAAGTCTCGTCAGCTCGGATAGTGGTGGTGCTAGTGGTGTTTGCCTCGCCCATGGTGAGGTCTTGTTCAGCGGCGGTGGGTGTAGTAGTCGTTTGTTGACGCTTGTAAGCTGGAACATAAGCTGGTTTGATGGACTTAGTTAGCTGGGCATACTCGTCTTCAGGAATGAAGTGTTGCTTGAAGCAGAAGAAGCGGGCCACTGCCAGCTGGTAGTGCGGGTCCTTCAAACGCCCGATGATGACCTTCAAACGAGCAAGGAAAAGGCGGCGACATTCGGCAGCTAGGAAAGTAGGATCAGAGTCGGTATACTTGGGGTCACGCAACGTGGTGGTGTCCATGGGATCGAACTGGATAGGTGCCAACTCGTACTTGGTCAATTGGGCTTCCAAGGATGGGATGTCGTCTATGTGGACGAGAAGGCCATAAACATGACGGTCGGGGAAATGGATATCCAAGGTCCGCTTGTTGTGGATGCCCATAGCATGGAAGTCATCCCTCATTTGGCTAATGGGCGAAGGGCTACGGTTGGGAATGTAGACAAATCAGTAACCATGGTTGGGTGACACGACCAAAAATTGACGAGCAGCAGCAAGACTGGCATCGGTAACATTAAGGTTGAGAGGTTGAAGCCTCTTTCGAGGTATGGTTTTAGCTTTGGGACGTTTGACGGCAGAAGGGTCCGCTTGTTTCTTGGCGACGTCGGCAAAAGAAGGTTGGGCCATAGTAATTGGAGAAGGTGAGGCAGCAGTCGATTCAGGAGCAAGGAAGGACTGCGGAGCTTGCTGTGATTCAAGTTGGCGAATCCGTTGCTGGGCATCCTCTAATTGTTTTTTGGTTTGATCCAAGGACGAACGAAGGTTCTCCTGGATAAGAGCTTGCATCTCAGAGATTTGGGATGCTTGACTATCGAGTCGGGCGTAAATGTCCTTGAGGTAGTCAGGGAGATTGGGCACGGAGTGAATGTTGAGGTCACTCAGTGAAAGAGGGAAAGGTTTAGTGGGGGTCGTCGTGGTTGAAGCTACGTTGGACACGGCTACAGGAGGAATAGCGTTGGCAGCAGGAGGTAGGGTGTTCTCGACCATGGCTTTGGTGATGGAACGGGTGAGTCGGGTTGTAGCTGTTAACTTGGGTCGAAGACTAACAGATGAGGGAAGAGGGGTAAGTGTTTGTCTAGCTAATGTGGAGAGTCGACGTTTAGTGGAGACAGACGGGATGGTAGGTGTTGTAAGACGACTTTTAGCGGTTGTAGAGGCTGGCTTGGGCCGAGTAGTGGGTGTTGTACTGCTTGGAGTTGTTGGAGTTTTCGCTTTATTTACTTCTGTTGTTATTATATGTTTTATCGCGTTAATAGTGCTGTTTTCGGGGTTTAAAAGGCCTTAAAAACAATTTAGACGAAAGGAAAGGTGCTTAAGGAAATATGGGATAATCATGACAGCTTACATAGTCGGATAAGGCAAAATAGATCAGTTGGGTCGAATTTCGATCTGATTTGACCAATCTTGAGTAGAAGTCAAGCGATATTTTAATTGGATTTGGCTGGTGGCCATGATGGCTTCTAACAATGAAGACAATCGATGTTTGTGAGGCGAATATAAAGAGGCTTGCGTGTTGAAAAAGCATAATAGATTCGCGTGAATAATTTCTACTGCTTTTGAATACTTGTTAATAAAAAAAAAAAAAACTGCTCTTAAAATCATCCTTAATGACCATCTCAACATGGTAGATGAACTAAGCTACTATCATTATGATAAGCTTTCCGGCTAAGGGGCTCGTGCATTACCTAAAAAACTATATCAGTATCTAGTGAATCTAAGTGTACATCGTCTGATAGCCGTATAAGCTATAAAAAAAGGTAACTGATCAAAAACATCTTGCTGAAAGAAGATTTGCATGATATTAATGCAAACGAGGCTTTTTTGTGTAGCTAGCAATATAAGCTTACATACATATATTCGCTCAAAATAGACAGCAGGTAGCCATTTGAGTGAAAGCAGACTGATGTGAATAATAGTTGCACTGTGCACCCTCATTGTAGCCCACCCTCAATTTATTGATTTTATATGCGTTACATGCGGGGAAGAGCACGCATTCAGCCAGATCATTTCCAAACGAATCCATATGGATTTACTCATTCTGAACTCAAAGTCGCTTGGTAACAGGATCTGTCCAAGGTTAAGCGCCTGGCTCTTGACAGTTTTTGCTGATCTAGATCAAATTGAAGCTAGTCGGTATATAACATGCTACACCTTTTGTTGTATGATTGGACTGATAAATTGCACTCTACACAGTTGGGTCTCAAAAATTTAATGTAGCAAACCAGCCATAAAACGAAGCATTTAGGCATGCCCAAAAAAGAAGGTTTTAATTTTTAATTGTCTTGATTTTCTTTTACCCCTATTACTCTCTCTTTTTTCTTCTTCCCTTCCATCCTTGCATTCTAAAGGAGGATCAACATAGCTCAACATGGTTCACATCTTTAGTGGCCTTACTACAATGGCGTTGTTTGTCGTCTTCACACAAGCACAAGCTAAGCGATATATGGGGAAAAGAGACCTCAGTCGAGACTATTACACATTGAATATACCCAGCACGAAAGACGGTATAGAATCAGCGAAGTACATTGCTCACCAGCTTCAAGTGAGGTATGAAGGAAGTGTAGGTGAGCTAGACTCTTGGTTCATGGTGAGCTCTCCTCAGAGCCTCAAAAGAGACGATCCAGTATTAGCCAACTTTAACAGACTCAAGCATCTCTCGCTGCAAAAAAGAGACGCCACTTCACAGCACTGGCAAAACGTAAAGTTGATAGAAAAGCAAACTCTGAAACGACGTACAAAACGTGGACCAATACCCGCAGACAAGCAATTAGTTGATGCACAAAAAACACTCAGTATCAAGGATCCCTGGTTTCCTCAGCAGTGGCATCTGGTAACATCTAGATACATGGAATATACAGCCTTGTTCTAATCTGAACCATACACACCTAGATCAACACTGAAAATCCAGGCAATGATATCAATGTCACCGGAGTCTGGAAGCAGGGTAAGCAAGAGAGTGGTCTGGGTGTTGCCAGCACTTACTAAGTATCGTCTTGGCATGATAGGTATCACTGGCAAAGGTGTTAATGTGGTGATCTTGGATGACGGGCTGGATTATAAGAGCAAAGACTTGGCAGACAACTTTGTAAGTACCTTGTCTGAGTGATGCGGATCAGATGCTCACACGTTGGTTTCATAGTTTGCAGAAGGTTCCTATGATTTCAACGATCATGAATCACTGCCCACACCAAAGTTATGGGATGATAGTCATGGAACTCGTTGTGCTGGCCAGATTGCAGCTGTAAAGAACGATGTATGTGGTATGGGAATTGCATATGAAGCAAAGGTAGCTGGTGTTCGTATTTTGTCAGGCGATTTGACCGATGCAGATGAAGCCATTGCACTCAACTATGAATATCAAAAAAACATGATTTTCTCTTGCTCTTGGGGACCGCCTGATAATGGACAAACGATGGAAGCACCAAATGGCATTCTTGCAGACGCCTTTGCCAACGGTATCAAAAAGGGTCGAGGAGGAAAGGGATCCATCTATGTGTTTGCTACAGGCAATGGTGCTACATCCGGCGACAATTGCAATTTTGATGGATACACCAACAGCATTTACACCATCACTGTGGGAGCCATTGATCATAGAAACGAGCACCCTCCTTATTCTGAGAGCTGCTCAGCTCAGCTTGTAGTGACCTATTCGAGTGGAGGTGGCCAGTTTATTGTAAGTACAATATAAATTCAATTCTGTGATTTGCAGACTGATAAGCAAACAAACAATAGCACACTACAGATGTTGGTGAAAACAGCTGCTCTGATCGACATGGTGGTACATCGGCTGCTGCACCTAATGCAGCAGGCATCTTTGCACTGGTGTTGTCTGTTCGACCTGATTTAACATGGAGAGATTTGCAGCATCTCTGTGTGCAGACAGCATTGCCTGTCAACACCAATGACGAGGATTGGAAAGAGCTGCCTTCTGGAAGATTATACAATCACAAATTTGGATACGGTAAACTGGACGCTTATGCGCTGATTGAAGCAGCCAAAACATTCAAGCTGGTGAATCAACAAACATGGCTTGCACTGCCTAGCCCAGTAAAGAAGAGAGCTATCCCAGACTCTACTGGTCTCAAAACTCGAAAGGCGCTAAAGAACATTGTTTTGGTCACTGAAGAGATGATCAAAGCAGCCGGCCTGCTTCGATTGGAACACATTACAGCCACTGTCAATATCCAGCATGAAAGACGTGGTAACATTGTCATTGACCTGGAAAGTCCCAATCATGTCATCTCAGAATTGGCCACTAGACGTAATCTGGATACAAATGATCGTGGTATTACAAATTGGAAGTTTATGACAGTAAAACACTGGTAAGTCGAGGAGAAGTATTTGGTTTATCGAGTTGATAGTTTATATATTACACCAGGGAAGAAGATCCTGTTGGCAACTGGACACTCAATGTTTACGACGTTGACAATCCAGAATCAAAGGGCTTCATGTTGAATTGGACATTGACCTTGTTTGGAGAGCAGGATCCTGCATTTGAGGGAACGCCTATTCATTCCTCAACTGGTCTTCATGACGACAAAGAGCACGAGGTATCGATATCACCTACCACCTCTACGGCAAAACCTGTTTCGACTACAAAAGATAACACACCATCGAGACCAACTCGCATCAAGCCCGAGGATAAGAGCAGCAAATCATCAGAGAAAACGATATCCTCCACAACAGCCGCCTCTCCCACAAGCAGCGAAACCCCTGCTACTGAAAATGAAGAAGCAGGCACACAAGCAGAGAAGATGAAGGATGACCATAGTTACCTAACTGTCGTATACGCTGTAGTGGGATCATTTGCTATTCTTGGAGTAGCCACAGGACTTTACTTTTACAAACGTCAAGGATGGAAGTCGCCTATTATGACAACGCAGGACAGACAATTAGGGCCTGGAGGATATGAATTTGATGTACTTCAGCCACTGACTGAACTAGATGAAGACGAACTATCAGAATCAGACACAGATGACGATAACGAAGTGGATAGACTTGTTTGCAGCAACCATTAAAAGTTGTCTTTTATGTATGCCAATAAACCCCGATGTCTGATCCATCCTTTTGATGCCCTTCTTTACACTTCCATGAAAGCTTATTGACTCCCCTGTTTCTAAGCTTCTTTCTCCGATATTTTTTCTCTTTCTTTCTTTTCATACAACTTTTTTTTTTTTTCACCATGGTTTCGAGCCTGAATCTAGGAAGAGCTACCTTCTTGACTATATCAAGGGCTTTGAGATCAAAGCAGCATCTTGTCAATAAGCCATTGACAAAGCGATTCATCAGCACAATCAAACGAGGTATGAAACTCAATTGATCAGACAAGATTGTAGATTGATTCTCACTGCGAATGCATTAGATGGTCATGTCATTTTGGGAGGCAGTGTCAATCACGCGTACCAAAAGGTAGGCGAATTATTTTGATATAAAGCTGGAAGATGTTATTAACGCATACAATTTAGAGATGTATTCACGCTACAGGTAACACAATCAGAATGCAATACCAGGGGGGTTTTCATCGAAATTAATGCTTCATTATTCATGCCATAGCGCCCACATCTGCACCAAAAAAGGATCCTTATGAAGTTTTGGGCGTAAAGAAGAGCTCAACCGCAAGCGAAATCAAGAAAGCTTATTACGGTGTGAGTATCTTAAATGTTCACTTTGACATGTCGATCAATGCATAAATATTAACATGTCATTTCTAATTAGTTGGCCAAGAAATACCACCCAGACACAAACAAAGACAAAGACGCTCGCGAAAAATTTGTTCAGATTCAGGAAGCCTATGAAATTTTATCTGACGAGCAAAAGCGTCAACAATACGATCAGTTTGGCCATGGATTTGAAGGCGGCGCGCCAGGTGGAGGCAGTCCCTACGGTGGATTTGGAAGTGGAAGCGGATTTCCCGGTGGGTTTGACCCCAATGATATATTCAGTCAATTCTTTGGTGGTGGATTTGGTGGTAGAGCTGGCGGTGGCGGTGCAGATCCTTTCCATAATCGACCTACGCCTGGAGAAGATTTGCAAGTACCCCTCACGTTGACATTCATGGAAGCAGTAAAGGGTGCTACCAAATACGTCCAAGTGAATAAGGTGACAAACTGTGATACATGCCATGGTAGCGGTCTAGGCGAGGGTAAAAAGAAGGAGACATGTCAGGTATGTCATGGTTCTGGTGTGCAAACAATCATGATGGGTGGCTTCCATATGCAAACTGCCTGTCAATCATGTGGTGGTGCAGGCAGTTCTATTCCTGCTGGATGTGGTTGTCCATCTTGTAACAGTATGGGTAAAGTCAGAGAAAGAAAGACAGTTCAAGTCAAGGTGCCTCCAGGTGTAGACCAAAACTCTCGAATTCGAGTTACTGGCGAAGGTGATGCTCCATTGAAGGGACAAGGTCCCAATGGCGATTTATTTGTTACATTAAATATCCAAGCATCCAAGGTGTTCCGCAGACAAGATTCAGACATTTTTGTTGATGCAAAGATCCCCTTCTATAAGGCCATGTTGGGCGGTCGTATCCGCATTCCAACAGTAGATGGTGATGTCGATGTCAAGGTGCCCTCAGGAGCTCAACCTGGTGATAACATTGCTCTGAGAGGTCGTGGTATTCAACGACTTCGTAGTAACGCTCGTGGTGATCAAATTGTGACACTCAAGGTGGAATTCCCTCGATCATTGAAGGGCAAGCAAAAAGAAATCATTCAAGAGTATGCAGCATTAGTTGATGAAGAATACAGACCCAAAGAGGAGCCACCCATTCAAGTTGCTCCCGACACACCTCCACCATCGCCATCAAGCGAGAATGTGCCTGGAGATGAGGACAGCGACAAGAAGGAAGGCGGCTTCTTCAAAAATGCATTTGGCAAGATCAAAGGCAAGATTTGCCATGATGAAGATGAGAAGAACAAGAACAAGGATAGCGATCAAGACAAGCACGATGAAAAGAAATAAATATATAGATTTTAGATTTTCTTGCGATGATTCTTTACTTTGTTCACGAAATAAAAAATATCATATTATATACAAAAATTGTGTGCAAGTTATATAATAATTTATATGGGGTATTTTTTTGCTTAAAACATCTCTTCAGTAAACCGCTTTAATTTCTTCTTGTATCCCTCTTCTGCTGAGCAATCGTCGCAATACCATTTTCCAACAGGTGGCTCAGCCAACCCGACGCAAGCATAATGAAACCATTCCTTTTCACACTATAAAATCAACGATGAGGTAATACTCTTGGTACGCATACAAATTCCAACTTACATTGTCCCCATCACAAGCAACCATATCGCCAAATGATACTTGGTTACAGTAACAGTATTTGGGTTCATTTGGATCTATATCTACCTCTGGAAGAGCTCCATTCTGTTCAATTGCTGGATTTGGTCTCGATGAATGGAGTGTTCTACTGCGATGATTATCAGCACATGATCAATCTACATCACTCATGATTTAATCTACCTCTTTCGAACAGAAATTGCTCCATGAGGAGAAGGTCTTTTGCGATCAAGCTTCCAGCTTGTGTCTTCTGTTAGATTTTTTCTAGCTGCACCTCCTATCCATTCCGTATCACTGATATCGCTCTTGGCCATCTGAGAATCGATGCGCTCAATATGTCGAGTAACCAAATCGTACATTCTCTTTGTCAAATCGATTTTTTGATCTTGTTTCTGTACAGCTAATTTGTAGTCTTTTTCCAGTTGAGAGCGAGCAGAGCTTAAACTCGTGGAAGGTGTAGGTGTTGCTGGACTCGTTGTAGTGGACGAAGCGTTGGAGTTGTTGGCTACTCTGCACATTTTGGCATACGATCGTCTATGTTTTGTGTAAATCTCCCTAAACCCTATACAAAGAAAAGCATCAATGTCAAAAAAAAAGAACGCAGCCAGCTCATCGACACATGTACACAATACGTTGAAATTCTTCGTCCATGCTACGTAATTCGTGCATGTTTTGGTCGATCTCTGAAGGCAGATTTTGTAGACCTGACAGTAAACAGTGAGATACAATGAATAGGATTAATCCATTTTCTCTTACTTTCTACATAATCTTCAAAAATATCAGCTACGGAAGTCATTGTTATCTTGTAAATAAACAGAAAGGAAAAGAGGGGTTGGGGTTTGCTACAAGAAAAAGTAAACAAGAGAAAGTGAAGGAAACTCTGGTTTCTAATGCTAATGATGTTACTCCGGTCCGGATGTAGCTTTGGCTCTCTGAAAATCAAGAAATGAGCCAGATGTGTCCCTGATCTCCTGAGATTTATGCGAAACGTCACCTTTTTTTCTTTCTTATCGAGTGGCAGTGTAAAGAAGTACAATGCTGCCATCGTAGCTCCCATTAATACGTCTGATATCTTCTACACTGGGTAAATATATGCAATCAATCCTCCAAATTATTGCTTATTAACAAATAATGAGCTATATTTGCCAGTGACACTTGACATCCAATAGTTAACTTGCACCAACAAGCTAGATCTAGGTTAATGGTTCTTTATTCTCAATGTAAAGAATAGAGTTAGGAATAAAAGTGCTGTGCAAATGAGTATCATAGTGGATATATATACTTTTTTTTTTCTGTGGAATATTTTCAGTCGCTCATGTCAGGAAATAACCATCATGCCACTTTTTTGTTTGCTGTTGTTTGTTGGAGTATTCTTACCACTCCCATAGTTCTTTCAGCCAACCTTCTATATTGCAGTTTGGATCAGCTCTTAATTTGACAAAATCGTGTTCCAGCATTTGCTCGGGTGAAGGTCGTTTCTCTGGTTCTTTAATCAAACATGTCTCAACAAAGTGTTGGCACTCAGGAGAGCGGTCAGCACCAACAGTTGGCATAGGTTGATGCACAATAAAGTCCAATAACTCAAAGATGCTTAAATGAGGTTGGCCAGGAGGAGGTAATGCTGGTCTGTTTTGTGCTACCTCAATGATGGTTAAGCCTAGGGACCATATATCGGAACTAACGGAATACGTTGCGCCCTTGATACGTTCAGGCTAGCAACAAGGAATGAGAGACATGGTCGGGCGAGAGATGACATATAAACCAACTTACCGCCATATAGTATTGTGTGCCTGTAAATGTTTCTGCCATCGAATTAATTAGTTCTCCAGATACACCCAGATCACATAATTTAATTTGTCCCTTCTTGGTCATCAAGATGTTGGAGGGTTTGATATCTCTGTGAATGACATTTTGAGAGTGCAAATAAATCAGACCCTTACAAACCTTTGCGCATTAGTAAAAAAAAAAAAAAAAAAAAAAAAAAAAAAAAAAAAAGTAAATTAGACTCCCATCGTGCATAAAAAAAAAAAGGAATGACGAACGTTGTATGAAATTATAACTTACGGAATCTGCAATGTTGGCCAGAATAGTCTCACCAATGACACCGTTAATTTTGCTCGCTCTCTTGTAAATGTCTTCCAAGCTGCCGCCCTCGCAAAACTCCATACATATAGCAATCGTGGTCTCTCCGTCATCCAAAAATGCGCCATAGAATGATACGATGTAGGGTGATTCACAAGTCTTGAGAAAGGACAGTTCTCTCAAGATTTGACGTTGCAACTGTGGATCGGGATCAACTGTAATTGTCTATCGTATCATATATACTCTCAATAAACCACGCTATCCATCTCGCACAAAGACACTTACCTTTTTGGCCATAATTAAATTGGATGGTTTATGCATTACTTGCCAAACCGTACCCGCCGCCCCTTCACCTAGCTTACGCTTATTCTCAAAATCATCGGATTTCATGTCATTCAGCGATTTGGAGTTGTCATCTTCATGGTGATGAACAATACGCACAATGTCCTCACGCCAGCTTTTGCTTGAAGAAGTAGCGTTGTTCAAAGGAGGTCTATTCAGAGTGTCAGACGCAGTTGAGCTCGCGTCGTCATAATTAGCCATAAGTTGAATCTTGAGCCCTGCAGATTTGATTTTTGACCTTCCACCTAATTGAGCCATACTGCTTTGTGATTTGATATGAAAAAAGAAAGGGAAAGAAAGAGAAAAAGAGGGCAAAAACGTACCTTATATCCTATATTGCCAAGATGATTTCAGGTCAAGATGAACCATATTTGAACCTCAAATTAGGGCAATGCCCGGTCCGGATGTGAGGATGCCTATGAAGAAGCATTGTCATTGTATCATTGGGAACTCTAACAAGGTTACCTTGAGTTGAAGTATACATGCCAACGAAGAATAAAGATCACGGCAAGTAAAGAGTAGCACTCCAATTCGAAGCACATTTACGTGATGTCTAAACGTCCAAATTTGCAGTGCTCAAATTCTGGAAAGACTTTGAGGTAAAAACCTCGTGGTAAGCGACTCATTGGCCATTTGTCGCCTTCATAGAGATTGGAGTAGCATATCCCTCAAAGTGTCAGTCGTCAAAGCTTTATAAAGGCAATGGCCCAGTCGCTTATGCGGATTCGATCCAAATTGTAACCTCATGTCGTTTGTTTGTAGCACTTTTCATTTGATCTAAATGTGTAACCAATCCTTATTCATACATAGGACAAATCACAGGCTCCATAGTCATAAATGTATCATATTTTATGTCTGTAACCAGATACCGTTTGTTCTGATTCTATTCCAAGCAGGACAGTGTGAGATATCCGCCATATTAACTATGCAGCTGTTGCTTAGATGTTGAGAATCTCTTGATCTATATGGAGTTCGCACCGATAACGGATATCCGGGCCGGATGCTTCGGATAGCATCGCCCATGGGTTACCAACTCACGCTTCGCGAAAGGAGCGGGGAAAATTTGATGTATGATTTTAAAGGTGTAATAATAGCTGAAGCTTCTGCCACCTCCTTTCACCAACAGTCAATTTAGAGATGGTAATGTGCTTTCATCCTGCCATGCGAATCATCCATCAATCCATCAATCCATCTATGCTTGTTAATATTGGAGCTGCTCGTTCAAAGATACCTTGATTTCAATCCGTTCAATTCATTTTTTTTTTTTTTTTTTTTGCAACATTTTAATCTGTTGGGATGTGGAATGGTTTCTTTACTGTGATCGCAGTGTATCAACGACAGTTGGATGTAGCGGTTCTGTTTGAAGGGATTTCGACAACACGAAAAGAGTTTTACTTGGCAGCAATGTAACGATCAAAGAGCACACCAACAACGACACATTAACAAGCGGGAATTGGGTGGATGATGATGGCAATTTTCGTTATGCATGTTGGTAATGATATTAACATTGCTTCTACTATAGTCTAAGGGTACTAGTTCTTTCGGTAAACGTCACACCAAGACACACACCTTGTGTCGTCGTTGTGGTAACCGCTCTTTCCACAAGCAAAAGAAGACTTGCGCTCAATGTGGTTATCCCGCTGCCAAGATCAGATCTTGTAAGTTGATGTAGTATTCAATGACTTGAAACAGTTGCTAATGGGATGTATCATTTAGTCAACTGGTCCGAGAAGGGTCAACGTAGAAAGACCACCGGTACCGGCCGTATGGCTCACTTGAAGGATGTCCAACGTCGTTTCAAGAACGGTTTCCGTGAGGGTAAGTTTTGATGAATTTTACGCTTTTGAACATTTGAAACTAAAAACTTTTTTCCTTGTATTACATGTAGGTACTCAAGCCAAGAAGGCTACCAAGGCTGAGGCTTCTGCTTAAATGTGTTTAATCAATTCTATAATAAAATCAAGCTCCCTTGAGTTTATTAATGAACACTTGCAATAAATCTATCCAATGCCATTCATTTTATAGTGATTGCATGTTGCATTATGAGGGTTGTTTCAAATGCTAGGCCCACTAGCAAAAACAAAAAAATAACGTTAGTGTACACCATATTTCTACAACATGTACAGTAAGGGAACAGTGGCTGATGAATACACTGCTTCAAGTACATATCATCTACGAATGCAGAAATAATGGAAAATGAAATGACATATGTTGGTCCGTGGAAGCATAAACGAATGGAAGACGCTTTTTCAGGAGAAAACGAAACAAGAGCTATTCTACTCCATCAGGGGGGTTGCTCTGTTTACCAGCTCAATTCCAATGTAAAACATCATGGCTACAGTGTTTATTTTTTTCGCCGTGCAATTAAGCATTTGAGTAACTAGAAAACATGAGGCAACATGCTTTAATAATAATAGCGCGCATAAATGTCTGTTTCTAGACACTAACTATTGCAATATTCTTTTTGAATCTATACCACGTAAACTGTACCACAACAGGCAATATGGATGTGTGAGTTTATGTGTATCTTGATGAAATTTGTAACAACAATTGGATAATCAGCTGAACTTATTAATAGTTTTAGCGGATAGCACCAACTTTGCGTCTCTTCCCCTTCTCCATACCTCTCTTCTCTCTCCTCCATCACTGTATGAGCCAATCAACTGCTGATATAATATGATAGCAACTCGTTATTATGATCCATTTGATCCATTTGGATATAATCAAATTTCATATGTTATCCACAATTTCAGTGATTTATGCGATTTATTGGAAATCCATGTTCCAGACAGATCTCGCAACATCAAATGCACCAAAGCAACTGTAAAGGCTTTGCTGGCCTACAAGTCGCAAAATTCCCTGCCAAAGACAATCCAGTACCATTCTGGCAGCTCGCAGCTTATACAAGGTCTCATGTACAGAGCCATCCAGCACTGGTGCTGCATCAGCTTCAAGATTGTCCCCATCGAATTAGAGCTCATCAAGAACAACACACCTAAAACCATCTTGTACTGCGTCGCTGCCATCAGTATTGCAACAATAAGTACACAGCAACAGCCAATCAAACTGGATGCAACAACAAATCATCAGCACAACAGAAAAGTAAAGACACTGTCAGACAGAGCCATGGACGGATTCAAAAAGGACATTGCCTTCTGCTTTTACAAAAGGGCTTGCAACTACTTGCAAGAGACCATCTTTCCAGACGATGAAGACAGCTTCTCCGTGGTGACCATCCAGTGTTACTTTTGTCTCAGCTACACAGCAAACCTACTGAGGTTACCAGGCGAACAAAGAACCTGGCACTATTTGGCTTGTGACATGATGAAGAGCAACGTTTCCCTCATTAATGAATCACCGGCATTAAGACAGTGTTGGTACCGTTGGTACTATATCGACGCCTGGATTGCCATTGCATTGAACCAAGAATGCCTGCTACCCGACCGCTTTCCTTTTGCTGTAAAGAGGCCAGCACCATCAACAACAACAACAACAACAACAACAACAACAACAACAACAATCAAAGAGTCTATTGTACCACATAATAGCGACAATTCTATTCATGGCTGTTGTATCATGTCGAATGATACATTATACGAGTTCGTGCTTATGACGCAGTTTATGCGTCGGTTCAACAGAGCTATTCAAGCGGGCACTTTGCCTTTGCTTTATGACAGATTGACGTTTGAAACTGAAAATTGGTGGCGAACTGTGAATGCGCCTAATTTGCACCTTCGAATCTGCTATTTTTCGATGCGATTAGTCATTCTCTTCTCTTTGTTGCAACATGACTCTTACCATGTTGATTTCGACTTGCTTTTGGATGGTTTAAACATCACATTGGAAGTGCTTCAGGGGCTGCAAAATCTGAAGTTGATGAATTGCGATCAAAGCACTTATCACCACATGTTTTTCGCTGTACACCAAACGCTCAAGCAAATACTGGTCCACGTCAAACTACACCAATTTCACTCACTGGAAGCCTTTGTCAAGCAGCAATTTGAAATGGATTTATGTATCTTGGAGGGCACAGATGCATTCAGGGACGATATTTACCAGATGCGTGAAATTGCTGCCAACATTGAATCGGACCTGATCGCATTGGGCTACATCCAAGAAAATGCCATCGTGCAGAGATCTCTCAGGGTGTTTAGGGCAAAGATCACACCACAGACCTTCAAGAGAGCGAAAAAGAGTCACTGACCAGCTTGCTGAAAAGAGCATGATGTTGCTTTACTTTAGTTGCTCTCCTTCATTTCAATATGCTTAAACATTTCACTCGACATGTTTATAAACCAAATGTAAATAAACCGTCTTTTTTTTTTCTACTTTCAGTGCTGAATCTGACGATTGATTTCTTAAATATAGCGCATAGGCATTGCTCAATTTCATTCAGCTGCCATTGCAAATGATAAGCTGCGTGTCTTGTTTTTTGGCACAGATAATTTCGCTAAAACACATTTACAAGCACTCATTAAAGAGAAAGGTAAGCTAGTCCTGATGCATTCCATTTACATCTCTATTAACATGCAGTGCATTGAAGGCCAAAATGACTCCTGTATCGAGAGCATCGATGTAGTATGTCCACCTGATAGAAGAACTGGCAGAAAGTTGGAAAAGCTCACACCTAGCGAGACAAAGGGAGTAGCAGAATCACACAACCTCAACATATACCACACACCACCACAAGCAAAGACGCTGCAAGATTGGCATGTACCCAGTGACACTGCTTACGATGTAGGTGTTGTTGTTTCCTTTGGTTATTTCATTCCTCCGCATATCATAGCATCTTTAAAGAACGGCGCTGTCAATGTTCATCCCTCTCTTTTACCAAAATACCGTGGAGCAGCACCCATTCAACATGCCATCATGTACGGAGATGCTGAAACAGGTGTTACCATCCAGGAACTAGATGACAGAGAGTTTGATGCTGGCCGTATTCTCGCCCAAGAACATGTCAGTCTTACACAAGCGCCTCCCATTTACTCATCACTCAAAGAGAAGCTCTCATCCATTGGAAGCCATCTACTTGTAGACACTATTCGCAATCTGCATCAACGCAAGCAAAATGCCATTACGCAAGATGTCTCCAAAGCAACCAAGGCGCCTAAACTCAAGAAGGAATGGTCAGAAATGGACTTTGTCAACATGAGTGCATGGCAAGCAGAGCAATTACATAGGGCCATTGGCGAGCAGTATCCTTTACGTACAATGTTTGAGAAGAAGAACAAGTCGTTGGTAGTTCAATTGCTACATCTCGAAATACCTCCTGCACCCTCTGCTGCATTGAAGGGATGTGCGCCGGGAAGTTTTGCTTGGGATGAGCCTAGTCAGAGCTTGCATGTGGTGTTTGGCGATGATAGTGTGGTAGCCTGTACTCGATTGAAAATGCAGAACAAAGGTGCTGTGTCAGCAAGTGATTTTGTGAATGGCTATGGACCTCAGGGTCAGTTTGGTGTTTCGCTAGATGTAAATGATACTATTGTACAAAATAACATTAAAAAGAGAGCAAAGATGCATCGCTATGGAGCTGCATAAATTTTGCTGCATCATATCATTATATATACAAGGCGAATGAAGCCGGCATTGGGGAGAGGGTTTGGAGGAAGTGCTAGGCCCATCCACCAAAAACATGGCGCATCTAATTCAACATTTGGTAACATTGACCTATTATGAGGCAATTTTACCGTAGCGAAGTGCAGGTGAAAAACCATGGCAAGTAAGCATCTAACCCAACATTTGGTAATATTAATCTTAATGAGGGTTTTCCCTTAACGAAGCGAAGGTGCAAAACCATAGTATTCAAGCAGCAAATTAGGGTTTTCATTTCCATTGTTAATAAGCTTACCAACAACATAGCGCATCAAAATTTGCATAGATTAGTCTTACCAAAATCAATATGCTTTCTACTTGAATTAGAAGTTGCACAGGCTGCAGAACTGCCTTTCCAGAAGACTTTAGCTTCCAAAGATGTGATTCATGCCGTGTAAAAAAAAAGTCATAAAGCAAAACATAACTAAATTTGACAGTTTTCAAGCCTTCATATCTTGACATGTAGACCTTTCTGAGCCTCCGGAATGACGCCAAACAATTGTGCTTGAGTAGTAGCAACTTTTTGAAGACCCAAAAAACATGGCCAAAAGTCGACCAAAAAGCATGAGGGGTACCGGGGGTGGCTAACGTACCAACAAAATATCCTCTTCATTTGCCATACATTTTTTTTTCGATCCTGACATGTCAACTAAATCTAACAATGTATTTGATCTCTTGTATAAGACAAGTAGCCGATCGATCTTGCTACGCTGGATGACGGCGTTGCCCTGCGGGCTCTCGCCAAAGACATTTCAATTCAGAGATATCACATAAATTATAGACATTCAATTAATAGTGAAAGATTATTGTCATTGCAAAAGGCACTTTTACAGGGAAAAACTCTGAAAAAAGGTAAATATATATATATATATTTGGACTAAGTAACTGTTCTTTCAAATATATGGTCTCCATTGGGTCAGTACCGCAATTATCATTGTCATCATCAGAAAGGCATTCGGGTAAGCCAGCATCAGCGAAGCCTGCCAAAATAAATTCAAACTCAGCCAACTTTTTTGTTCAAGATTGGTCAGATCTTGTCCTTTGTCGACTTGATTGAGCCCTTTTGCGAGATTCGACTATATTGATTGTGAAGATCACCCTAGGCTTCCTAATACATTCTTAGAGTACTTTTCAAGACGCTTTCAATGGCACTAATTATAATATGTGCTTTGACTGAAATTATTGAGCAATTTAACAGAACGTGAAATGAAATTTTTAGCGAAAATAGCCATATTTTGCATATGAAAACCTCAGAAAAGTGGTTTCAGAAGTTGCTTTGAATCGAAAGAAACGTTTTGAATTAATATATACCATAGTGAAAGTCTCTATTTTCAAGGTGAAAAAGGCGATCGTTTAATTTTCGTAAAAAAACCATGAGGTACCCCTCATGGTTTTCAGTGGAATTTTGGCCATGTTTTTTTTTGGCCCCAGAAAGTTGAGCAACGGTGTCAGGAAGTTACTACTACTCGAATACAACAATTTGGTGTCATTCCGGTGGCTCAGAAAGGTCTACATGTCAATATATGAAGGCTTGAAAGCTGTCAAAATTGGCAATGTTTTTGCTTTACAGCTTTTCTTTACACAGCGTGAATCATATCTTGGCGGATGGATAGCTGAAATTCTTGAAGAGGGCAGTTCTGCAGTCTGTGCAACTTCTAATTTGAATAGGAGGCATATTGATTTTAGTAAAGCTCAAAATCATTCTCTGGACTGCACAAATTTACAACTATTCCTCAGTAATGTAAATCAATAAATTACACCACAACTCAAACTGAAAGCCTATATTGACAAATTTATACTTAATAGGAACCAGAAATTTGCATTTTTGTCATTCATCGTCTTGTATTTATATTACTTGCAATATGAAAAGTTTGCAAGTCTATCAATGTCTAGAGACAATTTGTTGGTACGTTAGCCCAAGGAAAAAATAGCAGACAAAGCAAGCGCTGCTACAGCACTGCCGGACAGGGTGTGCATTTATGAGCTTTAATTTTTTGTTGGTACGTTAGCCACCCCCAGGGGTACCTCATGGTTTTCATCGAAAATCAAACGATCGCATTTTTGACCTTGAAAATGAAGACTTTTACTATGGTATATCTTGAATCAAAATGCTTCTATCGATCCAAAGCAACCTCTGAAATCATCTTTGTGGGACTTGGATATGTAAAATTTCGACATTTTGGCCAAAAACCTCATTTCAAATTTTATTAAATTGCTCAATAATTTAAGTCAAAACATTTATTACAGTTAGCACCATTAGAAGCGCCTTGAAAAGTACTTGAAGAATGTATTAGGAAGCGTAGGGTAATCATCACAGTTTATATAGTCGAATATCATGAAATAGATTAACGAAGTCGAAGAAAGACGATATCTGTCCAATCTTGAACAGAAAAAAAAAAAAAAACTGCGTTTGAATTAATTTTGGCGGCGGCATTGCTGCTGGCTGACCTAATTGCCTTTCTGTTGATGACAATAATGATTGCGATGCTTATTAAATAGGGATTATGGAATTCAAAAGACAATTGCTTCGAGCAATTTTTTTTGGGGAGCTTCGCCTCATGAAGGTGTCATTTGCAACGACAATATCTCAAAAAAAAAGTCGCTGTAGATCTTAAACAAGTCCTGTATGTACTTATGGCCAGCTTTATGTCGCCATCTTATTAAGAGCAGCAGCAGCAGCGAATGATATGACAATTCTATTATCAAAAAATGGCGATTGTGATGTACAAATGCTGCATAAAACTTGAATTTTTTTTCACGTTGTCCCAATATTAGGCTTCGTTTGATATCAGCGTAAGCAAAAAGGATGCTGAGGGAGATACCTCCTCTTCTCCTACTGGTAGCTCTAACATAACCTTTCTTTTTTTTTTACTAATAACCAAATTGTTTAAAATCTACTTGATATACCAAAATTTTATTATATCTGATTTAAAGTCTCTAGCAAGAGCCCACAGGGCAACGCCGTCATTTAAAGTAGCGAGATCGACCGGCTAGTTAAACTGATATACTGAAAAATGAGGTTTTAGAGAAGCTATGTCGTATGCAGGAAGGCACCACACTGGAAATACTTCTTCCTCAAATTACGTGATAACGAAATTTCCATATATGTTAATTTCCATATATAGTAATCATAACAGCGACCACATAAAGATGTACATGTGGAGGCAAATATGGCTCTTATGGAAGTGTATTATGTAACAAAACCTGCTTAGAGCATGTCACACTCTGCGTTTTCTTACAATCTTAAAAGAAATCTGTGCTAATCATGTTAAAAGTGGCTTACATCTTGCCTCGCTGTATTCTTTCTGAATCGGACCCACCTATCGGTTCAGGCACAGATCACATCAGATCATGAGCTTTGACATAAACTTCCTATCTAACATCTTATTCTCATTTCACTTCCATTAGTTCGAATAGCTTATAAGCCCTTTCCTTTTCAATATAACAAACTTTCTGTATCTAATCAATTCTTAAGCTTTTTACCTAACTATTAATTAATCAAAGATCCCCTTATTGTGTATCTTGCTTCATTTCATTGGTTTTCGGGCAATCATCATCTAATACTCAGGATTGATAAAGAATGAGGCCCTGAACCTGTAGTTGCTTAATGTCGACAGATCATGTTAAGCAAATTTTTTTTTTCGCTATAGACTAATAGTAGTGTATATGATAAAGAACAGCTTTGGTAGCTCCCTAAACTTGTAAAATCTCGGATCACAACTGTCATGAAATTGAATTGGTTGATCTCTGAGTCATATTCTTGCGGAGTCGATTGGATTGACGGTTGAGAATTAGTAACAAACTTGCCATTATATAAGAAGTGCTCTTGCTTTGAAAACTAGTAGTTATTTTTTCTTTCTTTCCTTATATTCATTCATACAGCATGAGCACCTTTATCGATATTAGACCTGCCACTCCTAAAGATGTTCCTACTATTTTGGGTTTTATCAAGAAACTAGCCGAATACGAAAAGCTCTTGCACGAAGTAGTGGCCACCGAAGAGATCCTTACTGACAATTTGTTTGGTGAACGTCGTTATGCCGAAGTAATCATTGCCTATGGTAAAAAGACACCCGAGTCCGAAGAAGAGCCAGCAGGTATGGCTTTATTCTTTCACAATTTTTCTACTTTCTTGGGTCGCCCTGGACTTTATTTGGAGGATTTGTTTGTCAATCCTGAATTCAGAGGTTGTGGTATTGGTAAAAAGTTATTGACACAATTAGCTGTAATTGCTAAGGAGAGAAGCTGTGCTCGCTATGAATGGGTGTGTTTGGATTGGAACAAGCCTTCGAGAGAATTCTACGAGGCTTTGGGCGCTAAACCTCAAGCTCAATGGATTATTCATCGTGTAGAGGGTAAATCACTCGATGATCTTGCCGCCTTATAGAAGATATTTATTTCTGGAGAATGAAGAATAAAACAAGATCTCACGCTAGTTTAATGTGGGAAATTTAGAAAGTATATATACATGTTCACAACTGTTTGGTATGGCGATTTAGGTTTCATTATGAGAGGGAGACGAGATTTTAGTGATGGATTTCGAGGATAATCCTCGTAATCTGTTTAAAGCCAAAGAGGATGTAGATGTGGACTCCATCTTTAATGGGTCATTTTGAATATGTGGGTCATCAGCCATTACCGGTTCCCTTGTTACAATGACCTTTTCGATTAAGGGAGATGTAGATGTACCCACAGTTGTCATGTCACTAGTGCTGCTAATGTATCGCTCGAGCAAGGGCATGTCGGCTGATTTGGATACTCTGGTTCGCAACTGGTTTAATATGGGCCATTTTGAATTGATATCCTTGGTTGCTAATATTCTATCTTCTGGATCCAGGTTCTGTTCCAGCTTGCTTAACGCCTTGAAAATGTCTATCATGCAATTTCGAGCCTTTTCTGCTTGCTCCTTGATAATGGCAGCTGGTTACAGCTGTTGGTTAGCGCATATTAAACTACTCATTGTACGATACTCACCTTCAGATACTTTATCGGCTGCTAGTTTAGCTTGATTGAATGCAGCCTTCATTGTCTGCGCTGATGTTGTGCTCAACTCGTCGACGTAAGCAATGCGCTTCATCAAGATGCGTTGCTCTAGATTGATGTGCGACATTTGTTCTTTAATATGAGCCTGTAATCCAAAGAAGATATCCAGAAATGGATCAGATATGGCTTACTTGGCGTGTTAATTTCTGTTAAATGCAGTCGAGTACGTATCGATACCTACCTTGCACTTCCTTGATGGGCTCTTTTGATTTAGAATCTTTTGATTTCAAGCCCAATAAATGTTCAATGCTAAATCCCTTGTCTTGCTCCTTGATAAAAGGCTCAAATTTCTGCATTTTCTTCAATAGTGCCAGCTCTTCGTCTTCTTCAATATTTTCAGGTCCTCTTACGACCTGGATAATGCCCTTTATGATGTAAAAAAAAAAAGATAAGTGCATGCCTTAGACGAATGTTCAATGTGCACATACCTCTTCCACCTCGGCTTCGTCCTCTCCTATAATCGAATTATCTACATAGCCATTAGCTACCAACTACACCAACCCAGATGTAACCTACTCTCAACCTCGTTGTCGTCGCTTTGCTGTTGTTGATAAGCTATATCATATAGTGAACGTAAATTTGTGGAGGTAGAAGTACTTGGTGTCAGTGAAGGAGGGTTTTTTGCTCCCACCGTATTGGACTGTTCCTGGCCCTATTATTTATTCGTTAACAACATGGATAGAGGATTGAGTGTGTTGTACCATCGAAATGTGTGATTGCAGCAATAAGGAGAAGAAAGTAAGTTGAAACAAGGAAATCACTGCAACACCACATCAATCTGGACAGCCAATGACATCTCAACTACAGCTCCTCTGCAAAATACATCTTGCCTTGAAAAGTTTTAATGGGGAGATACAAGCTTGCCATAAACCAACTTGAATAATATGAAGGTATATTAAACTTACAATGCCATTCGATTAGTACAGCTTACAGCCTGTCAGATTGCTATAGAAGGATGCTGCCATGGTCAGCTGGATGATATTTACGGATCAATTCGCCTCGTAGAGCAACGAGAAAACTGCAAAATCGATCTCGTGTTGATATGTGGTGATTTTCAAGTAAGCCAACACCTGAGTCGCCTACGTAGCCATTGTGCTAAATTTTCTCTCATAGTCGCTTCGAAATGAAGCAGATACTGAGTGCATGGCTGTACCAGACAAATACAAAGAATTAGGGACATTTTGGAAGTACTATTCAGGCAGAGTACTAGCACCCTATCCTACTATATTCATCGGTGGCAATCACGAAGCAAGCAACTACTTGTGGGAGCTGTATCATGGTGGTTGGGTGTGTGATAACATCTACTACCTTGGTCATGCCGGTGTGATTAATTTCGGTGGTTTGAGAATTGGTGGTATATCAGGCATTGCCAAAGAGAGTCATTACAAGAATGGTCATTACGAGACATCGCCTTACAATCGATCCGATGTTCGCAGTGTATATCATGTCAGAGAATACGACGTCAACAAACTGCTTCAAGTTCAACAGCCATTGGACATATTCTTGTCGCATGATTGGCCTCGAGGTATCGAGCGATATGGCAATTTGGGGCATTTGATGAACATCAAAAAGTACTTTGTACAGGAGATCCTGACCAATACCCTTGGAAGTCATCCGAACGAATTGCTAATGACAAAACTACAGCCTTCCTACTGGTTTTCAGCTCATTTGCATGTACATTACGCTGCTATTGTAGATCACACCATGTGGAAGAATGGCACTTATCCTCCAAAAACACAAGAAATCCTGAATGGAAATAGACAGATGCCGAGACAGGAGCATCCCAATCCAGATGAGATTGAAGTGCCTCTCAGTGATGACGATGAAACAGAACAAGCTGATCCCCCCGTGGAGCCCTCCAAAACCACCAAATTCTTGAGTCTGGATAAATGCCTGCCCAGACGCCAATTCTTGCAGATCATAGACGTTCCATCACCTAACGATTCTACAGGCGATTACGACTTTTACTATGATATGGAATGGCTATCCATTACAAGAGCCATGCACCCTTACTTGAGCACAGTTCATCAACAAGCGACACTGCCATACGACGACGAATTGAAAGCCAAGATTGACAGAGAACGCACCTATTTAGAAGGTAAAGCAGCATCAGGAACTCTTGATTTAAAAATACCTCATAATTTTGAGCCAACTGCACCTGCTTATGATCCTAGCAGGCCATACGATCGTCAATTTATCATGGACAACCGTAAGTTGAATAGAAACAAACTGCATTCAGTTGATTCATGATGTATATTTTGTTAGAACGACCCTTTTTGAACCCTCAAACACTGCAATTTTGCAAAGAAATTGATATTGACAACAAGATTAATCCAAATTGCCGTCAAAAGGCGGAAGAGCAGCAACAACCTGCTTCTCTCAACCACAGTGCAAGCGAGTTTGTGCCTGGCACTGGCAGCAATGCCATTCAAGTGAATGCCACCTTTATCGACAGCGACCTGCAGCCAACTAAACGTATGAAGACAGAAGAGATAGAATCTGAAATCGTCATTGATGAGGACGAGTTTTTGTAAATAAAAAGGTTTATTCAATCAATAGATGTCAAGTGAGTTGATGTTGTAGTTTAGCAAGCACATCCACTTGCTTCTGAATCAGAGTTGCTCAAGTTGATTTTTTGCACTATACATCACCATGTGAGTATATATACGCTACAACATCGAGCGCATGTATCACTTACTTTGGCTTTTTTCGTCATTGGGATTGTTTCCGTTAATACCAGGCAAAGCTTGTGCAATCTTTCTAAAGAGCATTTTCACCTAAATATCATGTATATTAGCCTATGTATGCAAATCTAATTCACATTGCGTCTTATCTACATTGTGCCCAGCTTTTGCACTTGTCTCGACAAACATGACACCTAAATCTTTTGCTCTTTTTTCTCCTTCTTCCGTTGTTACTTCTCTATAATAGCAATGAGAGTCAGTCTAAGCGTCTATCAGCCCCTCTTGGTTTTCAAATTAACCTTTTCTCGTTAAGATCAGTCTTGTTTCCCACTAGTACGACAATGGCTTCGTTTCCTCTCTCAGCCCGAACATCATCGATCCATTTTGACGTGTTTAAAAACGATTCCTTATCTTGAGCACTAGCTATGAGTGTCACTAAGTTCGCATAGAAATGACTATACTTACTTGACATGTCATATACAATGACAGCAACAGAGGAATCTCTAATGTAGCTCGGAATCAGACTTCGGAAACGTTCCTTATTGGCATCAGAAACGCGGGTTTAAAATGGCTGTTTGTGCATTGTTGTACATGGCATGCTGCTTACCTGTCCTGCTGTATCCCCTGAATAATGGCTGTATCAGTATGAATGAGAAAAACAAAGAATGAAAGACACAATATAACTTACATAGCTGTAGACGAACGGTTTTATCTTCTAAATACATTGTCTTTGACAAGAAATCGATACCAATCGTGGCCTAACTGATTGCATCAGATTATAATGTGAGGAATGAGTCAGTAGTGAGATGAAACTGACCTGATAAGTGCTGTCAAATGTATCGTACATGAATCGAGTGATAAGGGATGTCTTTCCCACTATAAGGAGGTTATATTCAAATCAGAAGGCAATTATATGACAACTTTAAGGGTACCACACATACCACTCTGCTCACCAAGGAATACCAACTTGTATTTTCTTAAAGGGCTTCCAAAATCTGCTGAAGTCATAATATTTTTAGTATAATAAAAAAAAAAAGAGAGAGAGAGAGAGAGAGAGAGAGAGAGAGAGAGAACAAAGAGAGCTAGGTTGGTTTTTATAGTGTTTCATTGCTGTATTGTTGATGCTTATTTGTGTGTGTGTTACAAGAACTGATGTGTGGGTGCGCATCTATGTGTATTATGTACCTGACTTGCACTTCCGTCATGCATGGCATCAACAAATGACCTGTACAAGTATATGTCGCTGTATGAAGCAGGCGCTTGAGGTAATATTTGTGTGATTAATAATAGAGATCTGCAAAATGACTACATATATAAATTGCTTTCAAGGTGTTATTAAGCGTAATAAGGCTATACAAGCTCCAGCGCATTTGCTGCTTCTGATCATACCTCAATAACAACAGCTATTATACATATTACCCATTGATGTGAAATGTCGCATCATATTCGATATGAATCTCATCTCATCTATAGTAGATAAGTACCGTTTATCACTTGTAACTTGAGCAAGCTTTACTCTCAAAGCTCCAGATGTTTTCTTGGATACGCTGAACGTTTTGCATTTCGCACTTAATGAGCACTCTTCATCAATGGGTTTAATAATAACATGCAAAATGTGCCAAAAGTGAAGAGAAAAGTAGATAGACTAAGCCAAAGTACTGATCAATATGCAATCCCCTTTGTATTAGCTACAAATCATTGATCATCTTCATCAGAAACCCATTTGGCCAGACAAACCTAATTCTATCTCCGATAGGTTTTTCTTGAGCAAGAATGGCCAAATTTGGCTAATTTGGAATTGATTCGAACTCTCTTTTTGCCAAATTCGACTATATAAATCGTTAAGATCATCTCATGCTCCCTTAAGCTTCCTGGAAGTACTTTTCAAGGCGCATCCAATGGTGCCAATCAAAACAGGTGGTTTAAACCAACTTACCGAGCAATATTAAAAAAATAAGAGTTTTGGACGAAATGTCGACATTTTACATATGAAGGTTTCATAAAAGAGATTTCAGGGGCTGCTTTGGAACGATACGATCATTTTGATTTAATATATATCATAGTAAAAGTCTTCATCTTCCAGGTGAAAAATGCGATCGTTTGATTTTCGATGAAAAGCATGAGGGGTACCTCATGCTTTTTGGTCAATTTTTGGCCATGTTTTTTTTTAGGTCTCCAAAAAGCTGAGCAAGGGTGTCAGGAAGTTACTGCCAGGCGAGAGCAATTGTTTAGTGCTATTCCGACAATCCAAAACGGCCTTAACGCAAGAAAACACAGCTTAAATACATTGAGATTTTGCCGTATCAGGTAAAATTATGATCGTTCTGTGATCTATTAAAGAGATGCCTTGCCATAACACGAGATTGAGTGACTTCAGAAGCCATTGCTAGCTTCTTTTTACCAACTGTTATCAATTACATATTTTCCAATACCATCAGGATATCGTATTGCCTTGATGTCTATTTAGACAGCACCTGTCAAAAACCAATCCGCATAATCATTGGGCGGATCATTCTACTGTATACTAAGCAAGTGCCGCAGTTTTCAATACACTACTGGTCTTCAATCAAAGTATCGCAAGCCACTGCATTTTATGACGCAACTGCGTATATTATATAACTGCAAAGCAATTTTGGAAACGCCTTTCCAAACATTTGTCTTTCTTTCTTGGAAACTTATAACAACACTATTTGCAACTCACACTCATTTTATATATTCATTTTATAATTTCTTGGTACAGTGCTCATATGCTATAACACAGGACATATAGACTCTATACTAACCATTTGTATTGAGTAGAGCTTGCAATTCATTTTTATCAAAGCTTTTCTCTGTATACATTTTGATATAAAAAAATGGCTGAAAACTTTGCTAAAGCAAACCAGTACCAATACGCCGCTACATCCAGTTTGGTTCTACAAGCCAACCGCAAAGGATTGCCTCGCAGAGACCAAGAGCCCACTGGAGAACCCGACTCGTTGTGGGGCAAAATCGATCCCAAATCATTTGGTTCACGTGTAGAAAGAGAAGCACCCAAAGACATTGAACAGAAAAAGAAAAAGGCGGCTGCTAGACGCTCTGATGATTCCAACGAAAAGAGACGCAAAAAGAAGGAAGAAAAAGCCATCAGCAAAGCATACGGCTATTCATCTGTTCTTTCAGCGACTGAGGATTGGGAAGGTCTCAATTACAGACCTCGCACCAAAGAAACACGCGAAGCTTACGAGCACATCCTCTCCTTTGTCTACGAGCATTTGGGCGATCAAGCTCGTGATGTGATTCGAAGTGCTGCTGACGACGTTTTAGAGACACTCAAGACAGATACACTCAAGGATTTCGACAAGAAGAAGGAAATTGAATCAGTCATTGGTCACATTGAATCTGAACATTTTGCTCAACTCGTCAACCTGTCAAAGAAGATTACCGATTATTCAGCAGACGGTGAAGCTATGGACGTGGATGAAAATGGCGATAAAGTAGGCGAGATTGATGATGAGCTCGGCGTCGCTGTTGTCTTTGACGATGACGAAGATGAAGAGGAGGAAGACGATCAGTTTGAAATGAAGGACGACGAAGAGGAAGACGTGGACGAAGAGACAACAGCTGCTATTGCTAACCCAGAAGACGACGATCAGGCTGCTGAATCCACTGACGAAGAGGATGGCTTCAAAACAGTGCTTCCTGGGCAAGACAAGGGCAAGAAGAAGGCGCACAAAAAGACAGATGCCTCCCAGGATGAAGACGCCATCTTTCCCCATGACATCGACGCTTTCTGGCTTCAACGTCAAATTGCTGCTCAATACCCTGATGCTCACACTGCTCAAGAAAAGACGGTACAAGCTTTTGAGATCCTTGGGTCCGAGACCATTGACATTCGTGATTGTGAGAATGAATTGATGGGCTTGTTTGACTATGATAAGTTCGACCTTGTTCGCATCCTCACCAAGAACCGTGATCTCATTTACTGGTGCACTCGCTTGGCTCGTGTTGATGGCGATGATAAACTCGCTGTCGAAAAGGAGATAGAGGACAGAAACCTGGGCTGGATCTTGCGTAGTCTCAGTGGTGATCGTCAACGTCGCGGTGAAGCACTCGAGAGAAAGGGTGTTGTGGATACAGCTATGGAGATTGATAGCGAGGATGCTGCTGCTACTGGTCGCAGTCGTGGCCAGTTGCCTACTACAGTGACCATTACGCCAGGCACAACATTGGCTCCTCGTCAAATGATTGATTTGGAAGACCTCGCTTTTGAACAAGGTTCTCATCTCATGTCCAACAAGAAGGTCAAGCTGCCTGACGGTTCCTTCAAGCGTTCTAAGAAAGGCTATGAAGAGATCCATGTACCTGCACCCAAGCCTGAGCAGTTTGCTACGGGCGAGAAGCTGGTGCCTATCAAATCCATGCCTGAATGGGCTCAAGACGCTTTTGTGGGCCCCACTACACTCAATCGTGTACAGAGTAGACTGTATCCTACTGCCTTTGGTACCGATGAAAACCTGTTGTTGTGTGCCCCTACGGGTGCTGGTAAGACCAACGTTGCCATGCTGACCATCTTGCATGAACTTGGCAAAAACCGTGATCCTGAGACTGGCTTGATTGATTTGGATGCTTTCAAAATTGTATATATTGCTCCTATGAAGGCTTTAGTCGCTGAAATGGTGGGTAACTTTAGCCAACGTCTCAAGCCTTATGGTATCAGTGTCGCTGAATTGACCGGTGATCGTCAGCTCACTAAACAGCAAATTGCTGAAACGCAGATCATTGTCACTACGCCTGAGAAGTGGGATGTCATTACACGCAAAGCAACTGATCGCAGCTACACATCTTTGGTGCGTCTTATCATTATCGATGAAATTCACTTGTTGCACGATGATCGTGGTCCTGTGCTGGAGAGCATCATTTCTCGTACCATCCGCACCATGGAGCAAACACAAGAGTTGGTGCGTCTGGTCGGTCTGTCAGCTACTTTGCCCAACTATGTGGATGTGGCCGCTTTCTTGCGTGTCGATAACAAGACAGGCTTGTTCCACTTTGACAGTTCTTTCCGCCCCTGTCCCTTAAAGCAACAATTCATTGGTGTCACTGAAAAGAAGGCTATCAAGCGATTCCAAACCATGAACGAAGTTTGTTACGAAAAGGTGATTGAGCAGATTGATCAGCGAGAGGAGAACCAAGTGCTTGTCTTTGCGCATTCTCGAAAGGAAACTGCAAAGACTGCAAAGACGCTGCGTGATATGGCCTTGGACAAAGATACCATTACTCGTTTCTTGAAGCAAGACTCTGCCAGTCGTGAAATCCTGCAATCGGAAGCTGCTACTGTCAAGGATGCCAATCTCCAGGATCTCTTGCCTTATGGTTTCGCTATTCATCATGCTGGTATGACGCGTGCTGATCGTACACTTGTGGAAGAGTTGTTTGCTGATGGTCATATCAAGGTGCTTTGTTCTACTGCTACACTTGCTTGGGGTGTCAATTTGCCTGCCCACGCTGTCATTATTAAGGGTACTCAGATCTACTCTCCCGAAAAGGGTCGCTGGGTCGAGTTGTCTCCTCAAGATGTCCTTCAGATGTTGGGTCGTGCTGGCCGTCCACAGTTTGATACCTATGGTGAGGGTATCATTATCACTGCCCATTCAGAGCTTCAATACTACCTGTCTTTGCTAAATACACAGCTTCCCATTGAATCTCAATTCGTCTCTCGTCTGGCTGACAACCTCAATGCCGAAATTGTCCTGGGTTCCATCAGAAACCGTGATGAAGCTGTGCAGTGGTTGGGTTACACTTACCTCTACGTCCGTATGCTGCGCAATCCTTCTCTCTACAGTGTCTCACAGGACGACTTGGAAGATGACCCTCATTTAGAGCAGAAGCGTGTGGATCTGATCCACTCTGCCGCCACCGTCTTGGATAAATGCAACCTTATCAAGTACGACAAGAAGTCCGGCCGCTTTCAAGTAACTGAATTGGGTCGCATTGCCTCTCATTACTATGTCACTCATCACTCCATGTCCACCTACAACCAACACTTGCGTCCCATGATGAGCGAAATTGAGCTCTTCCGTGTGTTTGCCCTCTCGGATGAATTCAAGTACATCCCTGTACGTGAAGAGGAAAAGATGGAGCTGCAAAAGCTGCTGGAACGTGTCCCTGTCCCTGTCAAGGAAAGTCTGGAAGAACCTACCGCCAAGATCAATGTCTTGTTGCAAGCCTACATCTCTCAACTCAAATTGGATGGTTTTGCTCTGACATCCGATATGGTCTATGTAACTCAAAGCGCTGGTCGTATTATTCGTGCCATGTTTGAAATTTGTCTTAAGCGTGGTTGGGCTCAGTTGACTAAAAAGGCGTTGAATCTGTGTAAGATGGTTGAAAAGCGCATGTGGTTGCCCATGTCTCCTCTGCGTCAATTCAAGGCCATGCCTCAAGATATTGTGCGTCGCCTGGAACGCAAGGAATTCCCCTGGGAGAGATACTTTGATCTGAACCCTCAAGAGCTGGGTGAGCTGATTGGCCAACCCAAGGCAGGTCGTACTCTCCACAAGTTTGTGCATCAGTTCCCCAAGCTAGATCTTCAAGCCCACGTCCAACCTGTCACTCGCTCTTTGCTCAAGGTGGAATTGACCATCACACCTGATTTTCAATGGGATGAAAAGGTCCATGGTCTTGCTGAAGCCTTCTGGATCATGGTGGAGGATGTCGATGGTGAGCATATCTTGCATCATGACTACTTTGTCTTGAAGCAGAGATACGCTGAGGAAGAGCATTTGGTGTCATTCACAGTGCCTCTGTTTGAGCCCTTGCCTCCCAACTATTATGTCACTATTGTTGCTGATCGCTGGTTGCACTGCGAAACCAAGCTGCCTGTCTCTTTCAAGCACCTGATCTTGCCTGAAAAGTATGCTCCTCACACTGAGCTCCATGATCTGCAACCTTTGCCTATTGCTGGTCTGAACAATCCTGATTACGAGAAGCTCTACTCTGGATGGATCAACCACTTCAATCCTGTGCAAACTCAAGTCTTCAATGCCTTGTATACAACCAATGAGAATGTATTCATTGGTGCTCCTACTGGCTCTGGCAAGACTGTGTGTGCTGAATTTGCTCTTCTGCACCTGTGGAATCAAACCAGCGATTCTCGTTCCGTGTACATTGCTCCTTACCAGGAATTGGTTAATGAACGTGTTGCTGAATGGACCGAGAAGTTTGGTAAGCTCAACAAGGAGGTGGTTGCGTTGACTGGTGAGACCAGTGCTGATTTGAGATTGCTGGAGCGTGGTGATATCATTTGCTGTACTCCCACTCAATGGGATGTCATCTCTCGTCGCTGGAAGCAGAGAAAGAATGTACAAAATGTCGACTTGTTCATTGCGGATGAGATCCACATGATTGGCGGTGATCTGGGCCCTACCTACGAAGTTATTGTGTCCAGAATGAGATACATTGCCTCTCAGACTCAAAAGGCAATCCGTATTGTAGCCATGGGTACCTCACTTGCCAATGCTCGTGATTTGGGTGAGTGGATTGGCGCCACTTCCCAAACAGTGTTCAACTTCCATCCCTCTGTGCGTCCCGTGCCTCTGGAAATCCACATCCAAAGCTACAATGTGCCTCATTTTGCCTCTCTCATGATTGCCATGGCTAAGCCCACATATCTTGCCATCACAGCACATACCAACAACAAGCCTTCCATTGTGTTTGTGCCGTCCAGAAAGCAGTGCAAAGCAACAGCGCTTGATCTTATCACTTATTGTGTTGCTGATGACAAGCCCTACCAGTTCTTGGGCTGCAAGGTGGAGGAAATCCAGTCTCTGCTAGACCGCGTGCAAGACAAATCGTTGGTGGAGAACCTGCAACACGGTATTGGCTTCTACCATGAGGCTCTTTCCAAACAAGACAAGAAGATTGTGGAGCAGCTCTATGAAACGGGTGCCATTCGTGTCATTATCGCCTCTCGTGATTCTTGCTGGGGACTCACGCTTCATTCACACATGGTTGTCATTATGGGCACACAGTACTTTGAAGGCAAGGAACATCGTTATGCTGACTATCCCATCACCGATGTCTTGCAAATGATGGGCCGTGCTTGTCGTCCCAAGGAAGATGAAACTGGCAAATGTGTGTTGATGTGTCAGGCCAACAAGAAGGAGTTTTACAAGAAATTCTTGTACGAGGCTTTGCCTGTGGAATCGCATTTGGACCAACTGCTGCACGATCATTTTAATGCTGAAATTGTGACCAAGACCATTGAAAACAAGCAAGACGCTGTGGACTATCTCACTTGGACCTTCTTGTACAGACGCATGGCTCACAACCCCAACTACTATGGCTTGCAGGGCACCTCACATCGTCATTTGTCTGATCACCTCTCAGAGCTGGTAGAGACTACGCTCACTGATCTGGAGGAGACCAAGTGTATCACCATTGAGGACGAAATGGACATCAGTCCTCTCAACCTGGGTATGATTGCTGCCTACTACAATATCAACTACACCACAGTGGACATGTTCAGTGTCAGTTTGAAGAACACCACCAAGCTCAGAGGTCTGCTGGAGATTGTGTCTTCTGCTACTGAGTTTGACAACATTCCTATCCGCCATCATGAAGAGGCTGTCTTGAAGCGTATCTACGACCGCGTACCTGTCAAGTTGGCTACACCCAAGTTCAATACTCCTAGAATCAAGACCAACATCCTGTTACAAGCGCACTTTTCTCGTGTTCAATTACCAGCAGATCTCCAGTCAGATCAAACTGTGATTCTTGAAAAGGTGATTCCTCTCTTGCAAGCTTGTGTGGATGTCATCTCTTCCAACGGTTGGTTGTCGCCTGCTTTAGCTGCTATGGAACTGTCTCAAATGTCTGTGCAAGCCATGTGGGATCGCGATTCTCCTCTGAAGCAAATTCCTTACTTTACCAACGAAGTCATCAAGCGATTTGAGGCCAATGAAGTGGAGTCCGTGTTTGATATCATGGAGTTGGAAGAAGATGTGCGCAATGATTGTCTCCGTATGGATCAACGCAAATTGCGTGAAGTCATTCGCTTCGTCAATAGATACCCTAGTGTTGAGGTTGGTTTTGAGGTGGCTGATAAGGAATCTGTGTCTGCTGGTGGCATCGTCAATGTCAGAGTTCAACTGGAGCGTGAAGACGAAGACGAGGAGGAGCAAGAAATTGGCCCTGTGATTGCACCTTACTTCCCCAAGAAGAAGGACGAAGGCTGGTGGATCGTGATTGGCGATCCAGAGACCAAGACTTTATTGGCTATCAAGCGAGTGACATTACAACGCAAATCTACTGTGAAGCTTGATTTCGTGGCTCCCAAGGCTGGTCATCACACCATGAAGGTCTATTTGATGTCGGACAGTTACAATGGCTGTGATCAAGAGTTGGATATGGACTTGGATGTTGCTGAAGGTGAAAGCAGTGAAGAGGAGAATGAGTCTATGGATGAAGATGAAGAGTAGTAGTCGTTGTAGTTATTATTGTCACCTAAAAATGATGTTGTTTTTTCAAATATATTATATTATGCAATTTTCTGTAATCTCATTTTCCACTTGTAACATACCAATTGCTGTTGTTCAGCATAGCTGGCGGTCGACAACTTATTTCAAATTATCGGAATGTCTGAAGCTGATAAGGTGTAAGTAGTCTTTCTGCATTGTAGGCTTCACCTATTGTGCGCATTACATCCGTTTTTTCTCGCTGAAGTTCTCTCTTGGCCTAAAACTGAACAACGAGTACCTCTGGCTTGGGCCTTGCCAATTGGCTTCAATGTTGATTTATTTATGTGATCCAAATCGATTAACACTGGCTAACTTCATGCAGCAATTTCATGGATGGGCTTGTGTGTACAAAAATCGAGGTGGTACACTTGTGTTAAGCGATGATCGCATTATATTATATTACAGCTACGACTGTATTATATAAAAAAAGGGCTCTTTGGCTGCTCCCTCTCTCTCTCTCTCTCTCTCTCTCTCTCTCTTTTTTTTTTTTTCTACCTTTTTCTTCTTCATTTTTCAAGTATCTTTGAAATGGATTGCGATTGCGGAAAGAATCCATTTCCACCCTTTTATTCAATTGATGAATTTGTATGGTTAACGCCATTTGTTTTCGGTCCCACCTTCTTGCTAATTATCATCATTGCATTGGCTGTACCTCGTTACTGCTACAACATCAGCAAACAATCCACAGCAATTCTGTCTGGCTGGCCAAAACTCATTGCCTTTGCATGCGCCATTGTGTCCATCACATTCTTATTTGACGCTATTGTGCTCGTTACAAGAGCAATTACGGAGAAGTATTGGACATCGAATGTCTTTGCCTACTATATTGCTGTATCATGGATCTCATGGTCAATTAGCATCATTGCGCTCGTCAGTGAAGCTCAATTGAATCACAATCATTGGTATTGGATCCAATACCTGTTCTGGTTTGTAGCGGTTGCTACGGAAACAGTCGTAGGGTGGTATTGGATGATGGGAATCATGAAGCCACTACCAGGTATTGCTGTTTAGGGGGAAAGGGGGACGAGAAAAAAGAGGGGGTGGTGCTGTCGTACGGGGCAAATGGAAAATATAGAAAAAGAAGGCTTACTGTCAAGTATATATTTGTCAACTAGGCACAGTGTTTACCATCTATGATCATTTGTTTTTGGGGATATTCATTTCTCGCTACATAGTGGAATGGTTCATCTTGTTATTGTCAATCGTCTATTTGCTCACACCGAGATCAGCAGTAGCAGATTCATCGCCCTTGCTGGGCTCCACCACGACAATCAACTCGCAACAACACCGTCATTACGGATCCACTACGATCGCCACCACAACCACCATGCTTATAGTGACAGAGAGCCCATTTTCTGGATTTGTAGGAAAAATGAAGAAATTGCTTCCTTTTATCTGGCCACATCATAATTTGAAGTTGCAAATTTATGTCTTGCTCTGTTTCTTTATCATGGGCCTCGGATTTGTAGTCAACCTGCTTGCTCCTCGCCAAATTGGCCGTATCGTTGACAATCTTCGAGAAGGCCAGTTCTCATGGTTACCCATTGTGGCCTACATTGGCTTGAAATTCCTGCAAGGCGGCTCCGGATTGCTGCAGTCAATTCAAAACTGGCTCTGGATTCCCATTGGGCAATACACAACTCGAGAGATTTCTCTCAAGGTGTTTAGCCATTTGCACAGCCTGTCTTTGAGTTTTCATATCAATCGGAAAACCGGTGAAGTCTTGCGCGTGATGGACCGAGGTACCAGCTCTGTGGTCAGCTTGCTCAACCAAATCCTTTTCCAAATCTTCCCCGTTTGGATGAATATTATCCTGGTTACCTTTTTCACAACCTACATGTACGCTCCCTCATTTGGCTTGATTGTTTTTGTCACCATGGTATTGTACATGTATGTTACTATCGCTGTGACCGAATGGCGGACAAAGTACCGCCGTAGCATGATTGAGCTGGACAACAATGCTCGCACAAAGGCTGTGGACTCTCTGCTCAACTTTGAAACCGTAAAGTATTACAATGCCGAGAATTTTGAGTTGGATCGCTACAAGGATGCTATTCTGCAATACCAACAAGCCGATTGGAAGAGCTCTGTGACACTGAATGTGCTAAATCTAGCACAGAATACCATCATCACTGGAGGCTTGCTGTCTGGCTGCTTATTATTTGCCTACCAGGTGTCCAAAAACCAACTGAGCCCAGGTGATTTCGTTGCATTCAACATGTACATGATGCAACTATACACTCCAGTAAGTTACGCATTTGTTTGTTTTGAAAGAGAGGTCATTGTATGAAATTAACGTTTTGTGCTACAGTTGCACTGGTTTGGTACCTACTACAGAATGATTCAGTCCAACTTTATCGACATGGAGAAAATGCTGACCTTGCTGGAAGAGGATCAAACTGTTAAGGATGCTCCCAACGCCAAAGAGTTGCAAGTGACTGAAGGCCATGTTGTGTTTGGTAAGTGTGTAGAGAAATTTAATTAGGAACGTTCAACTGAATTGTCATGACAGATAATGTCACTTTTGCCTATGATGAGCGTCAAACTGCTCTAAACGGTATTTCCTTCTCTATTCCCAAGGGCGCTACCGTGGCTCTTGTGGGCCCATCTGGCGGTGGAAAATCAACCATTCTACGCCTCTTGTTCCGCTTCTACGACCCTCGCTCTGGCGGTATCTCTATTGATGGCCAAGACATTCGCCAAGTTACACAACTATCATTGAGAAAGAACATTGGTGTTGTACCTCAAGATAATGTGCTTTTCAATGAATCGATATACTACAACATTAAATATGGCGATGTGCATGCTGACGACAGTCAAATCAAACGGGCTGCTAAGGCTGCCCAAATCCATCATAGGATTGTGTCTTTTCCTGATGGCTATGACACCAAGGTGGGTGAGCGTGGACTTCGCCTGAGTGGTGGCGAAAAGGTAAGAAAATAACCATACTTCAAGACTTTACTTGTATTCACATTATATATAGCAACGTGTTGCAATTGCTAGAACAATCCTCAAGAACCCTCGCATCTTTCTGCTGGATGAGAGCACAAGTTCCCTTGATACGTGAGTATTTGTTCAGATGACAGAGAGTCGCTCATAACCTGATATGCATGTGTGTAGGACTACGGAGAGACATATCCAACAAGCTTTGGCTGATATGACAAAGGATAGAACGACATTAGTGATAGCTCATCGATTATCTACAATTGTCAATGCAGATTTGATATTGGTGTAAGTAAATGTGTAAATATACGCGTCATTGTACTCATGCGACTATTATGTACAGTGTCAAGGATGGTAAAATTGTCGAACAAGGTAGTCATGAAGAGTTGATAAAGAGAGGCGATGAAGGTAAGTGATTTTGATTGACTGATACTGGAGTTGTCTTACACATGTACTGAATAGGTGGTGTTTACTACGAGATGTGGCAGAAGCAACTGCATGATGACAGTGAGACACATAGCCAAGCAACGCAGCAAGATCAAGACGATAGTGGTAGTTCATTTACTATAGATGATACCAATTCCTCTCCGAAACAAGACGCTCATTCTAAGCAAAATGAACAGATCCATCAGCACCATACTCATACTCACACACATTCTACACGAGCTCTTAATACACAGACGATTGAGATTGAAGGAGGTCAAGAAAAGAAACCCGAAATGACACAAAGGGAAATGGAAATCATTGAATTGGAGGAAGAAGAGGAGGAACCGCATCAGCATACAGGATCTATCGCTATTGAGACTATTGACATCGACTCAGATGATACAGAGGAAGCTACTTCCAGATTGAAAAATAAAAAATAAATGTTTTTATCGCTTTAGACCATCAAAGGCATCAGTAACAAACAGTGCATTTGCCTTAGTATCCCATTTACTGTGATAATAGCATTGATAGTTTGATCTAGATAATAAATTAATCAACACTGAAATGATAAAAGCCTAGGTTTCTTATTTCTTACTAGAGCTGCAGTGAAATCGGGTTAAAATAATTTCACAAAAGAAAATAAAGCCAATAGCAAAATAAAATAGAATTGTGTAAAACGGTTTGAGCTACAACATTTACTGTGAGTGGCAAAAATATTCTAACGTCCCAACATTATTATTATTATGATGGGTACATCAGCGCCACGGCATCAGTTTTATATCTACAGTTATTAACAATGCATCATTTTGAAGCTCGCGTGCATTGTTTCATGATGTAAGCTTGTCAGAACAGTTTTGACACATTTGATTAATGGAAACAAAACTCTGAGCAACATGACTATTTCGATGAAGATCATAGCAGAAACCAGCGTTAGACCAAATCAGTACTTATAGAAGTTAACCTCTCGTTAATACAATAAAAAGACTTGCACATAAGCTTCTGGTAAAAGCATCTGTTGTTAAGCTGTCATCAAGGAAAGACGTTGCCAATAATGGCATTTCCTTTGTTTTGCTTCCAGTATCTAGGAAATGCCATTATTGGCAACATCCATGCGCCACTTCTGTATTGCATTTGGTTAGTTCTTGAATGATACATTGTGCCTGAGGTATGAAATGTTGTATTCACACATCTAACTGTTCCTGAATCACAAGATCGTAGATTGAATTCAGTAATAAACTATGCACATATGGAGCATATGTAAATAAACTGTATCAACATGTAAACGATAACCATGATATTCACATAAGCTAAGTTTCAGTAAGCTATTCTCTATATGTCAAAAGATAGCAGATAAGGAATGTAAGTAATTAACGTTGCCAAGAGCAACTAAAGATATTTAGACTGATCATCTATATCTGAAATAATTACCATTTAGCATAAGTGAGGATTGACACTAAAACTTAGCATGAGAACACCATTCTAGACGGGTGTGTAAGCAATCCATAAATCATACATATAAATAGCAGTAGACATTCATTCTTCCCTCTCCTCTTCATCTGATTTTACTAAAATAAACTTATATCCATTCTCACGTACTTTCAGATTTACAACATGAAATACTGTCCGTAATGTTAGCTGAATTAATGTAAAATACCTTTTTTAAGTCAATGTTAGTGCTGTGTTTATTCGATCGACGATTTATGTATGGCTATTTCAACTTGATAATTAGCATTATTGTATGGTGCCACTTCTATAAGATGTCCAGTTGCTATAGAATTGATGCTTTTCTATCATGAAAATATACTAATTATCGATTTGTCAGATATTTGCTTGTATTTTTCCATTGTTCAATGAAATTACTAAAATATCTAGGCAAACTACTTTTATAAATGCTTCAAACTTCTGTGATTTTTGAACTATAACGACCAGCACCGTATTTTGTTTACTTTTAAAGATATAAGATAAAGGTTTGCCCTTTTCAAAAAACGTTGAAACGTTTTTTTTTTCCTTTTTCACGGTACTTTTATATATTCAGAACTTGATATGAGGTAAAAGATAGTACGCATGAAAGTGAAACACTTTGGATCTCAATGATAAACAACAACACATGTTTGACGGAGCAGTTGATCCTGAAAAGAATTGGTATTTTGTGTACTGCTCTATATAACTTTCCCCGTAAAAGAATTCAAAGAACACCTTCACATGAGAGTAATTAGCGGGCGCTAGATCAAACGATGGCATCTTATATAACCTTCTTTAGCTAAACAAAGATTCAAAATGTATCTATTTCGATACCCTTTTATTACAAACACAAAATTATAATAAATGACAAATCAATAGGAAATCAACTAGTTATAACCCTTTGCTACTTCAACCTCTCAGCCAATCAGATTACTTGGAAACTCCGCTGACCTAAAAAAAATTTGCGAGGGTTTCCCCCTGTTTTGATGTGAGGCAAAATTTTAAGCGCCGCTATATATAGCAATATAGCTACTGCTATCATCAAATTTCCCTCAGGTGCTAGAGCATGCCTTACTTGCACCACCTAGCTTTAGATTCTGGCGTTGAGACTCTCAATCATCACTAAAGTAAGTAGTGATAACCAAGTGGAGGCGGCCTATCTACCTCCTAGCCTCGGATAAAGTCTTGTTGAGCTTCAGGGATAGGCACATCCACACAACGTAAAAAAGGTATGCTTCAAAGAAACATAAAAATAATAAAAGAAAAGAACATACTACTATAAGAGCGTAGCAGTATATAGGCAAAAAAGAGACACTCGCACGAAGCGAGTCAAAGAAAAGCATAACAAACACAACATCAAAGATGTTCGAAAAAGCTCGTTGCTATTGCAAGAAAAACGCATACATAAGCAACGCGCATGGTAGTAATAGTCGAATGTAAAGCAACATGATGGCACAAATACGCACAACTGCAAAAGCAACAGTGGTATTATAAGTTTACGATACAACAAAATGACTAATATTGATTCATGTAAAGCTACAGAGGAAACACTACCAATAAAAGAAAAAGAAGAAGAAAAAAGCGCAACAAGGCAAACATCACGAATGCATTATCACGAGAAAGGAAGCAATAATATAAGCGTTCAAAGAAGTTTTATATCATTGCGACCAGAAGAAAGAAGCTACTTACCACTTACCACAGCCACAGATAGACCATACGAGTATAGGATATCACTGGAGACAGACCAGATAACAAGCATGCACCAAACACAATAGACCAAGAAAGACCAGATTAGCGGGAGCAGCAGCAGCAACACCAGCACCATAGAAAAACTAAAGAACGAACGCCATCAGCAGAGAGCAGACAAAGACCAAAGAAGTTACTTACCACTTATCACCACCACAGATAGATCAGATATTACGCAATCACCGGATATAAACCAGAGAACGAGCATGCACCAAAGACCGTAGACCAGGAAAGACTAGATTAGCAGCTGCAGCAATACCAGCACCATAGAAAAACCGAAGAATGAACGACACCAGAGACCACACAAAGACCAAAGAAGCAACCAGCAGACATAATAAACCAAAGAAGCAGACAGCAGAGATAGCAGAGAAGTAATGGCAGCAGCATCCACGTCAAACAGGCAAAAAAAAATTACTGAAACCTAATAAACAAATTCAATTAGTGATAATTTTACGTCTTCTAGTGCTCGTTATCGAATGGTACCTAATGTATTCCACTTGAAAGAAGCAGTATCAAGTCTTTCTAACAGTACAATACAGCGTTATCAGAAGCTAGAATGGTATTATCAATCAAACGGTTTCCAAAACCACCATGGTTTGATACTAAACGCGTTTTGCAAAAAGGGGAAAAATGAGAGGGCGCTCTATCCGACGTCACAGCCAATGGATTTTCTCTCAGTCTTTTGCTGTGACAGTCGTATTTGCGGCCATTTAATTTGAATTTGTGTAGTGAGTGTTTTCGTGTTCAAACTTGACTTGATCTGACATCTTTTAAACGTTTTTGCCAAATTTGACTATGAAAACGGTCGTTGTCGTACCCAACTTTCTAATAAATTTCTAGAGGACTAAAGAAACCGCATCGAATGGTGCTGATTACATGCAGCTTTCAGACCGAAAATAATGAGCAGTTTGCAAAAATATGAAAACAGGTTTTCTGTGAATAAGTCAAAATCTAGCATATACAAGTCTCATAGAAAGAGTTTCGAGTGTTGCATTACATCTTTACAATCAATTTGATCCTATATGTATTATAGAAAAAGTCGTCATTTTTGGGGGTGAAAAACGCAATCGTTTGATTCTTAACAATTTTCCCTTACTAGTACACAGGAAAAAAATGAGGATATTCATGGACTTGCGATTACCCAAAAAAATTTGAGATAAAGCATCAGTAAGTAGAGCGTGGACAAGGAGAGATGTTTGGCCCTATTCCAAACGTCCACAATGCCTTGTAGCATGAGTTATTCGTGCTTCAAAATGACTAAATTTGGGCAGAATTTGACCAAAAATAAGACGTAGTCGGTTGTGTTGATAATAACGTAAATATATTAAAGCTCTCTCTGATATCTCTGATGTTCGACATTATATGGAACTCAATGCCTAAGTGATCGACGCTTGTATTCTAATTCTGAGGTTCAGGTTGCTGAGGATATAGATCATCTCTGAGAGGCAAATGTATTATTATACAGCGTATAATACATGAGAAGATTTGAGAACGAGCAGAGATGCCTAGTAGTAGATTGAGATTTCTTTATTCAAGCAATACAATGAAACATGAGTGGTGCCTTCAAATGGCTAATTTATATCCTCCTGGTTTCTAGAGTGTGGTAGTCTATGACCTTTCGTCCCTGAAAGTGGGTTTCAATTCTGACAAATGTTCTTGCGTCAAAACTACTAGGAAGAACATTCTATACTGGATAATCTCTGTTGTCTGTTCCTGATTGGTGGTCTATGAGTTTTGCGCAGCACATCCTTGTTAACTGATTCAACAAGAGTGATCAACAGCTCGTTATAAACAAGCACCATTCATTATCGTAGGTTACGTTCACACTCTCCTTAGGCTATTCTAACTTGGTAGCAACATAAATATATGGATATAATACTAATTATGAGGGATTATTTCGAGCTTTGCAAGCCATTTTCACTACAATTGGCTTTAATGTACCATTTCCAAATTGGATCTAAAAGCAAAAAAGTACTCAGCTCAAGCACGAATCCCATCATCGTAAAATTTGACATGAAATTGGACTTAGCTATGGGTGCAGTTATGGCATCATGTCCAGAATAATAGATTGGGTCTATTATCCTGTCGCCTAGATGGTCCCATTTAATAACTTATCCTTACATCAATTCCCTTAGTTCAAATTCTATATAAACCCTCTTATTTCCATTATAATAAACAATATTCTTTACTTTGTCAATTTCACACTGTTTTCTCTAATAGATCGAAATTCTCGTGGCTATTTTGGGTTACCGAGTATGAGCTTTTTTGAGTCATAAACATATGTCTTGCTGGTAATTAGTAGCTTTTATTACTATAAACTAGTTAGTAATGATTTTCATTTGTTTTTCAAGACTTTACATACCTCAAAATATCCTTCGAATCCTTGCACTTCGTGGTTGATAGACCAGCATAGTAGATTGCCACTAAACAATTGACTAAAGCTGCTAACCACACGGTAATCGGCGTCATTCTGAAACCCATAATCCATTCAAATGTAAACAACAGATGTTCTCATTGAAAAGCATTCATCTGTAGTGCCGCACTGCGGCCTTGTTTGGCAATCATACACATGCTGATGTTTGTGCTCAGTGGGTGATCCAGTTGCTGTCTAATTCAAAAGCACTTTGATCAAACTGCTACGCAAGTAGTGAAGGTTGATGCTGGAGTGTGCTGTTGTTTATTCTTGTCGTGTCAAAAAGCGCTTAAAATATCTACTTATATCAATGCGGATAGAAGGAAGCACTATGTCTTAATTGGTTGTTTTCTGTAATATTACTCTTCTTAAAACTTGCATGGTTTCGTGATTACGCAACGCGACTAGAATCGAAAAGGGAGAACAGGCCAGAGAACAACAGCTTCTTGGTTATCGTAGTTTCTACAGCTATCCAGATATGCAGAATTCAGCATTTCTTCTTGAATTCGGTTCTTTTCGTGCGTTGATCTTGGCTGCGTTAAGACAAGGCTTGTCGTTGGTGCTTCCACGCCGCCGCTGCAGAGCACTGTTGATTCATCGTACTGCCAACCTTGCATGCCCTCCATGTCGTCCTTTTCTCGACTGATTCGCTCTAGCTCCTTTTCTTTCTGATATGCTTCTGAAAATTGAAAGATTTCTATTGCTTCTTTTGACGGTTGGTGCTCCTCTTCCTCCTCTTCCCCCTCTTCCTCCTCTTCTGGAGAGTAGTGCTCATCCTCTGGCTGGTCGTGCTTCTGTAATTCATCGGTTTCGTATTGGTAATAATCGTATGCATTTTGTTGATAGTATTGTTGCTGTTGAAGCATATTCTGCCAATAAGCTTTTTGTTCTGGCCCAAAGTGCTGTGCATGGAAATCACTAAATGCTAAACGATTCATAATGATGGATGGGAGGGAAAGTGAAAATGCGCATCCAAAAAGTAACAATCCCCAGAAACGCCACGGATATTGAAATCGCCTCTCTTTCACATTTTATTTATCATCGTCATGTCAATATATCCAACTCGCATAGAATCAACATTGAAGGGTCATAAAGGGCCCATCAACGACGTATGTTACAATAAAACGGGCCAGTACTGCTTGTCAGCGGGAAGAGACAGATCAATTAGACTTTGGAATCCATCTACGGGTATGCTGCTGCATACTTACAATGGACATGGACGCGACGTCTTGGGTATAGCAGTGTAAGTTGCATATTCTCTTCATGGTTATTATACTCGAGCACTAAACGCAAATAGATCATCTGACAATGGCAAGATAGCCAGTGGAGGGGTGGATAGATCAGTGCTGTTGTGGGATGTGGGTTCTGGTGAAATCATGCGCAGATACACGGCGCATTGGGAGGTACGGACAAGCTGCAGCACACATCATACGCTTGTACTGATATTCTGTAGCGTGTAAATTCAGTAGCATTCAACAACGAATCAACAGTGCTTGTGAGTGGATCGTTTGATGCAACCATTCGATTATGGGATTTACGGTCCTCCAACTTTCAGCCCATTCAAGTCATAGAGGATTGCAAAGATAGCGTCATGTCAGTAGATGTACAAGGGGTCGAGATCATAGCAGGGTAAGCTCTGTATGAGGCTACAGCTGGAGTTGCGTGCTTATACTTTGTTGGCAGTTGCGCAGATGGCAAATTAAGGACATACGATTTGAGAGCAGGCGATTTGAAGGAGGACTATATTGGACCTGCCATTACATCAGCAAGATTATCAAAAGACAAAAACTGCATACTAGTCAGCACCCTGGATGACACAATGCGACTGATGGATAAAAGCAATGGCAGATTATTAAACGAGTAAGCAAGATGCAGTTTCATCGTAAGTGCAGAAAGTTTAATACTCCATGTAAAACCAGGTTCAAGGGCCACAAGCACAAGGAATACAAGATTGATTCGATACTGTCCAACACTGACGCCTATGCTATTACTGGATCAGAAGATGGTAAAATTTACATTTACGATGTGCTGGAGGGAAACACGGTGCAAGTGCTTGAAGGACATCAAGGCGTCGCCACGACATTGGATTATCATCCGGAGAATATAAACATGTTGTCAGCTGGATCTGATGGTTTAATTCACATTTGGGGTTAAATTTGTTACGCTTGTCAACGTTGCAAGTAGCATTTAACATCAAACATGTGTAACTCACTGTTTACAATTTTAACGTTTTATATATATATATATATATATATAAAGATATAATGATTTTGGGCGTATAAATAATGCTGCTGTTGTATCCATTTTGCTTTTATTTTTTTTTTTCGCTCTCTCATTTCACAATGTATTCAACTCTTCAATATCATCATTCAAGCGCTTGGTTAATCCAACAGCAGCAATTTTACAACTTTCCACATTACGATCATTCACACCAACAGCCTCAATTACCGCTAGACAGCTTGAGTTTGAAGCATAAAGAGGTTGTCTTGTACAAGACTGAATTCTGCAGAAACTGGACTGAGTTGGGTCATTGTCGGTACGTGTGCAGTGTTTGATCTGTAGTAGTCCCTCCTCTCATCACTTAACTGTAGCTATGGTAAGAAATGCCGCTATGCACATGGTGAATCAGAATTACGTACGGTACCCAGACACACACGATACAAAACACAAATTTGTCGTGCCTATCATACGGATGGCTCTTGCCCATACGGTATTCGATGCACCTTTGTTCACGATGCTACCGACAACGATATGAGCAGCATCAGTAGCCACGGCAGTAGTAGCAGTGGTAGCAATCATGGTAATGACGCAAGTCTACTGTTTGACGCCTCATCCTCCTTTTTGTCGCTTCAGAACAATCCCCACAAACAGTGTCTCATCATGAAACAGCAACAATACAAACAACAACAACCTATTGAAACAATGCACTGCTACTATAGACCTCAAGGAGCCCTGTGGATGTAACACACCCACCTAAATGCCAGCTGTAAATCTGATCACATCATTTGTATAGCTTGCATACAGCTTATTTTATTGTTTTCCTTATTATATGTAATAATACATGCTATTTATTCTATCTTTTTCTCTCTTGTTAAACACTCTGTTTCGCCATAATAAACCTTCTTTATTTCTTTGCTTGTATATACTGTATATTTGTCACACCATCATCTTAAGTGTCTCATCTGTCATTTAACAAACAAAATGGCGGGGAAAATCAAATAGGCTTAATCCGGGCCATCTTTTTCTTGGATATCCAGATAGAAAGAACCCTGTATTGGACCCCATTCTTCTGCTTGGTTCAATAGGATGCATCATGGAACTTGCCATTTCACATATCTCTATAATATATGCTTGAATAAAAAAAAAGTAGCCTTTTGTCATACATAAACAGCAATGCAAGCGTATATCTGATTCTTTGTTTTTCTCACTCTCGCGTTGCTACAGCTAAAATATCTCGGGAGCATGAGGTGGATGACCCTTAGATTTTCTGCCAATGGCTGTTTGAGGTGGATACTATAGGAATGGGATTACATAAGCCATGTTTTAATCGTTTATGCTCAGTCTTTTAGTGCTTCTCTATGGCAATCAATGGCAACATGCTGTTGGGTTCTATTTGTTTGCTATTACAGGCCTATATCAATGTTCAAGCTCAAAGACGCTGCCAAGTTTCTGTCAAATGTCAACAATCGAATCAATGAGGTTCCCCGCATAATGTGTACATTTGAAGCGGGTAATCAGGGCATCATCCTCACTTACTACAAGTTGCGATTACCATGAGAGCGTTGATTGAGTGAGAGCACATTTTTGCGTAATCAAACAAATAGTTGGAAAACTCTGTCCAGACATGCAAGGGTAAAACCATTTTGCCTGACGAGTCCCGTCTTATTCAGAAGCATGAATTCATCATCCAACAAATGTCTGCGGTCATCTAAACAATGGCATCATTGCATATAAATAGACCCTTTTTTTTTTATGTAAAACCTCAAGGAAGTTTTTCTTTTTACACATAAATACATACACTTATCCAATGTCTGGGCAACAACACGCCGGAAAAATTACAAAAATCATCAATGGCCGCCTACTGCGCAATCACGAAATCGTAGAAAACTCGTATCTCTATATCCAAGATGGCAGGATTATCGATGCTTTTCATTCATTCTTTGACCAACAGCGAGAACCTGACCACATCATTGATGCAAAGGGTGCCATCATCTCGCCTGGTTTCATCGACCTTCAGATCAATGGCGCATTTGGTATCGATTTCTCTGACTATGAAGGCAGCCAAGAAAAGCTGGCTAAAGATATTGCTGTTGTCGCCAATGGATTGTTACAAAATGGATGTACCGCCTTTTGTCCAACTGTAGTTACCTCTGCTCCTGAGGTCTATTCCAAGGTAATCTATTGATACAATCTCGAGATGTGTATTGGCTTGATATTAATTATGTACCTAGGTTTTGCCATTATTAAGACATCGCTCTGGAAATGCTAAAACAGGGGCTGAGATTTTGGGCGCTCACTGCGAAGGACCCTTCATTTCGACAGAGAAAAAGGGTGCACATGATCAAACTGTCATTCAAGATGCAAGGGACGGCATTGCGTCTCTGGATAGAGCCTATGGTCCCGAGTTACTGAAGGGCGGAGAAACGGTGCGCATTATGACAGTGGCTCCTGAATTAGATGGCATGTTGGACGTCATTCCTCAACTGATTGATCGCAACATTACTGTATCTATCGGCCATTCTGCTGCTACCATCGATCAAGCAGAAGCTGGTGTTGCTGCTGGTGCTACTTTTATGACTCATTTGTTCAATGCTATGCGACCATTCCATCAAAGAGATCCAGGCATGGTGGGTATTCTAGGTGCTAGTGATCTGCCTGAGCCCAAGCAGCCCGAGCGTCACCCTTTGCCTTCGTCCACCTCTCCTGACGGCAACAAACCTGATCCTCGTCCATTCTACGGTATTATTTGCGATGGCGTCCATGTTCACCCTAATTCAGTCCGTATCGCCTATTACTCTCATCCACGCGGCTGTGTTTTAGTAACAGACGCATTGAGTGCAGCAGGGCTACCTCGAGGTATCTATCAATTAGGTGGCCGCGATGTTGAAGTGCGCGGTGTCAGTGGCGCGTACGTCAAGGGCACAAATACCTTGGCTGGGAGTACCGTTACCATTGATCATTGTGTACGTAACTTTAAAGAGTTTACAAGATGCACGGCGGTCGAGGCATTAGAGGCAGCTACTTTGCATCCAGCTCAGGCACTAGGCATTCAAGCAACAAAGGGCACATTGAACCCTGGCAGCGATGCGGATCTGGTTTTTTTGGATGATGATTTGCATATCCAAAAAGTGTTTGTTCGTGGTGAAGAGGTTGAACTGAAAGAAAGACATGTTTAATAAAGAGAGTATAAACATGAATGATAGAAACGAGATGCAATTTATATGTGTTTGTATGTTACTTGGTGTGCGTAATGGTGTCTGTGAGAGCTGCAATTTACATGCATTCTGTTTTGGTTAAAGCTAAAAGACGTCGATCTGTATAACCCGACTAATTGGATGAAAAACGTCAGCTTAGATCATCGACATCGTATAACCTGCACGCTTACGCTCAATAAATCCTGTTCACGAGGCACTCTCATTTGAAGCATAGTATTTCCCTTCATACTTTGCTTCAAGATGCGTCTTAGAGACTCGTCTCCTAAACACACACACTCACTATTTAATGATCCATCACAGCATGTAAAACACCACTTACGATTCAACAAGCATTTCCATAATCCATCAAATCCTTTGTATTGAAGCACCATACCAGTGATGGCTGCATCTTGGTAAGAGAGTCTCAACCAAGCGATCATAGGTTCAATGGTGGCATCCTCTATTATGAACGCTGTATGAATATCATCCTTAAGCGGCCCCTCTCACTTCTTCTACTTACGGGCTAATTGAAAATACAATACACGATTAAATGTTAAATGGGTGACCTCGACAATAACACCAGCTTGAGGGGAAGGTACGCTAAACACCCGTCAATATCAATAGATCGTAATCAAACCAACACATTACCTGTTAGCGGGCGTATCAGTAGTAGGTGTAGCCGAGGTAGCTGAGGTTTCTGTCGTTTCTGGTTGTGTAGAGGGTGGTGAGGTGATTTTTTTACCAACTCTTTTCGTTTTCACGGGTTTTGCTGCCGCAGTAGATGATTGTTCCTTTGGTAACTCTCGTGGTGTCTCCTCATTCACGCCGCTTGATTGTTCTTGCTGACTTGAATCTACATTAGTGTTTGTTGCTTGTTGAGGTGATGGGGATGGAGAGGGAGGTACACTCAGGTATTGTTGATCTTCGGTAACAGCAGCTAATGTAGCAGCCATCAGTACAGCCTCCTGCTGTTGTTGATCACGAGTAGGGTATTCAGAATACTGCAAATGTAGCTGCTGTTGTGCCTGCAATTGTGCCTGTTGCTGTTGTTGTTGTTGTTGTTGTTGCTGTTGTTGTATCTGACTATTCACAAGCGCATTCATGCCTTCAATCAATTTGCGAACTTCAGCTAAATCATTTGCTGCTGCTTCTGAAGCTCTGTCCATCACAAGGTAATTCATAGTAAAAGACGGGTTTTTCAAATCGAAATGGGAAAGGAAAAAGGGAAAAAATTACAGTCCTTGGATACGGGACGACAATTAAGCAGCTTTAAATCGGAAGAAGCGTTCTTTAATAGCAATAGTTTGAGACAGTGTGTGCTTGATTGTATGATTTACTAAAATCTCGAAGAAATCGCGCATAAAAATGCAAGTTTAGTTAGTTTTTTGCGTAAACCAGACTAGAATTCACACTGGAGGAGATGCTAGTTTGAGTAGGGCACAGCTTCACATTTCGCATTGGGATCCGCAATGGATGATGGATTTGCAACAAATATATTTCACATTTGTAAAATTTTGCAGCATAATCAAGATAACAGATCCAATCTAAGCTATAATACCTTTCAATTTTCAGTGCCCCTCTTTCATTAGCTTCATAAAGATGAATTGTCTGTTAGCAGAAAAGCATTAACACTGCCAAATTTGATTGAATCTCCGAAGAAGTTTACTCGAGCAAGATTGGCCCAACCTGGTCAATCTCAAGCCAGTTTGATCTATTTTGCCAGATTCGACTATATAAAACCTGATAATCATCTCATCCTCCCTTATGCTTTTATGAAGGGCTTCTCAAGGCCTATCAAATGGTGCTATTTATAACAGACTTTTTGAACAGGCATATTGAGCAATAATTGAAAATAGGAAATGAGGTTTTTGGCGAAAATGTCGAGATTTTGCATATGAAAATTTTAAAAATAAGGTTTTAGGGGTTGCTTTGCATCAGGAGAATCATTTTGATTTAATATATGCTATAGCAAAAGTCTTCATTTTCGAGGTGAAAAACGCAATCGTTTGATTTTTGATAAAATTCATGAGGTATTCCTCATGGTTTTTGGTCGATTTTCGACAATTTCAAAAAAGTGGCGCAAAGGTGTCAGAAAGCAAGTGCTAGATGAAAGCAATTAGGTGGTGCTATTCTGACGGTTTAAAACGGCTTCTAACACAAAAAAATCACAGCTCAAATGCACCCAGATTTTGCTATGCTTTTTGTATTTTGAATAGATGAAGGTACTGCAAGTATACTGTCAGCCTACTTATTATGAATTGTTTCCATTAATACATACGAATGCCTGTGCTTCGGATGGCTCTCTACCTTCGCTTCGCTTCGGCGAGAACCAACTTGCGCTGCCAATTGCCCTTGCGTATCATATCAAAATACTGCTACCTTCATTTTGACCCTCCACTTACACATGAAAACCTTTCATATTATCTGTGGATCTGATTCTTATGTGATGCTCTACATCCATATACACGTGGCTACTTCATATACGGGCAAGCAGCATACTGGTACTTCCCTTTTTTAGTCCTTAGTGTCCCTGATACAGCAAAATCTGAGTGTATTTGGGTTGCGTTTTCTTGCGTTAAGGCCGTTTTGAACTGTCAGAATAGCACCAAACAATTGCTCTCGTCTAGCAGTTACTTTCTGACATCCTTGCTCAACTTTTTGGGAATCAAAAAAACATAGCCAAAAATCGGCCAAAAAGCATGAGGTACCCCTCATGATTTTCACCAAAAATCAAACGATCGCTTTTTTCACCTTGAAAATGAAGACTTTTACTATGACGTATACTGGATCAAAATGTTTCTATCGATCCGAAGCAACCTCTGAAACCATTTTTGTGATGTTTTCATATTCAAAATCTGGACATTTTCGCTAGAAACCTCATTTCGTATTCTACTAAATTTTTTGATAGTTTTATTCAAAACACCTATTACAGTTAGCACCATTGGAATCGCCTTGAAAAGTATTTCAAGAATGTATTAGGAAGCGTAGGGTGATCATCACAATTTATATAGTCGGATATCACAAAACAGATTAAAGAAGTCGAAAAGAGACAAAATCTGTCCAATCTTGAACATAAAAAAAACAATCTGAGTTTAAATTAATTTTGACAGGCTTCGCTGCTGGCTGACCCAAATCCCTTTCTGATGGTGACAATGATGATTGCGATGCTGATTAAATGGGGAAAATGGATTTGAAAGGACAATTAATTAGCCTGAATACTTTTTTTAGGGTGCTTCTCGTCATAAAGGCGTATTTTGCAATGACATTATCTCAAAAAAGTCGTTGTAGATCGGCTAGTTACATATATAAGAGTAATTTGTCCATAATCAAAGATCTCCTGACAAATGGTAGTTGATAACTGTTGCTGCAATAAGTATAGTTCTACCTTGCTGATCAAACTATAAATGATGTTTTATTCAACATGAAATGGCATGATGGAAACTGATTTGTGTGAGTCACGGTATGCGTGAGAGGTACCAACGGGGACTTATTTGAAAGACATATTACAGGAGTAAGAGACCTGATTTTTTACGCAGGATCAAGTTAAGGCAATATAGTCTTTTGGTCAGTGATAGCGATGGAGAATACGGGGTTATCAAGCTTATAGCCCATTGTATAACAGTAACGCTCAAAAGATAGCATTGGACCAGGAGTTTGTGTGTTCAAAGGGGTATAAAATACCCATCAGAGCGCAGCTCTGGATAGAAAATTAAGATTAGATTCACTTTAGGCCATTTTGTGTGATATATGTTCACACGGCCTCTATATTCCACTAAATCAAAACATTCGAATCGAATGGCCTACGTGTATGGCATTTGGATAGGAAATATGCCTTCGGTAAGCGATCGATTCGCCTTGTTGAAAGTGATAAAGATGTTGCTGCTGTCTTTTTAACCATGCATTGCAATCTCAAACTTAACGGAGCTCAGATTGACTCGAATGTGTACAAAGGAATCAAGTATAGAAACAGAATATTTTTGATCACAAAAGGGATAATCTTTTATCTACATATAGATTAGAGGCGTGAATTCCCGGTTATCATATCAGTTCTTGATGGCATATACAGGTTTATCAGTAATAAGCTTTACTTTTACTATTCATCCGCGCTACATTTTGTCACGCATTTCATTCATTTAAGAAGGGTATAACGTAGTGAGCATATCTACATTGCCAATTTGAGTAATAGGAAGCATATGGACAAAGTATACACATTTGGAGCCGATCTAACGGAGGAAGAAATCAGCATTTTTGCTCTCAAACATTGGCGTATGACTATGAAGCTCGGGCTCCTTTAATATATATGTTTGCTTCACCCCATACATTGCCTGTACTCCCCAACATGTCAGATGCTGAACTGTAGAAGCTAAGAGGATGGTTGAGGGGCACTCACACACACACACATAGAATACACACTACAGCAAAACGGCGACTCAATCATCAACAAACCAAAATGGGGATCTCCTGTACCACCCTCCATTATTCGCCTTGTACGCTTTAAAGCAATATAAAGTTAAAGAAGTAGCTTGAAAGAAGTACGTTTTCATTGTTTTTGCTTCTGAAACTTCAAAATTTCGAGCCTTCGCTTTACTTTTTTATGCTGCTAATCTCTACTATCTAGACTGACTCATCCGTACAACATTAGCGGGGGAATCAGCCTACAATCTCTTTTTTTTTGGAATCAATGTGTAGATGTAAATGTTGCTAACCTCAGACCACCACATCAAAAACAGAGAGTAGAAGAGGGAACTAATAAACACATGACGGTCTAGGTCTACTCTCCGGTAGATCTATATAAATAAGAGCATTTTCTTTGCTGGTTTCTTTCTTTTTCTCATCTCTCTACTCAAATCTAGACACATTTAACTGGTTTGCATATCAACTTACATCCCAATGACTGCTAAAACTAACGTCAATGCTGCTGTCGCTGCTGCTGCTGTCGAGGTGAATGACACGCACAAGAGCAGATTGACATTGGATGCCTCTGATGCTATGGATATAACCCAACCTATGCAACGTAATACCTCTAAACCTGAAAATCAAGCGCCTTTGATTGGCAACGAGATCCACAATGATCGTAAGGAAATCTGTTCTAAAAAGAGAAATCTCGGTAAATAGAATAAAGCATGTGTTCTCTTTGCGTATTGCATGCTAACTGGAAGGTATTGCCTTCATAGAAACTCTAGACAATGATGATGTGGAGTCTGCGGCATCTCATAACGACGAAGACCATGGCCATGGTATGTAGACTAGTGCCAAATTTACGCTTGCGAATTCTTGTCTAACTAATGTACATGCTGTATTAAAAGACAGTGATGATCCAAGAAGCATAAAACCTGGTAGACGGCCAATGGCAGAGGAAGAATGCGATGTAGTAAGCCAATTGCAGCGAAATGCCGGTGGCTTTGGACTCATGTGTATTGCTGAATAGGATGAGGGCGAGGACCCCAAGGTCAAGCGCAAGATCCAAAACAGGGCTGCTCAAAGAGCTTTTCGTGAGAGAAAAGATCGTTATGTCAAAGAACTGGAAAAGAAGATCAAATACGTTCAAGACAGCCATGTCTACTCTACCACTCGCCTTTTTAACGAGAATCAGCAATTGAGGTCCATCGTTTACACTTTGGAACTAGAGATTAATGCTCTCAAAGGTGTTCCGTTTGATTTCACGACAAATTCAGACATCCCTCGCATGGAGAAGAAGTGTCCCAGTCAGTCATGGCTGGCGAACATTGGCCCGTCTATCCCATTATCTGTCATCAACTCCTTCCCTCCTACCCCTCTTGCGCCGCTAAGGATTCATCCTTCTCATCCCTCGAACTATCAAGGAAACAACAGCAAGGCTTCTGCAACTAGTATGCCGGAAGAAAAGAATCAAAAAGAGCCAACAGAGCAACAAAAACTAGTGGCGTTAGCGAACTTTGCTGACAAGAGCAAACAAATGGCACTCAGGCCTTCAAAAATCATTAAATCTAGTACAGCATCTACCAAGAGAACGAAAAAATCGCATGCTGATACCGCAAGTCAGCGATTCACCTTTGCCATTACCACTCCAGCAACGCTTCGTGCTGATTCCAACAGTGATTTCGCTCGCAAAAATACTCAAATTGAAGCTGTGCAGTTGTATCCTGGTCATAGTCATCCTGCCAATTGCATGCTTGACAATAACAAACAGACAGATCATATGCCATATGTAACTCACTCTACCCATTCAACTAATATCACGCCTGTACTATCTCCTCATTATATTTCGAGTGTAGCAAGTAGCTGCTCTGGTAATAGTTGTACATCCTCTCCCTCAGGCGAAGAAGCAAGAGACACCATGGAGCATACATCGCAACCACCAGCAGAAGACATGGGTGATGATCTTTTGCTGTTTGATCATGCTACTGATGAGGTAGAAGAAGTGGGCCTGAACGATATTCTAAAGCACTTTTTTGACCCTACGGGCAATCTCGATCTCTCAATGTTCAATGCACAAGCACCCAACGATTGGGAGGCACCACAATAGCAAGCCTAATCATCTAATACCTTCTTACATTATGCAAACCTGTACAAACTTATGCATCCTATCAGTATTTACCTGTAAATTATTAATAAAAAAAATACGCCTTCATTTTCTTCATTTCACCTTGATTTACAGCAGCTATTTAGCCTTGTAACAAGTGAAAATTAGTACAACTGCGCTTGTATGTGTCAGCGCTCTTTGTTCCAATAGGACTTTTTGGAAACCCATTATCTTTCGTGCGACTTTTGTTAGGATAGGATTGAATACGGTGGTTTTATTGGTTTACAAACAGGTATCTTACAGTTCGCTAGTGGCACGAAACGGAATCTTATATTTTCTATTTCGTGCGTTTGGGCTGGGTAATCGCATCTTTTATGAATAATGTTCATACATGATACAAAAATCGGTTATTTCTATGTCTTTACTTGGCATTATCTCTTGTATGTGTTCCCAATTGATTGTTTTCTCTATAGGCCTCTGAAGAAGCATTTGAACAGATGCGACGAGTCACAGGCAGAAGTGCGCACTGACAGTGCATCAAGACCTTACATTACTAACATCAGGTACCAATGGCATTTAGGCTCTCTGATACAACGTCTCATCAAAATAGAGGCTTATGTCTCTTTCAGTTGAAAGTTTTATTATATCACCTTTGATACGGAAATGATGTGATATGATACAACCGAAAGTTCGCAACATCTCTCACATGTTAATTTACATCACATCAAGCAGTCAAAGTGGTGAAGAGTTCATCTTGATAGTAAACAGTGAGCACAGTGTCTCCAGGGCCATGTAATGAACATACTCAACAACACTGCGTCAATCATGAACCCCTTGATAACTTTTGCTTAGCATTATACTCCATTTCATGACTAATAAAAAGTGAAAGATAAAGCTCACTGTTACACTGTTCAATATATCTATAGACCATGAATATAATTCAAGGTCAAATGAAAATTTGTCCCTAATCCTGTCAATACTAGTCGATTATATACAGCTTTTTCCAACTTGTTCGGGTGATTTGTACCGCCTTTTCCTTTTGACATGGCTACTTTTAACTAATTACTAATCAAAAAGAGCCAAAAAGCATGGTTTGCTAAAACTAATTGCAGCCATGTTGTGTCGAATCATACTTTATCATTATCACTTTCAAACACTTTTGTATACAAGTCTTCGCTATCACCATCCATACATGTGCAATATGAGTGTAACGTTCTTATCGGATAAGAAAGATATGAAATGACAGGTGTTTCACTATATGATCGTTGCTGCCTGCTGTTCCCCGGCCATTTTGTTACAGCAGAAACCTTGTACCTTTCTCTTCGCTCTGTCTTGACATCATCGTCATGAGCAATCATCGAATGGATGCGGCCTATTGTGCAACATATATCATCATTGGCATATATAAAGGATATAGAGTAATGGCACGAGTGGAACCAATAATGTCCAAATGTTTTTTTATACTAAACGTTGGATAAAATGCACTAAATTGGGTAATTTAGGTATATACATGATACTAATGCTTCCTACAAATCCATTGTTGCTACCAGACTATAACCTTCTTTTCCTTTAAAAGAAGTATTTTGCTCGTATTAGGCTCGGTTGTATGATTTAGATTCAAATGGCGTTACAAGTTTAAACAGCTACCCTGAATTCCCACACTTGCCTAGGATTTACCCTTCCTTTCCCTAGAAAAAAATAGAGAACCCTGAACAAACGCAAATGGGGATACATGACATAAGATTGATTACGAGTTTTTTCAAGGACCCTTTTTTTAAGGGTTTATCTTTTTTTACCTTGCCATGTCTGGCATAGACATTTAAACATACCCTGCTTCCACATTGCACTCAAACACTAGCAAATGATCCGGTAACCCAGTCCACACCCAATTCATGATTTAAAAATACATTTGTTGATTAAATCCGGGGAAACGGTGTAGGGTTGGCTGGCTGTTCATCAAAACAAGAAGAGTGGGGGAGAAGAGGGGAAGCTGCGGAGGGGGGGGGGGGGAAAGCATGCCATTTTAGATCAAGTATAGGTTATTCTTTTCACCGCAAATTAAGGGCTTCAATTGATCTCTCTCTCTCTCTCTCTCTTGCTATCTTTGCCTGTATGTTTCTCTTTATTTGAAAGACCGGATGATCAAACAAAGCAGTGTGGAGGTCCATTTCATTTAGTATCGTTTGACAAGAAAGAAAATTTTGTGTATAAAAAGGAGCTCGTCATTTGTGCTTTTTCCCATTTCAACATCTTTATCTCCCTTGTATGACTCAATTGACATTTCTTCAAAAGTGCAACACACCATTAATCCAGGTAGTTTTCTTGGGTATTGTATGTCTGTGCTGTCCTGGTATGTTTAATGCCTTGTCTGGGCTCGGTGCTGGTGGCTCCATGAGCTCCAATGTTGCCCTGACAGATGCTGCTAATGGTGCTTTATACGGTTGCTTTGCTATTGTTGGTTTCTTTGCTGGTACATTCACCAACACGATTGGCGTTAAATATACATTGACTGTAAGTTACTACTGTGCGTGATCGTCTTTAGCATGCACCTAATGTGAGTCTCATAGATTGGTTCCATTGGGTACGCACTTTACTCGGCCGCTTTCTGGATCTATGACAGAAAGCAAGTGTCTGGATTTGTTGTTGCTGCTGGCGCCATCTTGGGTTGCTGTGCTGGTGTATTCTGGTCTGCTCAGGTAATTTAGAAAACGCTACTTAATGAATTTGTTATCAACATGTCATTCTTATCAGGGCTCCATTATGATGTCTTACCCCGAAGAAAAGAACAAGGGCAAATACGTTGCCATCTTCTGGGCTCTGTTCAACTTTGGTGGTATCCTGGGCTCCATCATTGCTCTTGCTCTCAATCTAGAGAACCAAGCTGGCGGTGTGAGCACAGGTACCTATACAGCCTTTGTAGTCATCATGCTGGTCGGTGTTGTCTTTTCTCTCGTGATTGCTCCTCCTTCTAAGGTAGTCCGTCCTAATGGCACTCATGTTGCCGTTGCCAAGGCTTCGCACTGGACCGCTGAGCTCAAGGGCGTCTTGCTTGTTTGGAAAGAATGGCGTATGATCTATCTCATTCCTGCCTTTTTGGCCTCCAACTGGTTTTACTCTTACCAATTTAGAATCAACGCTGTCTATTTTGATGCCTCTGCTCGTGCTCTTAATGACACCATGTACTGGGGTCTCCAGATTATCGGTTCTTTGATGATTGGTGTCTTGTTAGATTACCAACGCATGACTCGCCGTGGCCGTGGTTTGCTGGCATTAGCCATCTTGTTTCTTGTCGTGATGGGCGTTTGGGCTGGCGGTTTCGCTTTCCAACTGACATTTGACAACGATTTTGACTCTCCTATCGGCTGGAAGGATCCCGGTTTTGGTGGTCCCTTTGTGCTGTACATGCTGTATGGTTTTACTGATTCCTTATATCAGTCCTACATGTACTGGTTGATGGGTGCCATGTCCAATGATCCCTCCTTGCTTGCTCGTTATGCTGGTTTTTACAAGGCCACTCAATCTGCTGGTGCTGCTATTTCTTTCGGTATTGACGCTGTTAATATCCCACTGAAATGGGAATGTCTCATTTGCTGGCTGTTGGTCTTTGTATCATTCCCCTTGATTGCCGTGGTCGCTCACAATGTGAGTGAGACGAATGAAGACCCTGTTGAAAACCAAATCAACGATGACGAAGGTTTTACCAGGTCTTCCATCAACTCCAATGAAAAAGCTCATATTGAGCAAACATCATGTGCTTAATTTACCTTGCATATTGTATATATATATTCTACACACCTTTATTGTATTTTAGATTTTAGTAAAGAAAAGTGATAGGCTTTCCAAGTAAATCCACTTCACCTCATATTTCCAATGTCCAAAGCTCGTTAAGCATCCCGGCTTTTCCCAAACGACGATAGATGTTGAGCCTGCTCTTGCTATACACAACTGATCTATCTCAAGCCTTGATACACACTCTCTTTTGAAATGCATTTATTTACGATGTATAAGATTGTTTGAATACTAAATTACAAAATGAATGGTACATGTGTATGATGGCAACTACCAGATGACGCATCTGTCTTCATCACTCTTGTGAGGATTCATGGGAGAACCAGCAGGACAGTTAAAGACCCTGGCGAATTCAGCGCTGTTGATTAATGAGTTCTTGACACGGATAGCCCATGGAGGATGCGCATCTTTGGGGTTATATCCAGTCAGCTTATCATCATAGTATTCGCAACGAGGAATCGAGTAGCCGATGAAGAACAGCTTTTCTTGGGTCAAGTTTTCTAATCCAGGTAAAAGAGGCTCAGGTTGGTTCAGCTTAGCAACGTATTCACGGTAAGCGGTCAAAGCAATAGTCAGTCCACCACTATCAGCAATGTTTTCGCCGAGCGTGTTCTCGCCATCAATTTGAATCTTGTCGCCAGTGGATCTGTTGACGATAAAGTCCTTGTTGTATTGGTCGATAAAGCATTGAGAACGGTTGTGGAATGCCTCGTTGGAGAAAGGAGTCCACCAGTCTTCTTTGTAGCCACTGCTATTAAAGAGACGACCATTATTATCCAAAGCATGCTATCATAAATGCAATGAGTCAATGCTTTAGCGATTCTTGTATGCTTCATTCTACTTACAGTAAGCTCATGTCCAATGACGGATCCCATGCCACCATAGTTCAAGTATTTAGGGAACTTTGCATCGTAAAAAATCTTTTGCAAGATACCTTCAGGAAGCTCAAACTAAACAATAACATTAGATTCAGTGAATTGTTACAAGGCGTATTTTGCCACGTACTTGGTTTAGCTGACGGCTATAGAATGCATTGACATATGCGGCATAACCTTCATCAGACCATTGCTCGTTCAAGACTTTATCACCAAGGCTCCTCCACTGTCTGTTTGTGTTCCAAGCATAGTAGTTGCTGATGGTTTTGTAGTAGCTGGTAGTGTCTATCAAGTAGTTTTGGTAGTAGTTTTGGATGAAGCCAGGATTAGTCCAGTCTGGATGAATCATGTTGATGGCAGCTCTTGGTTTCAATGCATTGATCTACCAAGAGCATACAGTCAGATTGAGTACTATAGTCAATGAATTATGTAGGGATGTGCATACCTTTTTTACAGCTCTAGTCTTGGTGGGTGCATCAAGCCAAGGAGTGCCGGGAATGTGGTTCAACCATGAAGATTGCAGCTCATGAATAAATTGATCCACCTCGTTCTTTTCATTAATACCACCAAATGTCTTCAAAGCAAAGAAGCGGCCGACATTGTTGTACAGTTTAATACCGACTTGATTAGCACAGGTAGCCTGTTGATCAGTGACATTGGCAGAGTACATACTATCAGAAGGTGCAAATGCGTAGAACATGCCATTGGTAGATCTGTCCATGACGAAACGAACAGTAAAGTAGTCTTGCAACTCGTTCCATGTGAGAGAGGCAATTAACTTTTCCAAGGCCAGTGTCAGTTGCTGGATAGAGAACACAGTACTGGTAGGGCTGGTCAAGTATTCAGGATTGACGAGATCAGAGATGTAAGCAGACCAGTCAATCAGTTTGCTAACAGATGTTAGGCCACTGATGTTGCGACTGGCAACGACATCAGCTTCTGAAAGCTTATTCAGTCTATGTGTGAAAAGAGATTAGCCATTGAAAAATGACTCTCTACTAGTTTATACGCACGCTTCTGTGATGTTTTGCAATTGTTCTTGAACACCAACGTAAGTGTCGATGGCAGTCTTGACTTGATTTTGAGACCATAGTTGAATGTTGGCATCGTGGCTTGCCTTGACGACTTGTTGTGTTTGATTGTGCTGGCCCAATGTCTTGGTAATCGCAGCCTCAATGCTCTTGATATCCTCGTCTGGCACCTTGGGAACATTGAAGAGGATCATATTGTAATCGTGGTTCTCGTCGTTTCTTGTCACTAAAGCATCTACAATAGAAGACACACCAGAACGAGTGAAGAAAGCTAATACATGACCCAGTTGAGCGGGGACGGTTTCAGGCGTTGTGTGGTTGCCCATCAACGTATTGCGAAGGTAGGCAATGTCAGGATAGATTTCGGTAATGCTGCGCTCTGGATTCATGCAGGTGTTGTAAAAGTCTTTGGCCTTTTGAAAATTGGCTCGATCTGTATCAGCTTGTTCAGCAACATTGAAGCCATCAGCGTTTGATTTCAGGTGCTTTGCTATAAAGTCGTCGTAGGAGGTCTCCATGATATCCACCAGTGCCAGGATGTTGTTGGTTGTGACATCTGCAGAGGAGCTTCTGGCTGTATAGAAAGTACATGTTGGTGGTGCTTAGCGGTTGAATTAGCACAGATAAACTTACTTGTATCCTTTGCCTTTTTGGTACTAGGGGCATTGATCCAGGCACCACAAGAGTATTCAAAGAAATCAGAGCAGGGATCTACATTGAGATTCACATACTGTTTGATAAAGGCGCTTGTAGCCAAACAGTCGGGCGTGTTACAGACGTTGCTTGTAGGAACAGGCGCACGCTGAAAGAGAGAAGTGGGAGGCATTTGTAATGTGTTGATGATTTGATGGAAAGAGTAGCGAAATGGTTGCTTTATATATACACAGTCTGTTCAGCCTCGATCACAGGCTGAGTAGCCAGAGACAAACAGCTGTTGCTAGGTATTTTTATCTGTCATCATGTACGTAATACAACTGTGGCTGTGAGAGGTATACAAGTGTTCTAATAGCTACACTTGAGCTACTGAGCGCATGTCATTCCACTAGCCAACCGATCATGGCTCACTCTAATAGGTTTCTTATTCCATGATGGCTTCTCCTATATAGCATGTTGCACTTTGGTTCTTGTTGTTGTTGTTGTTGTTGTTGTTGTTATTGCTTGGCTCATGCTTTGTCATCACCTTCAGCCCTGTAGAGAGAATGAATGATTCAGAATATTTGGTATAAAACAACACAAACAATGTGGCAATGCTCAAAATTTCTTTTTCAGGGCAATTCCTTTCCCTTGGCCAAAAATATATATTCGTTCCTTTTATTCTTTTTATAGCAAAGTGTCGCGTATGTGTGTACAGGAAGAAAATGACAGGTATAATGTATATAGTATGTATGTTCAAATTACTGATAACGACTCATAATCTCAGTAGACTTTCTTGCCGGAACTGTCTCTACCGTGGGCACCTCTTCACCGCTCACAAACTTGGTGAGACTACCCTCCAATGTACCCCAAAGTGAAGAGAACGCCTTCTTTTGAAACTTGGGCTTAAGCCAGGATCCAGGATCACTGCAGGAAAGATATTAATATGGTGATGGGCTTATATACGTTTGAAAACCTTACCCGCTCTTTCTTCCAGTGGCATTCTCTAAAAAGACACCAAACGCATTCACCTGTTCAATCAAATGAGGATGCAAGTAAGGGCTGCCCTTTGTATAGGATTTGATGCATTGATCTATCGCATCGTAATAGCGCTGGGCCATGTCCATATAGCCAAAATCTGCCAATACCCAAGCGTGTGCCAATTTGTAGCCTTGCAAGAACGGCAGACATGTGGTGGAACTCATGGCGAACTCGAAAATCTCGGTCAAGATGTATGCGTCTATGGATGCTCTGTCACTGCCAATCAATGTTAATCGTACTTGCATGGTGTCTATGCCCGCGTGCATGGCATACTGTGGAGAGAGTAGGTAGCTAGTGTATACAGCATATCAGTAACCCGTCATGAAGTGCCAAATCAAACACCTACCAAATGTGTGCTGCCTCAATCCAACCCTGCTCCTTCATCATGTCACCAAACGCCGTGAGCGCCTCTAAATCTCTCCCCGTTCTATTGGCCAGAATAATAGCCACTGTGTCTCTCCACTTGACCAATTGAGATACATCAGCTTGAGGTGTAACTGCTTGCAATCCATAAGGTGTGTTTATATGTTGCACATCATTTGTGAGAAATTCGTTGATGGCTGTAGCACCCGCACCAGAGAACAAGGAGTAAACAACACGCAGCGCCTGGTTGTTGCCAGCAATGTTGTTGAACTGCCGGTTCTGCCTCATTTCAGGTGTGCAATTCATCTCACGGTCCACAAAGTTTTTGATCACCTTTTGCCACAGATCCTTATCCACACAGCTACTGATAATCAGAGCATGTGCCCACAAATCTTCTTGAATAGCGTAATCGACAGCCCCAATGCGATCTCCGTTCAATAAATAGTGTTCAATCTTTGACAGCACTTGATTCGACAAGTCCACTGATGAAGGCTGTTGTTGCTGGCTGTTGTTGCTGGTGTTGTTATTGAACGCTGGTAATGCAAAGTGAGACTCCTCCACGTTGGTGATGGTGGGACGCAGCACTGACAGAATCGCCTGGTCCATCTTGCCCTTATCATTGACAGTGCCATCATTCTCTACCAATACCTTGATCAACTGCCACAGCAAAATCTTGGCCTCCAACTGATGAAACTCGAGCGAGTCGTACACCACAGCCAATTTCTCCTTTTCAAATGCATCCACTCTGTGTGCCATGTACTGAGCAACGTCCTTCTTTTTCTGCTTTGTTCCTATCTTGCTATCATGCAACACAGGACCCGGAAACACAACAGGGAACACACGGTGACCAAGCTCCTTTAAGGATGTGATCTTGATAGGACCAGGTTGAGGTTTCACGGTAGAGGAGTAATAATTCGTTACTGTTCGTGGAAATGTCACGAGCATTTTACCTCCAAATCCAAAGCAGACAATTGGACACCCTCTAGCTCTGTCAAGTGCATCTACAGCAGGTTGTTGCACGGGCGCTTGATAGCTGCCTTGATACTGTTGCTGTTGAGCCTGTCCATACAGGTCTTGCATCGACTGATGTTGCACATTGTTATAGTAGAGATGATGTGGGTGTTGCTGTCTCACATTATCCACTGTACTGCCAACAGAGGGTGGGTGGTAGAGAGGCACCGTTTGGCTCGAATCCAAAGGACTGGTGGAATAGACAGGTGCAGTGGGAGGTCTTTGCAGAGGTGGTTGAGTGTATCCTTGGTATTGTTGTTGCTGCTGCTGCTGCTGCTGCTGCTGCTGAGGATGATAATCTTGAATTTGCTGATTTGCAAAGGGCCTTGTCAAGGCTGAAACACTTGAATTATGAATGTTGTTGTTGTTGTTGTTGTTGTTGTTGTTACCAACAGGTGTATTTACAATAGCAGGCGTTACTGATCTCGATATTGCTCCGAGTTGTCTTCCGCACTCTTCACAGAACTTTGAGGTAGGTTTGTTTTCACCATGACAGGTAGGTTCAGGACACGGTAATAAAACATCTGGCGTAGGTTGTCGTGAAACAGCAGGTTGTTGATGCTGCTGCTGCTGAGGATGGGTATAAGTAGATTGAGGCGTGCTGGTGTTTGTATTGGTGTAATATGCATTGTCATCTACATAGTGAGGTTGATAATCGCACTCTAGATTCGTATTTGGATCGTAATAATGAAGCTGGCCTTGTTCGTCATAGTAATAATGAACATTGGGATCAAACTGATACCACTCTGCTTGCTGTTGTTGCTGTGGTTGTTGCTGAAGTGGTTCGCTGTAAGGTGTTGTCATTTATGTCTATCTTGGTTATAATGTATATATGTTTGTAAAGGCTTATAGACTAATAATACACCGTATATTTACACACACACTAAAGAGAAAGAGAGAGAGAGAGAGAGACAGAGAGGGGAGAACAGGGAAAAAAAAAATATTTAAACTTCTCGGTAAATATTTGAAATACCTTTTGCGAAACCAAATGATGTGATCTTTCTGTAAGAGAGAATCCACTCAACTGATGGAGTTTGATAATGAGCCCCCTCTCGCTGGGTATAGTTCTCAGGTGCAGCAGGCTTTCAAGCTGGCGAACTGCCGTACAATGTAGCAACGCAAGCTACCTGGCATGCGAGATGTTCCCAAACCTTTTGTTTGATACCCTTTTCAGCAGCTTGTCGCATGTTACAAAACAGTAATTTCAGGCGGGATTCCAAGTCATGTAGGTTGATCTGGGGAGCATCTGAGCATCGAAGATCTCCATACTGCTGTAAGGCATACAAGGAGGTATACACAAAGTGGTCTCAATCAGCAATGTCACTATACCCATTGCCATCATTATATTCTGGCTATAATGTCTTTTTGTAAGCAAAGATCAGTCATTTCAAAAGGCGTTGATTTGTGGTGAATGAAAGCGAGAACAATGGCCACAAATTCCACAGCGATTGTTCGGTGGCCTACACAGCCATTTGATTGATAAACAATGGGCGAGTATTAGGTAATTTTTTATTATCATTATCGTGTCTTTCGTATCACTTTTGTATTAGAGTCTTCTTCATCGCTCGATAAACCACTGGAATCTTGATCTGAATCTTCTTCAGTTGTGGCGCTATCCTCCTCCTCCTCTTCTTGGTCAGATGCTTCCTCCTCAGACTCTTCCTCAGACTCATCCTCTGATTCACTTTCGCTTGTTGGTGCTTCAGACTCATCTTCTTGGCTGGACTCACTGTCATCCTCCTCACTTGATTCATCATAGAACGCATCCAGGTCATAGTCATTGCCCTTCTTCTTCACATTGGCAGATGAAGCATACATGGAAGAGGATCCCATGGCTTCAACACCAGACAGCGCAGTGGAAGCGCCTGCCCCTGAATTGAATCTGCCACTGCCTCGATAGGCATCAAAGCTATCACTTCCAAATCCAGTTTCCATCACCTTGGTGCGACTACCACTCCATCCCTCCAGCTCTTCCACATCACGCACACTAGTATCAGGCTGTTCTTGTGGGAAATCAGGCAAAGGCTCATATCCTGGAAGAGGCTGATGAGCCAACAGAGACAAAGAGCCAATGTTGTATTCAGAGGCGGCCTGCACTTCGCTTTCAATGACGGCAGGCTCCTTGTTGGATAATAAAATGGTCTTTAGGTGCTCTTTGAGTTGATTTAATCCTGGTTTCTCCTCTTGGCTTGGTATAGTTAATGCACGCAAAAATCTTGCTCTGTCTCTGACATCGTAATCCGTATCGTATCTGGCTAGATTTAGTAGGTATTGATTCAAACTGTTCAGTGTGGGATGCGTGGCATTCAAGCAAATTAGTTTGGCTGATAATGTCAAGATTTGAAGTTTGGTGACATGATCCTAATACAACAACTGTCAGTTACATGGTGTAAACACGCGCTATAACAGCTCTTTACCTCGTTGGCGAAATTCTTCACAGCTTGACGAAGCACATCGGGACCCACTTTGGGCAATGTTTCGGCATATTGGCCCACCAACCACAAGATATTAGCTCTTGCCATAGGAACCTTCAATGTGTCTAATAGCTTCACAAGGGCAATTACTGATCTTGATCTCTCGTCAGAAGGCACTTGCAACAGGCGAGTCAACACGAGCACAGATTCAGCAACAACAAGTTCTGGTTCAGAATGAGTCTTCACTTAGCATATCTACACACCAAATGCCAACAACATACCGTTTTTACTGCGTAATAGTTTCATCAAAAGACGTAGACATTTATCTGCTGCTGTAGGCACTGTAGAAGCACATCTGGCAATGGCTTGAATGGTGGCTGCTACGAAATCCTTATTGGGGCTTTTTACGTATTGCTAGAAGACAGCAGAGGATGAATATCATGCAGCAGCGAGTAAGTCGTTCAGCGACACCACTTACCTGAAGTTCTGTAAGTAACGTGTGGATATTGACTTCTGTTGCAATGGTGGTGAGGATGTCTAATTTGGTATCACGGATAAACACAGGTTCAGAAGATTGAGCAAAGAATTGTTGCAGTGAGGATTCAAACAAATACTGCACAAGTCTGTCAATGCCAGGTTATCAACACATGCCATCCAGGTCCTTACCGGTCTTTTCAAGGCCATTGTAGCAATATTTGTCAAAACAACATAGCATTGCTCACGATGTGTTCTCAGCAATCTAACAAGGGGCTTTGCAATCTTTTCTGCTTCTACGGCAGGAGCCAAATAATAGTACAGTTTTGCGACAGCTAAGACCACACCACTGTTACGGCTCTGTAACAAAGGCACGCAGCTCTTCAGCAGTAATTCGTGATCCACATCCAGTTCAACTATATCGTCTGCTTGAAGTTGATCATTATCAGAGTCAGAATCTGAATCAGAGTAAAATGATTTGTTGTTGGTGCTGACGGATTGCTTTGGTGGGCTACGAGATTCGTCTTCGCCGTGAGAATTCGGGTTCAAAAACTGATTTCTACCATAGCGCAATAATACACCCAGAATTGACATTTGTCCCCATTCATCACAATCGCCCAACATGGAGCATAGTTTTCTGTAGCATGGATGAATCAAGTCGAATCGATTTGGACACACTTCGTTGAATGCCATGATGGTGCTTCCAATCACAATGTTTGATCTATCCTTCAACAATGTAGCAATCACCTCGATCAAAGCTTCTTTTTGGCTATCATCCAAGCTGCAACACAAAACTGACATCAGCTCTTCTGCAGAAACCGCATCCCTCAATCCACAAACCTGTAACACTTGGGTATAGCATGAGCAGCGGTTTTTCGAACATAGGGGCTGGGATCTGTAATACACTTCTTGATGCCAAGTAATACAATAGGACTGATCACAGGAACACGGATACCACTCATCACACGAAGTGCCATGGCTCGAATAATCTGGTTCTTGTCGCTGAGATCCTTTTGGAAGGAATTAATGGAGAGCAAAGCTAAATCGGGTTCTTGTTCTGCGTATCTCAGCAGGAAAATGTACACCAGCTTACGGATTTCGATATTTTGAGACACAACGTTCTTCACCACATCAGGAAAGAACTCGGATACGTCTCTCCCTTTGGATATCATCTATATCAAGAACGTTAGACATCTTTCAGGCTGCAATCAAGCAACCAGTAACTTACAGCAATCAGTCTCTTTAATCCATCTAGTTTCTCTCTATCGTTCTTGGAATCAAGTTGACGTTTGATATTACGCATCTTTTCTTCAGAGGTATCAAAGTACTGTGCTCCAGATTCACTGCCGGGAAATCCCAACTCGCGCGCGTTATCTACAAGTCCCTGAGACATCTTTTGCGAAAGCTTGGCTGCTTTCTCTGCAAATGTCTTTGCACTGTTGATATAATCCGATACTTCCATACTTGAAAGATAAAATAAAAAGAGGGGAAGAAGGGAAAAGAGAATCTGTTTGGTGGTTTTTTCTTTTTACGAAACAAACATGGAAACAATTGCGGAGGCCTAAAATCAGGTTAGATGTTGCAATTACAAATCGTGTCCTAGATGATCGTCAAGAGTATGTGGATGAACATGATGCGTGAGGATTGACGGATGCGATACTTTGGTGGAGATTGAGATATATTTATTGAGGAGGCGTTTTACTACAGTGTCGCATCAATGGCATGGGCAACAATCCATGCTATTTAATCACCTTCAGAGGGTCATATACAGGTCCATGTCAAACCTCTCTGTAACATTCAGCTTACCTGTAGTCGATGTTGCAATAAGATCTCTTAAAACACTGCTTACTGCTTGGGACTAATTCCTAGTATATTTTAATGCGTAGTTTTCTTCGTATTAGCTTCAAAAACGTTGATTGTCTTCATCAGAAAGACATTCGGCCAGCCAAACCTTTTTCTATCTTCGTTATATATTTATTCTCCAAGATTGGCCAGGATTTAAGCAAAATTGACTTGTTTGATCTATTTTGTACGATTCGACTATATAAGTTGTGCTGATCATCCTATACTCCTTTAAGCTTTCTTGGAGTACTTTTCAAGGCGCACCCAATGGTACCAAGTAAGGTTGATCTTTTGAATAAACTTATTGAGCAATTTATGAAAATATGAAAAGAGGTTTCTGACCATAAAGTCGAAATTTTACATATCAAGATAACACAAAGATGATTTCAGGCGTTACGTTGGATCGATAGAAACGTTCTGGTTCAAGATATACCATAGTAAAAGTCTTCATTATCAAGGTAAAAAATGCAATCGTTTGATTTTGGATGGAAACCATGAGGGGTACCTCATGCTTTTTGGTCGATTTTTGGCCATGTTTTTTTTGATTCCCAAAAAGTTGAGCAAAGGTGTTAGAAAGTAACTGCCAGCCGAGAGCAGTTGTTTGGTGCCCATCTGGCAGTCCAAAACAGCTTTTGAGGCGAGAAAAGAAGACCAAGTATATCCATTTTTGCTTTGATGTGCAAACTTTTGAGTAGTAAGAAGCAATGCAAGTATACTGTCTGTCCGCATATGCATCGTTCCTATTGATTTAGATGTAAAGCATCGTAAAAGAGTTATACCTACAGCTGTGAAAGATTCCTATATAGTAGTAGAAGGGCAACAAGTAAAATACATCACATGCAAAGTGGCATCAACAGAAATTATTCCTTTGAATCAGAACAACAGCCGATTATAGCGCTTGATGTTGAATGGAAGGGCTATAGACTTCTTGTTTTCGCGAATAACTAATCATCGCAACAAGATGCTATTTGGAAAACAACTATCAGCGGACACCTAGCTTTGTGCAAACAAGGCTTGTAGGCAATCAGTTCGCATTTCAGGTCAGTGCACTTTGTTAGATAAGTTTGATCAAGAAGGACCCAATAGATTTCCTTGAATTCATGCTCGAAATCGTTGTTATGCAGTCAGTCTGTGCTGTGAGATCTTGGTGAAACGCATATGTTATGACACAAATTCGAAGCATGTGCGGAAGGCTCATTTTGCATGACAGAGAATAGATGCAGTTTTTCGGTGAGTAAAGATCCAAACAGCAACCAGTCTCGATGAATTGCAGCATAGGTTGAGTGGACGCAGTATAGTTCCCCACATGTTATGGAAAGCATTTATAGCAGAATTTCTTCCCCGCATGATATGTGGAAAGCCATGGTAATCTATTTGTGTAGGCTGGTGGAACCAGAATGATTTACAAAAAGGCAACAAACTCGGGATGTAGCATTCCGTTTGCAAGATTTGGCGCTTCCTCAAAAATTATTCTAATCAATTCATGTTTTGAAGTCCATACGAAAAAGGAAATGTATCATTCATTCCTTTACTAATACGGTCATCAAGACTTCCTCTCATTTTCATATTGAAAATGAATGTCTAGGAAGCAAGACATTCATGAGGATTGGCATTTACAGTTAAGGTTACAAATCGAAAGTGGCAAAAGATAATAATAACGAGAAGATTAAGGGAAAAAAAAGGTGAGATTGTTGTACATGAAAGCAATATAAACAAAATAAACCCATCTTTGTACCTGTGATGTTTCATTGATTCTTTGAGCTAAATACACAGACACCGCATTTTCTTTCATTTCAAAAACCTTTTTTCCCTTTCTCTTATTTCTTTTCTCTTTACATACAAGCCTAATTCATCTTGTTCAGTTTACACTAAATCAACTCTTTTACACCTTATCCACATCATCGCGTATGTCGAGTGAGTTTCTATCCAGAAACAGACTATCTAATTTCAGTAACGCAAGCTATAGCAGCAACCATAGCAACGGCAGTCATGGCAACAACAATCGATTTGGCCAAACAGTGATAGGCCATGATTATGCCTCAAATATACTAGTTGCTGATCTAGCCATTCGATCTACAGTAGCATTCAATTCAGCAATTTCATCGCCATCTACTGCTAGCATGAATGAAGCATCTGATGTTGATGAGCAAAAAGAGATCCATGACAAGGGCAAAAAAGTGAAGCGCCGTGTCACTTTTAATTTAGACAACGTTCAAGTACAAACAATACCTATCTACTCTTCTTGCTCATCGTCTGATGAATCATCTGAATCAGACAATTCATTACAGCAAGAAGAGGATGACGATATATTTTTTCCGCCTGTCACCACCACCACCACTGCTAAGCAAGTCGAGGGTGATGATACTCCTGTAGCTGTGTCGCCTTCGTCTCCACCTCTATCTCCAATGTCACACATGACACCAATGGCATTGCAACCATCAAGTACAGCAACTATTTCTGAACGTATCTCCAAAAAGGCAAGCTATGATGCTTTACAACAAAGGAAGCAGATTAGAAGGCGTGATAATTCTAATTCAATGCTGTCGAGTAAGCCTGGATATTGGTATCCTCTAAGTCCAACGAGCGCCACAAGGTCATCAGCTAATGGTGGTATGGTTCGATATGGTAGCCCCCTACCTACATTGAGATCATTGGAAATGACAGAGCGGCTGATAACAGAATCTATACAAAGAGAAATGGCGTTAAATCCAAATTTACGACATCATGTCGCTGCAAAGAAAAATAACTATACTCAAGGCACCTCTACGACATCGACAACACCAACAACAACAGCGCCACCTAAATCACCTTTAGTAAACAATGATGCAGCAAGCATGTTAATTACTGATTCTGATTCTGACGATGAGGAAGTTCATGAAAATAGTCAGCATGTCATAAAAGAGGAGGCACAAAACCATCATGATAAGACTGGTATAGCCATTAACGATGAACAACCCAACATGAGACACTCGCCAGAATCATTTTCTTCCGTCTTGATTGATGATGACGACGAAGAAGAAGAGGGAGAAAGCGACACTTCAGTATTCACATCTTCGCCTGAGCCACAGGTGAAATACACGCAAGACAAGGAGCAAGTCGACACAGATTTCACCAATTCAGTATATAATGAACTCGCCAAACGGCACAATCAAGCAGCGATACCCTTTCCTGAATGTGAGCCACCTAAACTCACCTTTCCGTTTGAACAAAACTTGATTCCGATCTCAGCTAATGGCGATGTTGTGATTCTTCCACCCCCTCAAGACAACAATGATCTTGTTTGCATAGACTGCTCTTCACCGGCTACAGATGTAAATGATCAATTGCACACAAGAGGCGTCTTTTTTGTCAAGGTGCTTCGCGCCGAAAATTTGGACTTCCCTATAGACAATGGTTAGATGGAGCTTGCGAGTATGCTAATTAAGCTTCTAAACTGTTTTTAATGTAGATAATACGAGTGTTTATTGCAGTATCCGTTACAAGACTGCAGAAAGTAGATCCTACGAGCAGAAAATGGCACATACAATGATGATTGATCATGAAATGCGAATGTAAGTTTGAATACAAATACAGTAGATAGCTTGCTGACTCTATGCACATAGCCTAGATGTTGATCCTAACGAGCAGGTTGCTATCACAATTCACGTTGCTGCAACGCAGAATAGCAAAAGACTCCAAAATGCTAGTTCGAGTTGGTATCACAGGATGAAGACACCATCTGACCTTCAACGTTATGTGCATCAAAAAGATGGCTCTATTTGTCAAACTTTATTTTCGCCAAGTCGGTTTGTCGCGGAAGATGCTTTGGATCAAACTGCCTCTTTAATGCTTGTCAACAACTGGTATCGTATAAACCAACAAGCCACAAACACGTCTTCCTCCTCTTTGTTATTACGAAGAACATCTACCCTCATGAAAAAAAAGCCGACCATGTCAACGCCCGCCGTCGTGCGAGAAAAGGCTGTGGGCAAGATTTACGTGCAGTGCTTGTATTTGAAAATCAAGGGCAACTACATTCCTCGTGACATTGATGAAGCTGTAGAAGCACTCAACGCCAAACGATTTCATAATACAGATTGGCAATCTGGTTACTTATCACAGCTAGGAGGCAATGCCAAGGTGAGATCTAGAAGCAGGCATCTGTATTCGTTTGTAACTAAATCTCTACTGTAGCAGAGAAATAGACGCTTTTTCAAGCTAACTGGAGGGTGCTTGTTCGCATACTCACATGATATAGATAGAAACAAAAAGGATAGTCAACTACCACTGTACAAGATACCATTATCGAGAGCAACAAGATTGATCTGCGATAACTTTGTTGTCATGGAGAGAGAACAACAACAATCACAAAGCGCAAACCCGACCACTTTAGTCAGTCAGTTAGAGCGAGTCATCATGCTTAACGAAGATGATGGCAACCAGGATGAGGAGAACGACGGACAGGCGGAAAAACAAGATAGGAATAGCTTCCAGCTTGTATTTGACAATGGCGACAAGATCCACTTCGACTGTAAATCTCTGGAGGAACGCAATAAATGGGTGTCAGTCATTGAAATCATCGTATGCAGACTACCTCCACTCCCTGACTGGATCATGAATTAGATACTCCAACATATACCATCATCTCTTAATTTACCCTACGAAAAAAAAACCCCCACTCATACTATATACATGTATACATATACTCAAGCATGCAGACTGCAATCCAAAAATTTCCTTTACTCTCATCAATGCACAGTTTACACATTTTCATAAAATCGTTTATTCATATTTTAGAAAGATAGAGGCGTTATTATTCATTATAGCGTAGTAGAGAAAAGTTCAAGTATTAGTGATTAGTTGAATAGTATCATTGTTGTGGACGTTATCCGAAGCTTCTTCTTCTGATGGCTGCTTCAGATGATGACGCTGAGGAAGATAGCCCTCCTTGTTGCTGGTTACTGTCATTATGACTATAGTTGTGGTTCTTGTTTCCAACAAGACGTCCAAAACCAGCCTAAATTTCATTGCACTAGTTACGCTTTTGTATGTCATATTGTCATCATAAAGCACCTTACCTTAAGTTTTCCGTGCAAAGGCTTGTTTACAATGTATTCCACCAAACTGCTTCTTCGTCTAGGTGTAGAAGAGGGCATGGGCGCAGTCGAAGATAGATTTTCCATAGATATTTTAGAATAGTCTAAAATCTCTGCTGATGAGGATGCGTTATTCGTTAGGGGATATGAGACTGATCTAGATACAAATGAGTCGACATCGCTTTCACTATTGTTTGCTTCCTCGTCTTGTTTCAAAGGCTGATCACTCTCTTGGGCTATTATATTTCTGGATATCCATGGTTTACTTATGATGGAAGCAGTTGACTCTACGTCGGATATGCCAGAATATTCGGACTTGGTATGCTGAGCACGGATGGAAGAAGAAATGTTGCGAACAGGAGAGGGTGCAAACAACGATTCGCCATAAGAATAAAGTGAAAACATGGAGGCATCCTCGTCAGCACCGTTGAGGCTAGAAGGGACGCTGCTCTTGATAGAGGACTGTACCTCTTTCGATTTCGTATTTGATGACTTTTTCCACCACCATCTACTATTAGATGTGGATGTTGCGTTTGCGCTTGCTGTAGCTGCCATTTTAGAGCAAAATGTGAAGAACAAAATAATAAAACATTAATAAATTGATACATGAACGAATTCACCCCCTCTTCTTTTTGCGCAAAGCCTGTTTCACACTGTAAACTCTAATTGCTTTTTTTTTATGCAGCTACAAGAGGCTGAAAAAATAGGAGTTGCAAGTCTGTGCTGGCCCAAGTTGGCTAAATTCTCTCCTTGATCGAGCGTTTTAGCACTTACGCTGAGGAAAGCTCAAGAGAAACATGTACATAAACAAAAATCTATCAGTATATACTGTTGGTAGCTACACCCCCAGATTATATATAAGATAGAGAAAAAAAGATGAGCCTACATACACTACTTGTGTAGTGAATTGTAAAAAATGGGCTTCTCCGGGAATCGAACCCGGGACCTCTCGCACCCTAAGCGAGAATTATACCACTAAACCAAGAAACCACTTCATGCCTTGTCAGATGCGAATACGTAGAGATAGTATATGCAATCTGAGATCTGATCGAGATAGATATAGATATAGATGTAGGGATTATGCAGGAATGTATATAGCCTTTTAGTTGAATGGATAAAAAAGGTACTTTATTAATATTAGATTTGAACATTGATTTTATCCAATATAGTTTGTGTAATGTTGTGCGCTATCCAGGTTAATCGCTGTTTAATGTTCCTGGTAGCTGGCGCTCTAGGTTTAAACCTGCGCTTCTTATTCTTGTTTGTGTTTAGTCTGTCAATGATATCCTGCAGATCTAAATCACTGTCAGAATACCCTTCAACCCTGACAGCCTGTGGTCTTAATAGATAGATTCAATGGTAGGAATTAGAAAATAACAGAGTGTACCTAATAGATTGCGATTATGTTCGAAGATGCTGTTTATTGAATAATGCATTTACAACTTATATTTATACTATTTCTACGATCGATAATTACTTAATCAATAGAACTTTCGAGTAGATATAATACTTGATATAGCAACTGATAATCAGATCGATGCCTGCTATCAGTTTCCAGAACCTTCGAGTGCGTATCACAGATATAAGCATGTGTCTTATAGCGTGGATCATAAAGTGCACATCTGAAGCAACAAGCTCATATTGCATTAGTCTTGGTGCTTATCCAAATATGGTAAACATCCATAGTCAATGTCGGAATACAAGTATAAGTCTATAGCGCCATCCATGTCCGTGGTGCCATCTATAGCCTATATCTTATATAGTATGAATCTTATAGTACTAGCGTATCTGAAGTCCATATCTTCTTATAGTATAAATCGATATCGTACATCTAATCCAGTGTACATACAGTGATGTATCATATTCTAAACCGGATCTCCAAATGCGTAGGAGCAATTAGTTAAAGCACAGATCACATCAGATCATAAACTTTGACATGAAACAGGATTCAGTTACGATCCGAATAATGGCATGTTCAGGATAATAGATTGGATCTATTATCCTATCACCCAATCAACCCATCTAATACCTTATCCTCACTGTGGAATTTGAGGCTTGATAGACTAAAATTCACGGAAAAAAAAAGAATAAAAAAACAGTAATGTCAACTTGATAAAGGTATATTTTATTATCAAACTGACAGGTGTAAAGTAAACTGAAGTCTCTCTACTGGCCAGGTAGATGATCCTTCTTATATACTATAACAATGGATAAAAGTTCTATTAATTAGATTGACAAATAAGTCAACTCAGATCAACTAATGTCTAATCATGCTAAAAGAAAACTCCAGCAAGCTAATCATGATTTAGCTCTGTCTGGATGAATAATTAGACTCTCATCCGAAGTACCCTGATCTATCCTTTCCATAAGGATAATTAATATCGATCTAGTAGCATGTATCCGATAGGTACAGTCTTCTTAGTCTATATTAATAGTACATATCTGAGTGTATATCGCTAAGCATACATCTTTAGCATGTATCTGGATATATGGCATGTCTATAGCATATCGTATGCATGTCTATAGCATGTCTCATATATAGTACAAGTCTGTAGTACATAAAGTATCTGTAGCTAGTATCACGGATATAAGCATGTGTCTTATAGCGTGGATCATGAAGTGCACATCTGAAGCAACAAGCTCATATTGCATTAATCTTGGTGCCTATCCAGATATGGTAAACATCCGTAGTCAATGTCGGAATACAAGTATAAGTCTATAGTGCCATCCATGTCCGTGGTGCCATCTATAGCCTATATCTTATATAGTATGAATCTTATAGTACTAGCGTATCTGAAGTCCATATCTTCTCATGATCATAGTATAAATCGATATCGTACATCTAATCCAGTGTACATACAGTTTATATCTAAATCTGGTAACTGGATGAACTGTCGGAATGCAGATCATAGTGGATGTATTCCACACTCACATCAAATCCCTCAATTCGAATAGTATATAAACCCTCTTATTTCCAATGTAATAAACGATATTCTTTACCTGATTAATTTCATACTCTTTTTATAAATAATTTATTTCTGATAAATCATTTTTTAATCTGTATTCAACAAATCTCGTTTATTACAACTCTATCTACTCTGGATCTCTTATTGCTGTCAAGTCTTACTTACTATGTCACCCAAGAAATCCAACCATAAGGTCATCAATCAAGAAGCTTCTGGTGTAACTGCTACTACTGGTGAGGCTACTGTTGCCACTGCTGGTCCAACGTCCACTGATCAAGCTCTCACTGCTGCCGATCTGGTTGTTTCTGCTGCTCCTGTTGGTACTGATGCTCAAGGCTCAACTGCTGCCACTCTGATGGAGATTGATGATCCTATCGTCACTACTAGTCAAGATGCAATCAATGGTGATTCATCTGCTGCTAGTTCTTCCAGCGTTGGTAATATCCATGGGGATATACCTAGAACGTCTGTTTCAACCGATGCTATCAATGGTGATGCATCTGGTAATTTTGCTGTACTTGCTGAGGTTCATGGGAGTCAAGCAAGCAGTGTCAGGGCTAGTAGTAACATTCATGGGAATACTGCTGCTTCTGTAGGTGATGCGAACGTTGACAATGCATCTGCCACCTTTTATCATATTCCAGTACCTCAAGGTAACTACAATATTGAAAATGTTAGTAGAGGGAATAATGATGTACTTACCAATCATGTGGATATAGGATTTGCCACCCCAATCTCAAGTGATGAAAGATTGACCTTGATGAATGAAATTGAACGGCTGAGGCTGATGGTATTCAAAACAACTATTCAAAGCATTGGATGCCCACAAGGATCAATCATACCTGCAAATCTTGGTGTCTTGCGCAATCAACTTGAGATGGCTGAACGCACCTATGAACTGGTATTTGGCAAGACAGAGAGTACCTTGGTACCAAATGAAACACCCTACTTCCAATGGCGTGGACACTTCTTCAACAAGCGTAGGGCTGTATTCGCAACACCAAATGATTGTCTTGATCATTTCGAACTGGTTTTGCAAGCTCATCGTCTATCAATCCATGACAATTGGGAAAGAATTGTGCCAGCCAAATTGTCAACTGGAATGGCTCGTTGGTATACAAGCATGGTTGCTAAACAAGGTCGCTTAACTTGGTCCGAATTCCGTACAGCAGTCATCAACAAGTATGGTCGATCAAGCATTGATATGAGAGATGAAGCAAGAGAGCAGCTGGAACGACTAGTGTATCAACAGGGAGAGGCGTTCAATCAATTTGTTGACAAGTTCCAACAATTGCGCAATCAGGCTGAAATCCAGGATGAGGATTGTATCGTTCGCTACTTGATCAAGGCCCTTCCAGAGGAATTGGCGAACTACACCAAGTTCTCCCTCAACACCAATTCTGACAAGGAGGAGATCACTGTGGATTTGGCGGTCAACAAGATCACGGCTATTTACAACGCACTCTTTAAGGACAAGTGGGAAAGAGAACGAGAGAAAGCAACCTCAGTAACATCCTCAGCCTCAATTTTAATTAACAATAGTGGCACCAAGGTCACCAGTCACTCAACCAAACGATGTATTTACCATCCCAATGCCCACAATCATCGTACCAAGGACTGCAAGGCATCAGACAACATGAAAAAACGTATTGATGCTGCACAAAGAAAGTTTGGTGAGGTCAACACTCGTATATGTCACGATTGCAAGGAACCAGGATGGACTCCAGCGCATAGAGCTGTTTGCAAGATGAAAAACAATCAACCAAGATTTCGAAACAAGGTTGTCAAAAAGACGATCGTCCCTGTGCCCAATCAGCAGGCTGATTACAACTCTGATGACAATATGGATACGGATACGGAATCCGACGAGCAGAACATGACCTTCGCAGCCATGAACATTAAAGATTGTGAGTATCAATACATGAATGAACCACCTCGCAATTTACTAAACAAAAACTCTATTATTTTGCCAATTACTTTAGAGAACAACGACATCAAGGTACGAACCTACTTTCTTCTGGACACAGGCTCCTCATTTAGTTGTATCTCCCCCAAGTTAGCCAAAATATTAGAAGTGAAAATAAATAAAGACATTAAAGGCACCATTAAAACTTGTAAAAAAGACACTGTAATTGATAGAATTGGTTCTACAGAAGAGGACATTAAGATTATATATAATTCTCGCCAATGTTACTCTAAATTGGAGATTTTTGATATCTTTAGTGACATTGATGTAGTAATTGGTATGGATTTGATCATGCAAATTGGTATTACAATCTCCAACATGGCTATGGATTGGGATGATGATAATAACCCTGAGATTCCCGCAATTGATCCAAATCCCTACACTCCGAATGATTCTCCTTATGGTACAGAGGCAGAGAGAGCTCATTTCACGAAAGAAATTGAACCGTACATTAAGGCTAACAAAAACATTGATCCAAAAGCATATTGCAATATACCAGGTAGTACCCTAGAGTTGCATATATTGAAACATCATGAGAATAAAATGTATAAACCTCAATGGCCTCTGGAAGAAAAGTTTTTACCAGCTATTAAGGAACAAATGGCCACATGGATTAGGAATGG